TGGTCAGGGGTCCCGTTACCTTTTACCTTATGACAGAATTGTTAAGTTGCTGTCACAGAGCAAGTCAACAGTAAATGACACCATTCAAAGTTGGAGTTCACTATTAGCAAAACCACAACCTTCACAAATTTGGCTGAGTGTCAGGCCTAATGAGCACAGCAGCTCATATCCCTGGTAGGTCTTGTCCCATGGATCAGTTGCCGAGACTGAAAGTCTCTGTCTCCTCACAGCCGTCTAAGTCTCCACCCTCTGCAAGGCTTTCTCCAAGCAATGAGAGATTGCACTGAGTGCAGCCTGTCACTGTGTTTCAGCCCTCTTCTGGGAGACAGGGGAGAGGGGAAACTTATCACAGCAGGAGGGGGGAGCCATCTGCGACTCTTCACCAGCCTGACTCATCTTTGCCTTTTGGCTGCCCTCTTCCCATTCTCCTGCTTCAGCTTCTGAGTCTGAACTTCTCTCTGCTACAGACTCTCCCAGCTCACCAAGTCCTGTAGCTTCTCCCGACACCTCTTCCTCCCTGTCTTCTCCCCCTTCTTCCTCTGACCTCTCATCGTCATCCCACCACGATTCCCCGGGCTCTGAGTCTTCTTTCCTTAGTGGTTCCCCAGCTGGTCCCTCTCACCATTCTGGACGCAGGTGGCACTGTGGTCTAAACCACTGAGTCTCTTAGGTTTGCTGAAGGTCAGCAGTTCAAATCTGCATGACAGTGGTGAGCTCCCACTGCTCTGTCCCAGTTTCTGCCAACCTAGCAGTTCGAAAGCACATCAGTGCAAGTAGACAAGTAGACAAATCCCGCTGCGGCGGGAAGGTAAACGGCGTTTCATGCACTCTGGTTTCTGCCATGGTGTTTTGTTGCGCCAGAAGCGGTTTAGTCCTGCTGGCCACATGACCCAGAAAGCTGTCTGCAGACAACCCCCTTCGGCCTGAAAAGCAAGATGAGCGCCACACCCCATAGTCGCCTTTGACTGGACTTAACTGTCCAGGGGTCCTTTACCTTACCCACCATTCCTCTGTGTCCAACAAGTCCACCACAGTTACTAAACTGACAAATTTGTAATTTCTGTGAATTCATTTTCCTCTGCTCATTTTTATTATTGTTCCCTGCTTTGGAATTTAAAGCATTCAATGAAGAGCTGGCTAGAAATTCTGTGCACATGTAAATAATAAAGAAGCATCCTGAGGAAACACAACACGGTAGAATTTTTCATTTTCTTTTAAAGCCCATCTAGGAACTCCTGAAATTTGTCAGACGGGTAGCAGGGCTGGACTCTCTGCCCCTTGTTGGTGTCCAAGCAATTGATCTTGCAGCACAAGAATGGCTTCCCCCAATTACTCCTTGGTTGTAGGATCTCTCTTGCCACATGTGAAAGAAATGTTTTTGTTTGGTGGCACAAAGAAAAAATAATTCTGAGATCTGGGGTTCCTATTTAGAACTGTTCATGTGATCTGTTCACAACAGGGGTTTTGCCAGAGCCTCTTCCTTCCTTCTCCTTTCCCTTCCTGCTTCTCCTTCTAATTTTTCCCCTTATGTCTTTATTCCTCCCCCCCCCCAGCTTTGATTACATATGCCTGCTCTTCTTATTGGTGTTATGAACTGACATGCCGCTTTTTGAGCATTATTGTATATGTTCATTACTTACATTGTTACAAAAAAAAAACCCCTATAAAAACCCACAATAAACTATGCATTAAAAAAAAAAACCTATCGAGGAAGATGGCAAACATTTCCATCAACCTTCACAATGTGTGGCTGCCATTCCAGATTAAATGTGTCTCCTGCCCACAGCCTGTAATGCTCCCAGTAGCTGCTCACAACAGATATCACGCCCTTGGCAATAATTTCCGACTGCATTGTAAACAGACAACAAATTCTAGCAGCAATGGCTAACCAGGGCACCATTACAACACACAGATGAAAAACACAACTTGCAGAAAAGGGAACTTTGCCTATCCGAGATGAACCAATGGTGGTGCTATTGCATAAGGAAGCTTCAGATGAGGTGGTCCAGACCATCACTGTTTTACTGTGAAACAGATTTTGATTCCAAGGTCCTGAAGGGAGGATGAAAGAAATCCAGCATATTATCCTACGAAAAATGGACAGATGCATAAAACTATTTTTATTTGGGGGTGGGGAGAGAAAACCCATGAATAAAGTACTGTAATAAATATTTCAACATTCCTTATTGGTAGATTCACACGTTCAGGCCCTGTAACGCTCACATGTAATGTAATGACTCTGGGGTTGCGGCGCTCATCTCGCTTTACTGGCCAAGGGAGCCGGCATACAGCTTCTGGGTCATGTGGCCAGCATGACTAAGCCACTTCTGGCGAACCAGAGCAGCGCACTTTGTGATAAATAAGTGGGTTTTGAGGAGACGTGGGTGGCGCTGTGGGTTAAAGCACAGAGCCTAGGACTTGCCAATCAGAAGGTTGGCAGTTCGAATCCCCGCAACAGGGTGAGCTCCCCTTGCTTGGTCCCTGCTCCTGCCCACTTAGCAGTTCGAAAGGAGCCCAGTGCAAGTAGATAAATAGGTACCGCTCTGGCGGGAAGGGGACAGATTTGCAAATCTGGGGACATTCCGGGGACGGAGTTGAAAATCCGGGGACTGTCCCCGGGAACTGGGGATGTCTGGTAATCCTAATTTAAAATGCATCTCTGGGTTATTTGTGGGGCCTGCCTAGTGTCTTTACATGAGTAGAATGTGTGCTTTTATTTAAAATGCATCTCTGGGTTATTTGTGGGGCATAGGAATCCGTTCTCCCCCCCAAAAAATTTAGTCCAGCCCCCCACAAGGTCTGAGGGATAGGGGACTGGCCCCCTGCTGAAAAAGTTTGCTGACCCCTGCTGTAGACAATATTGAGCTATGAGTACCATTGTCTGGCTCAGAATAAGGTAGATTCCTATATATCAGCTTTCTATATTTTCCACCTGGCTACAGCAAGGAGAGATGACAATACTGAATTAGTGTCAGGGACAGACTAGATCATGGTTAGACAAACTAAGGCCCAGGGGCTGGATGTGGTCCAATCGCCATCTAAATCTGGCCCACGAATGGTCCAGGAATCAGCGTGTTTTTACATGAGTAGTATGTCTCCTTTTATTTAAAATTTATCTCTGGGTTATTTGTGGGGCCTGCCTGGTGTTTTTACATGAGTAGAATGTGTCCTTTTATTTAAAATGCATCTCTGGGTTATTTGTGGGGCATAGGAATTCGTTCATTATTATGTTTTTCAAAATATAGTCTGGTCCCCCACAAGGTCTGAGGGACAGTGGACCGGCCCCCTTCTGAAAAAGTCTGCTGACCCCTGGGCTAGATGCAGAGGAATGGTGGGAGGCACCAGTTGGGGAACCCCCAAGGAAAGATCAGAGCCCAGGGATTGGCAGTGTTATGACCATGAGTGGTTACAGCAAGAAGAGGGAGCAGACTGGGAGGACGTGTCGGAAGCTGAAGAGGTAACAGGGTTGCTTTGGAATTCCTTTGTCGTGCAACATTAAAATTTACCAGTGCACTAGACTAGTGGATGGAGAATGCTGGATCTTCTAGTATTAATTTAAACCTGTTCCACCCCCTGGCCCATGCAATAGATGTTGATCTCTATCCTGGGCATTCCCTGCCCTGAAGCCGCTCAGATTATGAGCTTTACGTTTTTTAAAAAGAGGGTTTGCTGTCTTCCCCTTGTGCGCCAACACTTCCCCCCTTGCTAACAGGGGTAAAAATCAATTATTAAATGCATTCAGCACAAACTGTGTGAAGCGAACTGGCACTGTAGGAATCTTCAGCTTTTAAATAAGCAGATGACACTGATCCCGGGCTCGGGCTGCAGAAGGCTGATTTTAATTTGATAAAAGTGGAAGTTGGTAAGGAATATAATAAAAAGAGGAAGACATGCATACCTCCTCCAGCACACAACTTCCATTAAAAAGAAGACGAGGAAGAAAGATAGATCACAGTATTTCACATTGGCTCCAACAGCAAGCCTTGCTTAATGGAATCCAGCTGCAGTCTCGCTCACTTTTTTGCAGTTTAGGGGATGAAATGCTCTACGTCATTGCCACTGGAGATAGAGGCCACTTCATGTTGAAATATTTTATTTATATGCTAGCTCCCAGACTATGCATTGCGAAGGACAAATGAACTACATATGCCTTCTTTGCAACTGTCAGGAGCCAAACTGAGCTAAGAAAGAACCAAACTGGGAATTCAGAAGCATCCAAGCACTCGGGCAACTTCAGTATTATTTTTTGAGCTTAAGGCCGGAAATCTAAACTTATGCTGTGTACTGTCCCATCCTGCCAACCAATGCATCAACCATCGGTCAATACTACAAGTGTTAATACATTTAGCAATGCTAAGATGTTATTTTATCACCTTTTTTTTGCTGCTGTGAATGGTCACTTGCAGTGCAAATGGGGGCCATTATGATCTGGTGCTGGGGCGATTGTTTTTATATATTGCTTCATTTATATCTTGGCTGTGTGTGAGTCCTGGAAGACCTTGCTCCCTGCCTTGCAGGAGTTTTCCCACTTGGTCTGGGAGGGCCCTGACTGACTCCAGCTACAAAAGCTGAGGCTGCTGAACAGACTCTTGGGTTGGGGAATTGTTTAGGGGGGAGGTTGTTTGGAGAGGGGGCTGTTGCGGTTATGGATATTCATTTTGTATCTTTATTTTAGATCTTATTATGATTTATGTGGAAATTGATTTGGTTGTGTACTTTTTGATGTTTTATTTATTGCTTATGACTTTTGTTATGTTAGTAATTATGTATTTTTCATGTTCTAAGTTGCCTTGAGCATGGTTTGAACTATGGAAAGGTGGCATACAAATAAAATTATGTATGTATGTATGTATGTATGTATGTATGTAATATTGACTCCAATCACAAATTCCCAGGGCAGCTTAGAGAGCGAAGAACAAAATACAGAATTAAAGTTCAATGTATTAATTAAAAGCATCAACAAAAAACCCCAATAAATCAAATGATGAAAACTGCTTTTTGTTAAGAGACAAGAGTACTTTTATCATGTATCGGTGTAACAAAACACAAGATAATGCTGAACCAGATATATGATTGGGAACACGGTAAGAACATCATGCATAAATGTGCTTTTCTTTAATTCTAACATTCTAAACTTAAATAAGTTTAATATTTTGTGTTTTTTTATTGTGCAAATGCATCTTTAGTTTGGCAATGTTTGTATTTAAACTAATAAACCATTTGTGGCAGGAACAAATATAACACAGTAAACCATAAAATGCAACCTAAACAATTAAAGCCCAGATTTCATTTGTTTAAAAATGCTAGCCATTTAAAAGACCTGGGTAAACAGTAAGATCCTTTACCTGGTGTTGAAAAGACAATAAAGAATGTGTCTAGGAAAACTATTCCACAGCTGGGTGCCACCACCAAGAAGCCATGCACTCTACCTCTTAGAGGCCTTCTGTAACTTTTGAGCAAATTCCTTCTGACCCCATACATTCCTCACTACTCAATTTTATAACGTGCCAAATCAGCACAGGTCCACAAAGGATCGTGTCCTCATTAAGATCCACAGAATCCTGTTCTTTAAATGTCACATGGAGACAGTAATGCTACAACACAGTATTGGTCAAACAAGTTTATTGATTGCATTTGGACACAGGTGTAAGTGATAAAATATAAAACAATTTTTAAAAGAAAACAGAAATTATATATTTATATTCTTTTCTTTTTTTTAAAAAAAAATCACTCTACTTCAATGGGCCAAACAACTTAATCACTTCAGCACACACAGAGTTATGGCTTTTACAAGATCATTCAAAGCCACACCAAACCGCAGCAAGCTTTATTCTTAAGTCTGCCTCTATTTATTTATTTTTAAATACATTATTTATTTAATGTATTTAAATACATTAAATACAAAAATAAAGAAATTATTTTTCCTGCAAGTTTTGCCTTGTGACACATTTCTCATTTGCATTTTTTTGGTGCACAGAAAGGAATAAAAATCTTGCATTGATCACACGTCACTTTGCCTCCATTTACTAGGCCCAAGTTCTAACTAAACCAGGTACGGCTGCAGCTCCTGGTGGTGCAAACATCAAAGTTTTAATTGTGCCTCCTGCGAAAAAACTATTTGCACACTCAAAACCAGGTTTCCGGGGAAATATCCTTTGCTGCAGTCCTGTGTCTGTGCATCACATTTTGAGGGCATTATTAACAAGAATACATCCAGAGGAAGGCAACCTGGATGATGAGGTGGTCTGGAAACTAAGGTGATACCCCTAAGTGTCTGATACTCATAAGTGACCCACAGAAATCAATGCTAATAGCTACAAGGAATGGTCAAAAGAGCTGGGTATGTTCTGCCTGGTGAACTTTCACCAAGTTGAGGCGGGGGACACACAACAGCTATCTTCAAATATCTGATGATTTGTCAAGAAGACGAAGCAGAGCTGAGTCCCGTCTGTGTGGTATCACACCACTTTAAACAGTCATGGCTCCCTCCCACAAATAATTATAGGAATTGTAGTTTGCCAATGGCAGTGAGAATTGTTAGGAGACCCTGCTATTCCCCTCACAGAGCTACAATTCCCAGTGCTTCCCAGGAAGTGGGTTAAACCACTCAAGACTGTAGCTCTGCTGTTGGGGGGGGGATAGAGGTCCCCTAACAACTCCCAACGCCCTTAACAAACTACAGTTCCCAGGGTTCCTGATACAGGATTGTCTAAACAGTGGTACCTTGGGTTATGTACTTAATTCGTTCCGGAGGTCCGTTCTTAACCTGAAAATGTTCTTAACCTGAAGCACCACTTTAGCTAAAGGGGCCTCCTGCTGCTGCCGCGCCGCCGGAGCCCGATTTCTGTTCTCATCCTGAAGCAAAGTTCTTAACTCGAGGTACTATTTCTGGGCTAGCAGAGTCTGTAACCTGAAGCGTATGTAACCCGGGGTACCACTGTACAAGATTGCCTCCAGATGGCTTGGGGCGTCGTATAATTCCATACAGTGGTACCTCGGGTTACATACGCTTCAGGTTACATATGCTTCAGGTTACAGACTCCGCTAACCCAGAAATAGTACCTCGGGTTAAGAACTTTGCTTCAGGATGAGAACAGAAATCGCGCGGCAGCGGGAGGCCCCATTAGCTAAAGTGGTGCTTCAGGTTAAGAACAGTTTCAGGTTAAGAACGGATCTCCGGAACGAATTAAGTACGTAACCAGAGGTACCACTGTACCCTCCAACATCTCTCCAATGAAAATAGGGACGTCTTAAGGGAAAGCGGGATATTCCGGGATCATATCAGAAACCGGGATCTAAATCAGGGACGTCCCTGGAAAATAGGGACACTTGGAGGGTCTGTTATGGGATTATCCCAAATTACAAGAGGGGGAAGGAGGGGGGAATCCTAGCCACACTCTCCAAAGCATGCCTATAAACCTCCATCATTAAGAACATGAGAAGAGCCTGCTGCTCTCAGTGGTCCATCTAGCCTAGTCCTATTCTCACAGTGGCCAACTAGATTCCTGTGGGAGACCCACAAGCAAGACATAAGCACAGCAGCACCATCCCTGCTTGCCGTTTCCAGCAACTAGTATCCAGAAGCATTACTGCCCCTGATCTTGGAGGCATATAACAGCTGTCAGGGTTAGAAGCCATTGGCAGCCATCTCCTCCATGCTTTGGTCATGCCCCAGCCCAACGAAAAAGCCCCAAATTATTTAGCTGTACCTTCGCTAAATCTGTGTGTTCATCTGGAGTGCATTCAAGGCTCTATTCGTTCATGGTTTAAAAGCAGGTCACATCTCTCGTCTTGCACACCTTCCTTCTCAGTACTGTGTGTTATCAGTAGGCCTCCTACCGACACTTAAGAAATAAAAAGAGCCAGCAGCGTCAAGTGCCAATACACAATATTGTACCAATACACCGAGCGATGTTTAAGGCGTGACGAAATACGGAGGTACTAAAGTGGAAACAGCAGCAGTAACTGACTGTGTCAGCGTTTCCCAAGCAACGCCAGGTGCATACTGCATTAAAAAATTCCAAAGTACATTCAGAAAGATAGCACATGCCTCACACATGGTATGTGTGTCCTTAAAACACACACACACTGCATAACCAACAAGACCCACAAATTCACGAATAAGCTTAATATGTACTTAGTTCTGGTCTTTTCCTGGGAAGAAAAGGGGAATGGCCTGTTTGTGTCATAAAAAATCCAATCTGCATTTCCAAGACTTTAGTCTCTTGACAAAAAGGAAATTGATCCATTAAATGAGTCCTTACCAACTAATGAGGAACCAGAGGAACCACTTGTTACACAAGAATGTTTTGAGAACCTTTCCCAAAGATCCCGTATTAATTGGGGCGTATTTGAAAAATAATTAATAATCAAATTGGATCTGTAACTAGCTGTTTTATTATTATCATGTATTGTCCTGTTTGTAGTGTTTGTTAGTATAAGACGTATAGCCATATATTTGTGGGTCTTCTTGTTTGGGCATGTTATATAGGGACTGTTACTGCACACAACACTGCATTTTTTATACAAAGACACCATCGAGATGATCTCCATGTTGTGAAAAATGGGTACACCGTCACTTTTCAAATGTGGAACTTTTTATTTCGGCAGAAGTAATGGCTTGTGAATGCCAGGCGTTGCCACCCATTCTTCACCTTGAGCCTGCATCCTGAAGGTCGGAGTTGCCAAACAACTGAAATCGCCTTATTAACAGTTGTGAGAAGGAAGCTGGAAAGTTAACACTTATTCCCTAAAGTTCACCAAGATGCAAAGTCTCCAGGATCTGAAACACGCGAACTGTATGCATGATTATACACCTGAACTCAGTTCGGAGAGCACATTTGTGAGTCTACCTACACAATATGGCCCAGCTACAGACACCACTGAATATTCAGCATTCAACCCTTTTAACATTCCCAGATATTTAAGCAAAAGGGTTTGATTTATTTATTTCTACTGGCTTTGCACGTACCAGTACCAGCAAAGGAGAGAGACGCAACCCAAACCACATGCAAAGGCAACTGTAATGAAGGTGTAGATTAGCAGGACAATGGGTCACAGCTCAGTGGTTCTGCTTGTTTGCATGCAGAAGGCCACGGGTTCAATCCCCCTCGTCTCCAGACAGGACTGGGAATTTCCTGCATCTGAAACCCCTAAAGGGCCACTACTAATCAGCAGACACCACTGAGCTACTGGGAACAACGGTCTGACTCTGTATAAGGCAGCTTCCTATGTTTCGAACCCCCAGTCCATAAAGCTTGCTTGTAGGAGAGGCTGCTAGTCCAAAACTCTATGGCAGCTTCTTCTTCGCTTCCCCTGAAGTGGTTTTTGGGTTTGTAGGCCATCCAAGGACTGCTCTGGGCACACTGCTAGTGTTTGCCAAAGCGAGAATTTAACATACACTCACCTCCGAAGGGTGTGCGCATCTTTAATTGATAGCGTCCAGGCATCCCATGCTAGTATTTGAAGATGCAAGTGCGGTGGTCTTTAAGGATGTGCACACCCATGTGTGACATTCTCACATTACCTGTGCATTGTGGGAAATGATGGGGTAATATCAATGTTCCCTATGGCAAGCTCCCTGCCCCCACCCCCAGACCAGCCCATCTCTTTTACTCGTTACCTTGCAACACAACTCATTCCCACACATACTTCAGTGAGGATTCAGCCGCTGTAGCTCAGTGGAAGAGGATTTGCTTTGTGTGTATGCATGCATGCAGAAGGCTCCAGGTTCAACCCCTCGCATCTCCAGGCAGGGCTGGGAATATCCCACTCCTGAAACCCTGAACAGCCACTGCTGGTCAGTATGGACAGAACTGAGTCTGATGGACTGATGGTTTGCCTTGGGGTAAAGTCGCTTCCTGTGTTCCTATAACTGCTCCTGTCCCAATCTGGGAACAGCACCCTGCGATCCTGTCGCCGTTCTCCTAACCACACATTTCCCAACGCATTACAGGCTATGCTGCAAGAAGCCTCACACCTGAAGTTGCTATCGAAGCCCTCGACACAGAGGCGAAGCGGCTGATGGAATCTGCAGGACGTGTAAGAAAAGCTAAAACTTCAGTCACTTATGCAACTTGCGGAATACTAATGCAGAAATAATATGCTGTACAAGAGACAGAAGGGAGAAGGGGGGGGGATGAATACAAATCCATTCTTACATATAATGCCTTGTCTGCTGATTTAAATGCAGAGAAAACTTAACCAAAGACTTAAGACTCCTTCACTTAAGCGACTCCTCCAAACTCCTGGTACTGTCTAACTGAAAAGCAATCTAGCATTTGCTCTGGAGGAACCAAGTTCAATGAGCTTCACTCACTAGAAAGCTCACTCAGGATTGCAGTTTGCAAGATTACCATTGCCCATTGGGACTGGTAGGGTGGAAGGCAGGGAGGCTGACAGAGGTGGACCCAAAGCCAATGGCAGGTGCAGCCAACTAATTCTGCTTTTGTCTCCATTGTAATTCTGGTATCGTCTCCATCCTTTCCCCTGCCGAGGTCTGCAAGGGGCAACACTGAGACTAAGGGGAGGAAGCTAACAGGTGGCAGGGGCTGGCTGAGGTTGGTGGGGCATTGCCCCATTCACCCAGCCTCCCACTAAATCCTGTATACACTGACCGGGTAGTAAGTATTCCCAGTGCACATGATTGCACTGGAAAATATGCACAATTAACAGCACTTGAGTGTCTGCGTAGAGGAGACAAGGAGACTATGAAGTTGCAGAATTACGAATGGCAATTGAGAGTCCATTTTTTAAGGCCCTCCCCAGGACCCCACAAAGCAGGCATTAGCAGTGCCGCGCATATGGCTCCATGGGGCTTGCTCCCAGCTAAATGGGTACTCTAGAATTGCAGCCCAAGGCTCGACTTCCTGCGTTACATCACTCAAGTGTTAGATGCAAAGCAAAATTCACATTAAAAAGAAAACCCAGTCTTAGCTTTGTTCTCTTGGAGAGCGTAAGATCGAGAGAGCAGTTGCCATGTTGCCTATAATCACACATATTGCAACACTGAAACATACATATATTCACACATCAAAGGCTGCAAAATTATACATTCAGTTATAATGAGAAAAGGGGGTTCCAGCTCTCCCCACAACTCTTTTCTTTTTTAATCTGCCTTAAAAAGCAGACAGGACACAGCTTGATTTCTTTTACAAAGACACGCTTAACTTAGAAATGCTTGACAAAAGAGTTAAAATCAAAGTGTGTTGATTTTAACCTTTCTAGGCTAATTCATTTTAGCAGTCGGGGGGAGGGGGGCAGGGGCTGGCTTACTAAAGAAGTTCCATCAGGATGTCAACATATAGGTAGGGTTTTTGTGGGAGCAGAGACTATCCCATTCACTTCAATGTTAAGGCCAACTCTGAATGCCCAGTGGGAAAAGCACACACAGAATGAGAAAATGGGGAGTTCCTGCAAAAGTTGAGCTCTGCATGGGCAGGAGTACTCCAATGCCAGTGGACTGAAACTAGCAGGATATCACCAATTCCGAATTGTGCTTTTTTTTTTTTTTATACAGATTTGCATTTTAGTTTACCAACTCTGCCTCCCCCTTTGACCAAGCAAAAAGGAAATGCTGTCCATGATTATCCACAGTTCCTATTTATCCCCTTCCACACACATGATTCTCAAGTTAAATACTTTTGCCACGTAACTGTGTTACCTAACAGCATCCCTTTCAAAAGTCAAACATGTACACTTGTGCAAAACGTGGTTTGCTTCTTAAATACAGCCCAGCTTTTCCTGTTCAGATTTTTCTGTTTTGGATTTTGTGCAAAAATAAATAAATATGGTTTTGGTGGTTGCTAGGGCGTGCTACGCAGCATCAACAAGCCTCTGCTGTATGAAAGCTGCAGCCAAGGCCTTCCACACCCCTACAGCTCAACAGACTGCACTTTGCCAACCTCCCCTTCTCCCCTTTTTGGTGTGACCCATTCACATGGAGAGCTGTCAAATCTGCAGTTTGAACTGGTAGGTGCTCGTTTTCCACTGGTCGACGTCTGCGTTCAGCATGGTGCGCTCAGTGAAGGTGACGTGACCTACCGCATCAATGAGAATAACTGTATTTGTCCTAAAGAGGAAGGAATAAGAACATCAAGAATGCTTCTAGGTAGACAAAGAAATAATACGATGTACTCAATTTTTATTTTTATGTTTTTAGGTTTGATGTTACTGTATAAATATGTTATTAGTATTTTTTTTTCTTTTAGGAGGTAGCAAAGTGGGTGAAAGGAGAAACAAACCAGAAACGGAAGTTGGGGGAAGCCCAGGAGGGGAGGGAGGAAGGAATGCATAGTAAATGTTATGGATATGAAATGTATGTAATGAATGAAAAAGAAAAATGTACAATTTTTTTTTTTTTAAAGAATGCTTCTAGGTAACCAACTCCTGGGATTCTAATTCTTCGCTCTTGAAAAAATAAAAAATCCCCACCTTGCACAGTGAACCAAGCAGCAAGTCGTTGGGGTCAAAAAGGAAGGAGCGAAACTAATTCAATTTTCTGTTGTCACATTGCTAAATTCAGGCTCTTTGCTTTTGCTGCACTGCTAAGCCCACCAATGGTAAAAGTAAAAGTAAATGACCCCTGGACGGTTAACTCTAGTCAAAGGTGACTATGGGGTTGCGGCGCTCATCTCGTTTTCAGGCCGAGGAAGCCACTGTTTGTCCACAGACAGCTTTCCAGGTCATGTGGCCAGCAGGACTAAACCGCTTCTGGAGCAATGGAACACTGTGACGGAAGCCAGAGCGCATGGAAACACCATTTGTCTTCCCGCCGAAGTGGTACCTATTTATCTACTTGAACTTTGACGTACTTTCGAACTGCTAAGTTGGCAGAAGCTGGGACAGAGCAACGGGAGCTCACCCTGTCGTGGGGATTCAAACCGCCGACCTTCCGATCGGCAAGCCCAAGAGGCTCAGTGGTTTAGACCACAGCACCACCCATTCCCTGTAACGCCTACCAATACAAAGTGATGGATAAGGAGAATATACCAACCCCCCCCCAAACCCCCAAAGGACTCCTTCCTCCCCCACCCCATTTTGACATATTAAAGTTTGGGGCAGATTTGTATAAAAAGCCTCCCAAGTCTGCAAATTCACTTGCTGTAGACTCAGTGACTCTATAGCACAACCAATTACTTCTAGAGGGAACCACTAAATCATTTAAACCAAACGTAATGGACAGCCACATTTTCTTGCGCAAGGGTTCTCCCTTACCTGGTTCCATAATCGGGACAGCGAACGCATACAGCTGCATACTTGTTCAAGATGGGGAGGATGTAGTCCTTTCCTTGATCCTCAATTGCGGGATCTGGCAGCTGACTGGAGACAGAAAGCAAACCAAATGGAGGTGGCACAACTTCTGCTCCTTCCAGCACATGTTTCCCACCATAGATATCGAAACCTCGAGAGCACACAGTAACGTGATAAGCTGTCAAAATACCAACAAGGACAGCCTTCCTGGGCTTGGTGCTCTCCAGATGTTGATGGACGGCAACTCCCATCAGCTGCAAGCCATCATGGCCAATGGTCAGGGGTAATGGGCACCAAGTGGACAAAGGCCGTCAAGGGCAAATTACAGGAGATGCCCACCAGCTATTACTTGGGTGCTTACTGACTTTATTGCTTGGCTTCTGTTTTATTTTGATGGTTCTCCTATATAAGATTTGTTGGTTCTTAATATATGAGGTTTTAACGGCTACCTGAAATGTAGTCTTCTTACTCTCTTACATACCCTACCAATCACTTTGTTCTGCAGGAGAGGGCATTCCGTCAGGAGGCCAAGTCTGCATGATGGACAGAATCAGGCCTTTAATGTGGTAGCAACACTGATGCTTTAGAACTCCCACCCATTACATATCAAAGAGGCACTTTCCCCATTTCCCCCCCTGCTTTTGCAAAAGACAACCCTCTTCCAACAAACCTTTATCCCAGCTGGTATCTATATTGAAGCTAAACTGATTTTATGCATGTGCTGCTGTTACTTTAAACTGTTTATCTCTCTCTCTCTCTCTCTATATATATATAATGGTTTCAACTGTTTTTATACATGTAATTGTTTTGAATATGTTTCTGTTATACTATATATTGCTTTGGGATGCCTCATGGGAAGTAGATAATAAATAAAACAAACAAATAAATAAATAAATAAATGCATTGTGACTGCAACCTACTTTGGGAGTCTTTTCTGTAATGAAAAGCCGGCTGGAAATATTGCAAATAAATATTGCAAATAAATAAGTAAATATGCTTTTACACACACAAAAACCACCCATCCCTGGTGTGGAAGATAATGAGCCAGATGGAACAATTGCCTGGCACCATTATCACGAAGCTTCCTATTTTTCTCTCCGCTAATGCAAGCAACCGTGTACATAAGAAGGAATTTAGTTCAATACACTTAAGACTGAAAGCATTAAAAAGCACAAGACGAAAAACCGATCATTTTCCCACAAGCATTCTTATTTACAGGCAAAGCAAAGGCTTAGAGTTGCCGATCCCTAGGTAATGGCTGTACGTTACAGCCAAGGCACAGACTTACGGGTCTTGGTTATTCATCACTTTAATGAGCTCTTGCACCAGATCTTCCTTCACAAGGTCCTGGCTGTGCCGGATGACATCCGTGAAAAGCTGCTTTCCATACTGAAGCTTCTTCCATGGTGTATCCAGCAAAGAATTGCTCAAGCCATATACCCCTGCATGGGAGGAAAGGTGATAAAAGCTTATGAAAGGTGAACTCTTTATTTGCAGTCATAGCTCAGCAATACAGCATCTGAAATAAGTGCAGGTGGTCTCAGGTCCCGGGCATCTCCTGGTAGGACTGAGAATGTCCCTTGTCTGAAATCCTGAGGAGCTGCTACCAGTCACTGGGTTGATGAACCAACGGCCTGACTTGGTATGTCCCATTTGACAATGAAATGAGGAGCTGACACACCATAGCAAATCACCCCCAACTCTCATTCACAGTTATTATGCGAGTGGACTGTTCAAAATTGCTGCTTTAGATGACATGCTCTACACACAAAAGAAGGCCCACTCTTGAGCAGTACAGTGGTACCTTGGTTCTCAAACGCCTTGATATTCAAATGCCTTGGTTCCCAAATGCCGAAAACCCGGAAGTAAGTGTTCCAGTTTTCGAACGTTTTTCAGAAGCCGAACGTCCAATGTGGTTGTCCGCTATTGTTTCTGGGGCGCCTGCACCAATCAGAAGCTGCGTCTTGGTTTTCAAACATTTTGAAAGTCAAATGGACTTCTGGAACAGATTAAGTTCGGTGCTTTTGTTTTTGCTATTTATTTGTATTTTTGGTTTTGAAGCTTTTTCGGTTAATTTGTTTTTGTGACTGTGTGGAACCCAGTTCAGATACTGATTGATTGATTGTGTGACTGTGGAAATGGATAAAACCCCCCATCCAAACAATGACTATCATCAGTGCAGGTAAGAAAATAATAATTTTTATCATCTGCAATACTGTCTTATTTATTTTATAGTACAGTACACTGATTATTGCTTTCATTTTATGCATCAAGGGTCTGGTTAGATAGTAAAATTCATGTTAAATTGCTGTTTTAGTGGTTGTTTTTAAAAGTTTGGAACAGATTGATTCATTTTGCATTACTTTCTATGGGAAAGGGCGTCTTGGTTTTGGAACACTTTGGTTTTGGAACAGACTTCTGGAACGGATTAAGTTTGAGAACCAAGTTACCACTGTGTGTCTGCATATATAAGGCCATCATGGAAGGACCAAGAGCATTGCACTTTCTGTTATACAGAAAACTCCCCATTTATGCACGTTCAAGGCATGCATGACCGTGCCATCCACCAGGAAGTGACACGGAAAGGCGCCAAAATGGCCCTAAAAGAGCATGAAAACAGCCAAAATGGCACAAACACAACATCAAGCAACCCCATGAGACTTTGCAAGTGCAATCCCAGGAGTCGTGCACCAACCTTTGAGGCCTTTGGAGAGCCGGAGTTTGAGAAAGGAGGTTTGGAGAGAGCAACTGTCGTGGTTTGGTTGGGTTTTTTAAAAAAGGTTTTTCAAGGATTTCCAGAGGTTTAGGAGGAGTTTAGAGGCTTTTTCAATGGTGTTCCCAATATACACTTTGGGAACATAACTCCTGTGTAAATGGGAAGTTGCTTGTACTGCCCGTTATATGATGATTCAGGAGCTGGATGCCTGTGGAAGTTCTTCAAGGAATTCCCCAATTTTGGGTGGTATCCAAAGTTAGTTCAACTCAAGAGCAGACCCAATGAAGTTAATAGGCAAGGCAAACACAGGCCCCTTAGGTTCAGTGGGCCTATTCTGAGTAGATAGATATTTGTTGGATACAACCCTTTGTTGAGATTTGCTTCCCTTTATAGAAATCAAGAGAGGTCCAGTGCCTACAGAGTAGCTATATTTGCTATCATGGTTTGTAAGATCAAACCGGGATGTGGGTGGCGCTGTGGGTTAAACCTCAGAGCCTAGGACTTGCCGATCAGAAGGTCGGCGGTTTGAATCCCCGTTACGGGGTGAGCTCCCATTTCTCGGTCCCTGCTCCTGCCAACCTAGCAGTTCGAAAGCACGTCAAAGTGCAAGTACATAAATAGGTACCGCTCCGGCGGGAAGGTAAATGGCGTTTCTGTGCGCTGCTCTGATTCGCCAGAAGTGGCTTAGTCATGCTGGCCACATGACCCAGAAGCTGTACGCCGGCTCCCTCGGCCTATAAAGCGAGATGAGCACAGCAACCCCAGAGTCGGTCACGACTGGACCTAATGGTCAGGGGTCCCTTTACCTTTACCTTTAAGATCAAGCATAAGCTGGTGACAGCCAGTTGTCATCCAATCCAAATGTTATGCTTTAAACTAGTGAGTAGGAACATTTTGCTCCACTTTGTTCAGATTGTTCTAAATCATAATTTGTTTCATTGCACCTCTGTCCCACTTTTTTTTTTTTAAACATATTGGCACTTAGATTGGTTCAAAGGTGGTCTCCCATCTAGGGAGACTGAACAGATCCAAATCTGCAAGGTCAGTGCATCACGTGCCATAGCAATGCAAGCAGCTTACTTGAACTTTGCAATGTGGTGCTCTTTTTATCCTGTGTTATGACTTAAACAATAGAATTTGAACTCTGACCAAGTCAGTGTTTGCAACAGAATGCAAATCAAAACCAGGTTAATTTCAACCCAGAATTGTGTGATTACCTAGATTTGTTTTCATTTAAATTTGCATTTCCCTGCCTTACAACCGTTGGCATTAAAGGGGAGGGGGAAATTAACATATAAATTAAATGTTTAATATATAAATATTAGCATATATACCCACCTGATAGCTCTCAGGGCTGTCTATATATGGCATAGGGCAGGTGGTTTTAAAATAGATTCTATATCTGGAAAATCTCATGTTTATTTCATTTGGCCTTTCCCTACCTCCAACCCAACAATGTAATTACTTATTTTATGTTAGCATTTGGAAAGGGTCCTCTTAAGACACTATGAGCCCACAAGGGAAAAGGGGAGATCTACCCTATCCCTCGACAGTAAAATAAATTGGGGCTGGGGGGGGGGATGGGATGACTCGAGTGCATATTCTAGATACTTAGCACTGTATAATAAAAATCGTCACCATTTCTAAAAGCTCTGTATGTTTGAAACACTTGGTCGAACAAGGTGTGCATCAATACACAGCGTGCTTGCTAGACCAATAGACCTGCAGGCTTTTACCAGGGCACAATATTCCTATTTTATGGGCAGATTTGTAGCTGCCTTACCAGACACAGTATTCCTGAGCTGTGTTTTATTGGTTGTTTTCATAAAGGCTGCTGTGACGTCGCATGCCCTGAACCAATGGAAATACAGTGGGGTTGGAGAGCCATGTATTAAATAAAATGCAAACAAGAAAATGGACTTTGACCTGAAAGATGCAGGACCATCTCAGCCTCTACCATAGATGTATTCTTTTACACTGCTATGTAATGGTGAATGGGGCCCATTGGGTACTGGTCAGACAGAAGGCAGACAGACCATTATTATTATTATTATTATTATTATTAATAAAATTTGCATACTGGCCTATACCCGTAGATCTAAGGGCAGTTCGCAATATAAAGTTACAATATAAAAAACACAAAGTACATAATAAAAACAAAGACAACCCGATAATTGCCCCGTACACAGCACATTTTAAAAGGGCATTAGATGTCATGTTAAAGATGTTAAAGAGGAATGTTTTCTCTTGGTGCTTAAAGGTGTATAATGAAGGTCCCAGATGAACCTCTCTGGGGAGAGCATCCCACAAAAAGGGAGCCACAGCAGAAAAGACAATGGCAGGTGGAGCCAAACCCAAAGACAGTTGGAACTTGAGCCAATGACAGGTGGATCCATTTACCTCTGATTTTGTCCCCATCCTCTCCCCTTCTGACCTCTACAAGGACAAAACCAAGAGTGAGGAGGAGGAAGCCAACAGGCAGTTGGTTGTAAGTGAGACGGCAGGCAGGTGGGGGCTGGCTGGGGCACTGCCCCATTTGCCTTAATGCAGTGGTGGCCAAACTTGGCCCTCCAGCTGTTTTTGGTCTACAACTCCCACCATCCCTAGCTAACAGGACCAGTGGCCAGGAACAATGGGAACTGTAGTCCCAAAACAGCTGGAGGGCCAAGTTTGGCCACCACTGCCTTAATGGATCAGCCTCCACTGCTGATATGGCTCTGTGTATTTCTAGATATTAACCATACCCGGGCAGTTGTTGGGGATGGGGAATTAATATCGCAACTACCTCTCCACTGGCAAAACAAAAGCCCATTACAAGAGGATCTCACTGAAAGGGAGGGCAACAGCGTGCCAAGGGTCACTCTGTAAATTAGTTAAACCATGCCTAAAGAACACTCTAATGAAACTTGCAAAACACCCAACTGATTAGTCTCAATAATTGACTAAATAACTCATCACAGATCTTCTTTTCCTGCAGATTTCAACTGGATCAGTCCCGCGTGAGCCCTCTTCATTAATGAGTCCTCTTCAGTCATTATTAGCCTAAAGACTCATCCGCAGACCCTTATTACCACCATTCAATCAGCTAAAAGGCGATTTAAGCATCCTTTTATCTATGGGGAGATGTACATTAAACAGGGTTCAAATGTCTGCTGCTCTGTAAAGAAGAATAAGAGGAGGGGGAGAAAAAAGGCCTTTCATAAGCTGGTCCTGGATTGTTCCACTGAATGACACCACAACTCTTAATTCTTCTTAGAGGGTCCTGAAGCCTTGGAATAGATCAGGGTTTCCCAAGCATGGGTCTCCAGCTATTTTTGGACTACAGCTCCCACCATCCATAGCTAGCAGGACCAGTGGTCAAGGATGATGGGAATTGTAGTCCACAAACATCTGGAGACCCATGCTTGGGAAATCCTGGTATAGATGGTGTAACCAAACCAATAAAACTATTGCTCCAGAACGTCCAATCATAGCTAGGAACCAGTTCAGATACTGGTAAAGAAGCAGCACATGTGAATTTTACCAAGAAACAGGAAATGTCCACGTGACGTCCAGAGGGTGGCAACACGAGAATGGGCCTTTTCTGCGGTTGGCTGGCACCTTTGTTACATATCTTTAGGTGCCAGGCAAAACGTTCCTCTTCTGCCAGGCCTTTGGCTGATAAATATCCAATATACTTTTTAATGTGCCGGGCGGGAATCATTGGGGTTTTTTTGGGTTTTATTATGTATTTTGTGTTTTTTGCATATTGCATTTTTATGTTGTGCAATGCCCCAAGTTCTACGGATGAAGGGTGGCATGCAAATTTACAGACAGTTCCCCATTTCCACGGGGGTTACATTCCGAGGCACTGCACGCATACATGAAATCATGTATATTTGAAAAAGCCCCCAAACACCCTCTCCTGCCCCCGCCCCCTTTTATGGCATTTTTGGATCACTTCCAGGTTTGGGCCGATGCGTGTATGCATGGTCACACACATATTGAACACGCGTAAATGGGGGGTTATCTGTAATAAATAATAACGACAATAATCATAAACTCCTCTGCGAGCTTTGCCATCATGCCAAGTGAGCAAATTTAAGCTACACTTGCTCATTCTAAAATATCTCACAGGCCTGGCATAAAAAAGTGGCTCGGGGGGAGGACAATCTATGTAGCCCTGAAGTGCGTACATGGAAGAACATTATGTAATCAGCAGCATCATAGTAATAATAGAGTATTATTTACAAGAAGAGTGAAGTGTATACATCTAGGGCACGGTAGTCAATGTGGTACCCTCCAGAATTTGTTGGACTCCTACCCATCCCAGGCAGCAAGGCCAATAATAGTCAAAGATGATGGGAATTGTGGTTCTGGAGGGCACCACATTGGCTAACCCTAGTTTAGGGTAACATCAATGCCGTGGAACGCACAGGCTGGTTTTATGCTGCTGTAGTCATCTGTGGCAGTTTCTGCTCGTAACTTAAAGAAAAAAGCTTGCATCCAAAGCCAGTCCTACTCAAAGTAGACCCATAGAACCATAGAATTGTAGAGTTGGCACCACAATAGTCCAACCCCCTGCAAAGCAGGAATCTTTTGCCCAGCATGGGGCTTGAACCCACAATGCTGAAATGAAGAGTCTCATGCTCCACTGGAATTGATGGACATGGCTGATTTAGGTTCATTAATTTCAATCGGCCTACTTTAACTTGGAAGGATACAACTCCAAAGTTCGCTAACATTCTGGCTTATCCCCAGGGATAGGATGCAGGATACCAGGGGGAAGCTGCATCTCAGTGGTAGATTGTGGATTGCAGAATGTCTCAGGTTCAATCTCTGGCATCCTTCAGTAGGGCTTGGGAAGACCCCCTGTCCGAAACCATGGAAAGCCCCTGCTACTCAGTGTAATACAGAACTAGCAGACCTGTCAGTGTGACTTGGTTTAAGACAGCTTCCTATGTTCTTACACAATGATGACAGCGGACTGGATCTCACTTTCTTCAGACGAAAGATTGCAAGGCATTGGCACGCCGAAAGAGCTGCATATATGGCTTAATGAAAGGCACTTTATCCCCTTTTAAACGCATACGGCACATCTCTCAAATAGGGTCCTTAACGGTGCACAGCAACACTGGTTGACAGCAGAGATCTCTCTCTCTCTCTAGCACTGCCCTACATTTGCTGGCCATAATCCAGAAGAATAAGCACTAGCTGTGTAATATAATGATCTATCCCACAACCCTCCAACATCAGCTACTCTCCCCGTGGAGGCCACATTTAGCACAGAATGAACTCGTCGTTGATGCAGAAAGATCAGGGATGTCAGCAGCAGTACCTCTGGGTACCCAATTCTTGCATTACAGCTTTGTGGCGCGGTGTGAATAAGTGATCACTGATCTCTTAATGGGGCATTAAGGCATGCAAAAACAAAGTCAGATGCGCCGAGAATTCTCAACACCCCCCTTTTAATTAAAGGGAAAAGACAGGGTTTAAATCCCCTTGGTCTCCCTGGATTTATTTTTAACTTGCGGACTTAAGTAGCCGCCTTGTACTGCGCCTCCTTCTCACACTGCTGGGGGCCCTCGCTGAGGTCTCAGGCTGATGCAGAGACTGAACGTGGGACCTTCCATATGAAAAGCATGTGCTCTGCCACTGAGCTATGCGCAGCCTTTCAAGTCAACGGCTAGGTTGCTTCCATTCTGAAAACTCATGCAACAGCCTGGCTAGGAGGGGGTAGGGTTGGAACCACTGTACAAGAGTGGAAGACAAAAAGTACAACAGCTTCAAAATTAAGGTGGCTCTTCCTCTACCAAGAAAGTCATACAGTGGCCATGAATGTAGTTCTAAGTAAAAATTACTACCTTAATAAGCCAGGATATGAGTGATGCCTGGGACACGGGTAGCGCTGTGGGTTAAACCACAGAGCCTAGGGCTTGCCGATCAGAAGGTCGGCAGTTCGAATCCCCACGACGGGGTGAGCTCCCGTTGCTCGGTCCCTGCTCCTGCCAACCTAGCAGTTTGAAAACATGTCAAAGTGCAAGTAGATAAATAGGTACCACTCCGGCGGGAAGGTAAACGGTGTTTCTGTGTGCTGCTCTGATTCGCCAGAAGCGGCTTAGTCATGCTGGCCACATGACCCGGAAGCTGTACGCCGGCTCCCTTGGCCAATAAAGCGAGATGAGCGCCGCAACCCCAGAGTCGGCCACGTCTGGACCTAACGGTCAGGGGTCACTTTACCTTTACCTTATGAGTGATGCCAGGTTCCTTTGTAATGCCAGGTACAGAGATGCCATGCTCCTTTGCAGCCCGTCCGTCCCTCCCTCCCTGTGATTATTGTTTTATTCTCAAATGGTGTATAAATGTAATGAAATAGTAAATGTCAAGCTTCAAAAGAAATCAGGATACAAAGCTATGCTTTGAAGCTGGCTTTACACTCTGGCTTGTTCCGAAGCCATTAACCATGGTTTCTGGACTTGCACACAGTTAACTATGGTTAACTGCCGAGCAATGTGGCTGCAAATCAGCTGCGTGCCCCTGCATACAACTCATGCATATCCTGGCTTATTATGCCATGAATTTTTTTGGCTTTGCACTGCATGCAGATGTGGCCAGTGTCCCCATTTTATTTGCCTACAAACTTTCTAATGCTCTGCTTATACTTTTATATCCCTGCCTGATCACTGAGGTCTTGGGGAGAGTCTCTCATAAGAGGTCCTTCATGGCATGGATGAACAGCTTGTATCCAGCAGGAGCTGTGCATTCAGTCTTGTGAGCCCAAATTCGTGGAACTCTCTTCCTGTTGAGGTCAGACAGCCCCATCCCTGTTGAACTTCTGCACCTACTGGAGGCTCCCCAATTCCAGACGACATTTTCAATTGAAGTTTGGCCTTAATCCATTTTAACATTTTATGTATTACGTTTAGTTAAGTAGCATGTATTTTTATTTTTAAAAAACAGCTTTGTGCAATGCAAGTGAGGGATGGTGGGATATGAACATGCGGAACGAGCTTATAGGTTTGTTGTTTAGAAGATGGAGCAGACTTCATCTCTGTTGCTCCAGAGAGCAGGTCTAGAACCAAGGGGTGGAAATGGCAAGGAAGCAGATTCTGGCTGGGCAGGAGGAGAAATTTCCTAATAGTGAGAGCTGCTTGACAGAGGATCTTAAACCAGTGATGCCAAACTTGGCCCTCCACCTGTTTTGGGACTACAAGTGCCATCATCCCTAGCTAGCAGGACCAATAGTCAGGGATGATGGGAACTGTAGTCCCAAAACAGCTGGAGGGCCAAGTTTGGCCATCACTGTCTTAAACGGTAGTTGGTTCACTTTTCTCTGGGGACCTTTAAACAAAGGCTGAATGGCCATCTGTCAGAGATGCTGGACTCTGCATCTTGCACTGTAGATTCTGCATTGAATGGGGTGGGGTATGGATGAGATCAGGGGTGGGGAATCTTATGGGCCAGATCTTTATCTGTTTCCACCCTGCAGGCCGGCCTTGACATGGTGACAAGAGTCAATCCCACCAGTCAACCTGACATAAAGCCCCAAGTCATGAATCATGGAATTCTAGAGTTGGAAGGGACCACAAGGATCATTTAGTCCAACCCCTGGCAATGCAAGAATATGCAGCTGTCCCATATGGGAATCAAGCTTGCAACCTTGGCATTATTGGCACCATGTTCCAACCAACTGAGCTATGGGACGTCGATGCATGGCAGTGAGGTTCTGCTTCACCAGCATGTTCCCTGCAGGGAATCAGCACCCAGCAGGACTAAACTCCCCAGCTCATCAGCTGATGGGAGGAAGGTTTAATCCTGCTCCCTGCAGCTTTGCCAGTGCCGAACCTGCCCCAGTGATGTTGCTGATTGACAGGTGGGTGTGGGTTCTTGCAGGCCAAACAGGTCCCTCCCTGTCCTGAGCCAAGATTGGCCCATGGACTGGAGATTCCCCATCCCTTGACTAGATAGACGTCCAAGGTCCCTTCCAGCACTAGAAGTATCTAGTTCTAAGTTATGTTGAAAGAAGATCCTCCAAAATGATATACTACATCACCAGTATGCCTCAGCACTGCCTGACTCCTGAATTCCCCTGCAAGCTGCTGTAGGCAAAGTAATTATTAGAACAAGCCCTCAGGCTACAGCCTTCTATGTTTTAGTTAAGCGCCCTACTCATCGGTATTTTTTAAAAAATATTATTTGAGATATTTATAAAGCCAGTTTACTCCACATGTAGCCAATGCACCGTTGAATGAGACTCCTCTTACAAAGATCCAGTAGCTCTCTTTCATGGGATTCCGCTTTTCAGGACAAAGACTGTGCAAGCACACACACAACACACACAAACACATGCCACTGCTGTAACATAAACCAACATTCCAACAGTTTTTGATATAACCCACCGGGATTTAAGAAGACAGGTTCTGGGCCGCCTTTGTTTCCGTAATACCAAATTACATCTCCTTTGGTGGTGCTAAAAGATAAAAATAGGGGTGGAGAGAAGAGTTTTCCTTGCAAAATGGCAACTCATATCTTTGATTAAGTTTAAATTCCGTGCAACCCTCCCCACAGTGAGACACCCCCCCCCTGCCCACCCTCAGTTCAGGGATCAGTCAATTACTTATTTAAAATAATAATAATCAAGTCACTATTTAAAAGGCTGTTTAAAGAGAAAAATAAAAAGGAACACCCCCCCACAAACTACGAAAAAGAAAAGAAAGGAATTTTTTTACAAGGTTAATAGGAGCTACAAAAGGAAAAAGGAAACAAAGATCTGTATCCAACAGGAGTTTTCATGCTACGCAACAGAGGAATGCAATGCAACAGTTGCACTAGCAGAAACCCACTGCACAACCCATTGTGCATTCTATTGTGCAACAAAGTTACCAGCATGCTGCTTATGCATTCCCTTGCACAACAACAACAACCCACTGGTGCAAAACACTTCACCAGCAGAACAAGTAACCTAGTAAGTTGCTTTTAATTGTCGCAACACTGGATACAACCCCTTGAGTTGTTCAAAAACAAAGCAAAAGCTTGTTATCTAGGGACAATATTCAGAGAGCCACTGCTCATGTGTACCAAAGTGTGCCAATTTTTGCTGATTCTTTCCCCCAGAGGCATAAGGGGCTGCAGAACCAAGGGTGCAAGGAAGTCTTGCTATGTGCCTTCAAACTCTACTTGTGCTTTTCTGGATCCAAGTCTGTGTGTGTGTGTGTGTGTGTGTGCGCGCACGCGCGTACTTTGAACAAAGGGAAATACAATAGAGCTTTCCAGCACTTCCTCCCACATTTGATTAAATTCTGAACAACGCCACCCTGTCTTGGATGAGAACCTGGTGAGTTCAGATATGCATCCGAACCACAGTAGTCAGGACTTACGCTGACCCCACTCATGTCTGCCCTGATGAGTCAACAGCAATTTGAGATTGGTTTTTCCCTCTCTTTTTTTACTTCTTCATACACGTTTGTTTCAGCAACAAGCCACAGGACATTTCAAGAGTGCGTTCACATCTAGCCATCACAAAACAGCTCTCCCGCATCCCACTTCATCTTAGTTATTTCCCATCCACACCATTGCTGCTTTTATTCTACTGGGAAAGTGGTACACAAAGCCAATTACGTTTTAAAAATTTTTCACAGATGCTGAAAATATGAATCAAAGCGTGGAATGTAATGAAGCCCCCAGGGTACAGCACAGTTCAGCATACACCTACGTGTTGAAGGCAAAATTCAATCTTCACGGCAACAGCACACCATCCAACAATTGTGCATATGTACAAGTTTACAGCACAAAACACACAACGTGTCAGTCCCCAATGAACAAAAGCTTAGTTCAGTTTGGGTTTTGTCCAACTTAAGTTCTGCCGTTGTGTTCTGGTCTGATGCAGAACCTGCCTGGAAAGGGGCAAGATGGGAGGCATGGCTACTGGACCACTGATGGGTGTAAGTGACCAACTTGCTCTGACGAAGACTGGGAGCAGACTGGGCCTCTTGTGTCTGGAGACAACCTCCTCTAGGCTCCACCCCCTTGAGTCCAAATAACTTCAGAGCCTTAAAGAAGCAACCTTCTGGACTGAAGATGGACAAGTCTCCTTTGTTCCAGAGCCGCCCCTCCTGGTGGACTTCTAGCACTGCTGGGCCGGTGATGTGCAGTGAGATACATTTGGTTCTTCAAGGGAAGTTGTCTATGAGGGTCCCGGGTCCCTATAGGCCTTGATGGCCTGGGAGGTTCCTCTGGGAATTCTTGTCCAACTGTCTCAAGCCCAACAGCCTCCCTGTCTTCTGCAGTCAGCTCTGATACCTGACCCAGACTAGCTCCCCATCCAGTTCCCCTGCAGCCTTCAACTTTGTGTCCAAATCACTCCTGGATACAGGGGTCATGGCATTTACTCAGACTGTAATTAAATGATCTAAGATAGTAATTTCCTTTCCTTTCAGTGCATCTACTCCGAAAATGACTAATGCTGTATACAACTCTAAGTGTGCAGTACTTGGATATCAGAGCAAACAGGCTATCAGTTTTCTAACACAAAAAGCCCTGTGTTGAGAAATCAAATTGCTCTCCAATATTTATCAAGCTCAAATATGGTGGGGAAGACATGGACCCTACATCCCTCTAGATTTTGCCAGATAACAATTCACTGACCACTGGCCATGCTGGCTGGGACCGCGATGAGAAATGTTACACAACATGCAGGCCAGCAACCAAAAATAGAATTGACACACTGCTTGTTTCACCCTTTCCCCACCAGGAGGGGCAGGTGAACGCATGGCATGGCCTCATCTTGAGTTCACTGCTGTATGTTATGAGCAGGGGACAGTAGAGAAGCCACAAGCCAGGGCCACATCCTGAATCACGCAGGCACATCCCTAGTTAAAAGGGAAACAACAAGAGTTCTACTCTTGCAAAAGAAAAAGAGTTAGAGGAGAGGAAAAGAATAGGAGAATGTTGGATTTTAAGCTGTCAATCCACAGCATGAACGCTATGGGGAAATTGCAATATAGGTTAAGGACAGAAATGGGATGCAGTTTAGTAGGAGAGTTCATGCTTTGCATGCCAAAATCCATTAAGTTTTATTTATTTCCCAGGTAGGGCTGGGAAAAATTCTTGGGACCGGGAGACCCACTTTTTGTCAGATTAGACCACTCTTCCTCACCTGGTGCCTTTCACATGCTTGGGGCTATAACTCCCATCAATTGCAGTCAGCATGACCATGTTGCCTGGTGCACATGGGAGTTGCAGTTGAAAACATCTGGAGGGCACCAGGCTTGAGGCAGGCTGGTGCAGACAAAACAGAGTGAGATGGACCAACTCGGACTGAGACGATGGAAGGCAGGGAGACCAAGAGCCAGAGCCAGAATGATCACATGAATGCTTGTAATGAGGGAGAAGGGACGCGGGTGGCGCTGTGGGTTAAACCTCAGAGCCTAGGGCTTGCCGATCAGAAGGTCGCCGGTTCGAATCCCCACGATGGGGTGAGCTCCCGTTGCTCGGTCCCTGCTCCTGCCCACCTAGCAGTTCGAAAGCACGTCAAAGTGCAAGTAGATAAATAGGTACCCCTCCGGCAGGAAGGTAAATGGCGTTTCTGTGCACTGCTCTGGTTCACCAGAGTAATGCTGGCCACATGACCCGGAAGCTGTACGCCGGCTCCCTCAGCCAATAAAGCGAGATAAGTGCCGCAACCCCAGAGTCGGCCACGACTGGACCTAATGGTCAGGGGTCCCTTTACCCTTTACCTTTAACAAGGAAGGAAGGGTTCAATATTCCTAAATTTCTCCCAAGTTTTATCCAAGAAAATGGGACTGTGAAATTGACTAAACCAGATTACAAAGCAGCTGGCCTAAACAACTTTTCTCCCAAAAGTAGACTTGGCATAAGGCTACTAATGCCAAAAGGTGGATATGTGGATATACAGCAGGCATGAGCTAAACAAACAAACAAACAAACAAACAAACAAACAAACAAATAAACCACTGAGGGAATGGGGCCAACTGAACATAAGGTTGGGAAAATGAGAAACAAAGTTGACAAGATGCATCTATCTCTACCTCAAGGTCTGCGTGATTTGCTTCCTTCAGCTGTTACCAGAGTTGGTGTGGGAGCAGCCACGCCCTTGCTGCTAAGAGATGAACTGGCTTCCAAGCAAGGAAGGCATTTATGGGATTTAGCTTTCTTTCTCGATAGTGAGTTTTAGAAATAAGCTAGCAGATGCTGCTAGTAGCATGTCAAACTCGAGTGGACTGGGGAGGAAATTGGACAAGGCAACAGTTTTAAGGATCTCTCCCCCCCCATCTTCCTCTTTTTCTTTTATGAAGTAGCAAAGGAAGAATTGCAGAGCTGCCATTAGATGGCTCACTCTCTACATCCTTCAGCCCTTCCTGCCAGCACAGAAAGGCAATTCCTCAAACTGCTCTGGGATTATTAGGCTGGACGTCAGGATGAGATCATATCAGGCAGTATTTCACTCAAGCGATTCACTTATTATTTACAACGGTGGTGGTGGAGAAGCAGTTCTCCAGCGACAAATGAAGTACATCTGTAGTCAAGATTTTAATTCTATCCAAGCTTTCAGAATTGTCTTGTCCCTTTTATGCAGGATTCTCTTCCCCCTGCTCTTTCCTGTTTAAGATAAAAAATAATACACACGCACACAATTCTGTAGGAAATCATATAGATAAGCACACACACATACATGTATGCACTCACGTACACACATATATAATCATAGGATGGAGTGTTTGCACAGCAGATGAGCAACCATTTCCCAGCATTTCATTTTGTCCGAGAACAGGGGAGACACCCCAATAGGCCCTTGCAAACCGAAAGCAGGCTGGGTACAACCTCATTAAAACTAAATGTAACGCGTTGAGAATTTAAGCTGCCGGTATATAAATTGGCATCTGGTGCACAAAGTCTAACAAGCAGAAATTGTTCTTTATTCAGCTATTTATAACCTATCCTATACTTTGCAGCTATAACACAAACTGAGATGGGTTGCCCTCCCTTTTTAAAGCAGCCAAAGCTCTTAAAACACACTCGCACCCACCCCACAACAACAACTTTATGTAGGGCATCAACAACAGGGTGATTGAGATTAAAACAAGATAAAAAAGGAAGAAAATGAAAGAAACAGAAGCACTGGATTTACTCGACCTCTTGTGCTCTCCCTCTTTTCTGCTTTCAAGGCATGCTTCAAAAGATGGCTTATGCTACACAGCTCATTGCTATTAGTTAAAATAGCTCCCCCGGAAAAGCAGTTGTTAGCTTAGCTAATAGTAAAATGCTGCCTCGGCACAAGGGACAGATCCGATTCAGTTTATGCAATTTGTGCTTTCCAAAAACAGTATGTGAACTGAGAAACAAGCTGCCACTTTAAAATTCGCACTGCTCCGAATCGTACGGTGCGGCTCTCTCCGGCCTCCCCTCAAAAATTGCTTGCGTTAAGGGAAACACCACAAAAATGAATGTGCTAGTGAAAGCAAATGAAAATGCAATATATTTGGAGGAATTGCCTTGCAAAAAATAAATAAATATGTGTACATTAGGCAAAATTACATGCAAAAGTATGTGCATTTGGTTATTTATTTATTTCCCACCTTTCCTCCAAGGAGCTCTAGGTGATGTACATGGTTCTGGGGCTGCCCTTGAGACTGACCCAGAAACTCCAGCGGGTGCAGAATGCTGTGGTGAGACTCCTTACGGGGTCCTCACTGTGGGATCACATTCACCCAGTGCTATACCAGCTGCACTGGCTCCTGGTGGAGTACAGGATCAGGTTTAAGGTGCTGGTTTTAACCTTTAAAGCCCTATACGGCCTAGGACCCTTGGACCTACAGGACAGCCTCTCCTGGTATGCCCCACGGAGGACCTTACGGTCTTCAAACAAAAACATCTTGGAGGTCCCGGGCCACAGAGAGGTTAGGCTGGCCTCAACCAGAGCCAGGGCTTTTTCGGCTGTGGCTCCGATCTGGTGGAACGCTCTGTCACAAGAGACTAGGGCCCTGCGGGACTTGACATCTTTCCGCAGGGCCTGCAAGACAGAGCTGTTCCACCAGGCCTTTGGCCAGGGCACAGCCTGACCCCCTCTTCTGGCAATCCTCACAGAACTCTAGCCCAATGGTTGACATTAATCTGATTTGAACTGATCTTATAATGAAATGATTTTAGAATGTTGTATCACTGTACTGTTGTTAGCCGCTCTGAGCCCGGCTTTGGCTGGGGAGGGCGGGATATAAATAAAATTTTATTTTATTTTTATTATTATTATCCGTCATTTAATCCCCACAACAAGCTTGTGAAGTAGGTTAGTGACCAGCCCGGTGAGCTCTGTGGCTGTGTGGGGATTTGAACCCTGCTCTCCTAGGTCCTAGTCCAACACTCTAACCACCACACTAAAAAAAAAATCATGAACTGGTGTGGAAATATCCAAGGTGTTGTTTGGTTTGCCAATTGCATTCACTGTTGAGTATACAACTCTTCGTTGTCTCTTCCCTTGGAAATCACAGGAAAGTTTGGCCCACAGAGTGCATCTCCCATCCCACAATGGAGGAAAATCCACACTGTAAAATATCGGTGTTCAGTTATTTACAGTGCTTATATCGTAAGCTGGCAAACTTTGAGGCACAACCCATCCTTCACATTAGTGTTCTAATTTTATTTTCATTCACTCTTAGCCTTCACCACAGAATAGACTGTAAATTCTAATCCACCTGAAAAATGCAACGAAGATTAATTGAATTCTCCGCATTTTCAACATAGGTGCCGGCTGCCTCGTTGTCATTTTACCAGCGTTTAATATTAGTTATAACCACTACAGAGTTCAAGCCTCTGTGTTCCTAAGGTTCAACACAATAATTACTCATGCTCTTGTCTTGGCTGATGTCTGTACTGCAAGAAAGCAAACATATATCTTCTCTCTCTGGTTATAGAGACCTTCCTTACCTCCTTATTTTGTTCAGGACCAAACTAACATGGCTCCCATCACAGGTTGAGCATGAACCAGCTAGGCAGCCCAACTCCCTCATCTCAGAAGACTTCGGTGCAACCTGTTGCCTGGCAACTGCCAGCAAGGGAAGCCTTGCCTCCATCACGGACCACTGTGAAATCCAGTTGCTCAGCTTCACTCCCTTGGAATCAAGGATGGGGACATGAAACACTACCCTAATAAGCTTGATTCTACATGGGCACCATGTCATTTCTGTTCCTCTCCCAGACCAGGGTCTGATCTTGGTTCGAGAACCTTTTGCACAACACTTTGAAGTTTAAAATTTTTATTGTTTTTTAAAAATTTACATCAGAGGATTTTACAACCAAAATAAACCATAATACAAACAAGAACATGACTTTGCTTTTCATGCATGTTAATCTCCTTCTTTTAACTCCTTGTTCTTAACCTCTTAAATCACATATGTATCTTTAACAGTTTTCCAAATGGTGCCCTATACCTTCCTCCCCCTGTTCCCGTTACTTCCCTTCACCCATGTGCGATCTTCTCAGCCTAATATTGTTTCTCGTTGTGTTAACAAAAGTTTGTATTTGTTGTTCCATATACGTATGTCATGATATCGTTTTGTACCCTTGCATTTTACCTATTCAGAGTCTCCTGTTGCTATAAAGCAGGACATAAATATTCTAAAACAAATAACTTAAAGAAAACAAAGTACATTGCATTAAATGCAGGGTCACATTTATGAGTGTGTGTTTCAAATAGCAGGCATGGGCTCCCCCAATCCAGACAGCAAGGGCTGGACTCGCCTGCCACAATCCTACTAAAATACCCACCCCAGGGCAATAGCAGCTTGAGCTGGATTTTCAACCAGGCCCTGCGACACAGGGGGAAAGGGCCTTACCCATTCTTTTCAATGGATCTACTCTGAGTAGAACTACTGTTGCATACAACCCTCTATACCAGGCATAGGCAAACTCCGGCCCTCCAGATGTTTGGGACTACAATTCCCACCATCCCTGACCACTGGTCCTGTTAGCTAGGGATGATGGGAATTGTAGTCGCAAACATCTGGAGGGCCGGAGTTTGCCTATGCCTGCTCTATACTCTCCACCACTTCCCCCTAAAATAAGATTCATGCTACTAGTAACATTTGAGCCCTTCGCTCGCCCATAAACTTTAAACACTTTCCCTGCTTTTAAAATCTGCTTATTTCTCATATACACAGCCTTTTAAAAAGTCTTTTGAACAACAACAAAAAGAGGTTATCAGACAAGCACAAGGCTGGCAAACAATGGAAGATAGAGAATGGGACTATATATCATAACCCTGTGGTTTTCAGTCTTCCTGCCTTTAGAGGGCCTTCCCCCCCCCCCTTTGCCTAGGAATAAATGTGCATGCCAGAGGATTTCAGAGCATGTGCTAGAGTATGCTCTCAGCTCAGAGGAGGCGACAGCCAACCCCCTTAGACGAAATAAATGTGCCCAAGCATGCCTTGCAGCTGTGCATCGCAGGAAAAGATTGTCAACAAGGGACACCATCTGAGAAGAGAAGCTTGCCTTGCTGATCTTGCAGAGACACCTGATTCAACTGTGGAGGAGCTCCAGGATTTGGAAACCACTGCCTTAAGTCACCTTTCAACAGGCAGCACCTGGCAACAGTACCACTGCCCCCCCCAACTAGCTTCCTTTTGTGGAAACCTGTCTGGATGCTCAGATGATTCCTCCCATGGGAGCCTGCCCCTGGCGCTTCCAAGCTCTCTCCACTGCCAGCAATTAGGTGGGCGCTACCTTCTGTCATCCCATAAAGAGTTTCGAAGCATGGTTGTCAACTGAATCGAGCGCACAAAAATATCTTCATCCGAATGTCATTCAAGTTTCAAAGTAACAGCTGGATGTGCAGTAAAGGGCCATCAATGAAAAGAAACCTCCAACATTTCCCTGTCAACAGAAGTTTGACCATCACAATCCCTATTAGTCGGAACGCTGGGGCAGGCCTTCTTTCTTTTCTCTCTTTATTAAACACAAAAATCAATTTTACACAGCAAATTAAACATGAATTAAACCACCGTCTGGTTTGAACGCAATGTTAAGCCATGCTAATTTTTAGCTTAATGCAAACAAGTGACGTATTGCTGTCCTTGCTTCGCTCTTGACTTTGTGTTACAATAGCAGACTAATATACTCCACCAGCTTTTTACAACCTGGCGCCATCCAGATGGATTGGGATGCAACTCCACCAGCCCCCCAATAGTCAGGGATGATCGTCAGTATGACCAACAACCAAAGACGATGAGAGCTGCAGTCCAATGCATCTGGGGTGGGGGGCATACCAGGTTGCTGGAAGGCTGTACTAAGCACTGTGGGTTGTAACCAAAGCAGCACCAACAGAGTTTTACTTGCACAGCATCACGTTTGTTTCCTCCACTGCCTCTTTCAACCCCCAAAATCTTCTCTGGGGGGGTCTGTGAACCCTCTGGAGCTGATTTTGAGAGTGCACAGGGGGCTGCAGGTGAGAGGAGAGGAGAGGAATAGCCTGTTCTGCTAGCGCAAGTCCCAATGGCTCTAATGCAGGGGTCAGCAAACATTTCAGCAGGGGGCTGGTCCACTGACCCTCAGACCTTGTGGAGGGCTGGACTATATGGGGGGGGGGATGAACGATTTTCACCCGCCCGCCAAGAGGCCTGAAGATGCTTCGCTTTACCTGTCCCTGTTGTCGTCCCATTAGCCGCAGTTGGGCTTCTCCAGCCAGCCAGGCGCCATGGCAAGGCAGGAGGCTGTGTTGGCCAGTGAAGACAGAAGCAGCAGCCCCGGAGGGGGAGCCGCGGACGGACGTAGGGGAACTGGGGCTTCGCTGGAGCTTTTACCCACCACCTGCTGCTGCTACTTCCTGAGAGGCACCACGGAGAAGAAGCCAGAGCCGCCCGCCAACCCGCAAGCTGCGGCCACAGCTGCCGCAACAACCCGCCTGAACGCCATGGGAGAAATGAAGGAGGGAGGGAGGGAGGCAGTGAAGAAAGCATGCGAGGAAGTGGCATGGAAAAGGGGTGTGGAGAAGGAAGGAAGGGGAGACTGAAAGAGGGAGGAGGCGCCGTAGGAAAACGCAGCAGCAGTCGGCAGCCAGCGTCACATGCCCACTGAGGCGGGCAGGCGGGCGAGCCAACTCCCGCCGTCAACGGCAAGCGGCGTGGGACAAGATTGCTCCTTCCCTGAGGAGAAAAGTGCCGCTGTGTGAGGGAGAGGGAGGGAGAGGGAAAGAACGTGTGTGCTGGCGATCCACGCAGCGATTCCTGGAACGTCCGCGTGCCGGATCTAGAAGGCAATTGGGCCTGATCTGGCCCGCAGCCCTTAGTTTGACGACCCATGCTCTAATGCCACACATGGAACAGGCAGTAAACAACTAAAGCAGCAGGGAATAGTTGTGCCAAACAAATCAACGTCTGTCATTAGAAATGAAGGATTTGCACTCTTTTGCAACCGTTTCGCGGCCCTCATAATTGCATGGTAAATATACACCTCTGATTTACCGCTTTACTTTCTATGGAGGGAGCACCTTTGCACTTGAAATATCTCCCCCTCCCACAAAAGAACCCCAAGTGGATGATGCATCGCCCATTAGTCATGTTGCTATGTTTCACCTTAGATCTTTATCCCCCACCCTTCTCAAAGACATACATTCCAGCAATTCCTTACAAAACCCAAGCTGGTCACGCATCGCTAAAAAGCCAAAGTTTTTTGTTTTAAGGAAAGAAAGCAAAATTCAGCAAAAAGAACGAACGTATCAGACTCGTTCCCAAGGCAAGTCAATCAGATGTTCTGCTCAATATAAATTCATCTCATGTACTATTCCACAACTCCTCCAGGATAAGAGTTTTGTAGTTTCCAGGCTTCTAGATTTTAACTATGTATCTTGCTGGTTTTTTTTAAAAGAGAGAGACGAGAGAGGAGAAATCTATTAATAAAGATTGTGGCAAGAACTTAACATATTTTCAAGCAACCAAGCAAGTTTCAAATACCGCTATGGGCTTCCACAAATATTTCACGCATTTGCAGTAGTGCACAACAGTTTAATGGAATGTGTGCTAAAACACCAATGGTCATGTGCTTTCCATTTCACCCCCCCCCAAAAAAAGAAATAAAGCAAGAGTCATGTATGTAACACGCCAGATACTCATCATTGTCTGAATTGCCCTTGTTATTACTCATTGCTGAAGAGTCTTCTTTGATTTCTGCATGCTATGTTAATTTAATCTGCTACTGCCTTCCTTCCAAGCTATTATGGTATTTGCTTTTTTCAGCTGAACACACTAGAAAACCACAACTACCTTACAATAGGTTATCAACAATTCAAACTAAGCAGCAGCAGCGGTATGTGAATGTGCAGGCTGTATAATGCAGTGTGTCACTGTGTCCATTCAAATGTGTTGACACTAGACACAATGCACCTACAACTTCAGCATTCTTCAACTCTGGTTCCCACACATTGCTGGACTGCAACACCCATCAGCCCAAACCAGCTTAGCCAATGGTCAGGGATGATGGGAGTTGTAATCCCACAACATCTGGGGACCCAAAGCTGAAGAACACCAAACTACTAGAGATCCCGGTAAGGCAGATGAACCCTAAAGAACAAGTCCTCTAGCAATTCACTTACGTTAAAATGTTTTTCAAGAATCCCCCCAAAATGCAAAAATAAAGACTGTACCTGATTAGGCTTAGGTACCTGAAAACAAAGACCATTCCTGGTCAAACAGGGATAGTTGCACACTATACAAAATTCAGGATTTTTCTTAAGTGGAGATTTAGCTCCTTCCATTTTCAAGCTTCCCTAGGTAGATAATAACGTTGCAACAAGTGCACTGGATAGTTGGTTCCAGGACAGCGCTGGCTCTGGTTCCAGTACAACATTCTAGCCACAAACAGCACCTGCCTAGGAAGTCTCTATAGAAAATGTCCCAACTTGACCATGTAGATCAACTCCTTGAAAGGCTATACGCTCCTAAAGACATAATCAAAAAGAGCTAAGTATGTGGAAAACATCAAGCCTAGTTTGCTATCTGCAGAGTCAGACGTAATATAAACCAGCTTGCTTAAATTCAAACCATCATTTTATAATCTGAGTTCTGCCCCGTCGCAAACCAAAGTTTGTCAATTTAGACTCATCAAACCAGTTAGGCTCTGTAAACCATGATCTGACTGATATTTGTGCCAAGCCTGTATGAAGTATATTAAAAAAGCTGTCTTTGAGTGAGTGAGGGGGCACCCCAGAAGCTAATCCAGAGCCAGTTCTTACATGTATCTATTAGCCAAGCATTGCTGCAAAAGACTATCTTGTGCTGATTTAAGTAGTCACCAGAGACTTCCTTTAGTAGCAGACTTGAGTGTGAAAGCAACATTAATACTTGCCTTGAAGTTCTGGTTTGAGAATTTCAGCAGTTAAGATTCCTTGGAGTTTAGGGGGTTGGGGGCAGGACAATGGGAGATGCATCTGAAGCACAGCCTTGTTAATTCAGGACATCTGTAGCTTATTTCCCCAACATTCCACATTTCCCCAGAAGTACACTCTCTATTCCACATACCTCAAACCGTGACAGATTTGAATAGCAAATAGCTTCAGCAGCTAGAAAACACACACATATACAAGCTGGTACTCACACATTCCAGGAAGGGAATGTTGTAACTAGCTCAGGAAAGAAGGGCCACATTCTGTCCTCTAAAACTGGGCTGGAAGGTCAGCTTTTTCCCAAAATACTGCCACCCGCTCTGATTTTTCATCGCTGTTGCCCATATTAGCATGATCTTCAAAAATAAGTTGCAGTGCCAGACTCAGACATGAGGAATAGGAACTGCCACTCTCGTGACTGGAGGGGAGCATCCAAAGTTTGTTCTACTCAGAAAAGACCCATTGAAATCAATGGAGACTAATAATAATAATAATTTATACCCTGCCCATCTGGCTGGGTTTCCCCAGCCACTATGGTCAGCTCCCAACAGAATATTATAAACATGATAAATTTGGCTTATTTGATTTCAGCTGGGTCTGCTCTTATCAAAAACAGTTGGACCCAACCCTATATTCCTGCAATAGCTATTATATTGTTGTTAGCTGCCTTGGATATCTTGCAGTACAGAAAGGAAGGATATACGTGCTTTTATTCACATGCATTTTATTTTAAAAGCAAGAGCTAGCACGAAAGACAAGGTATTTTTATTCATTTAAGAGAGCTTTCCTTTCCTTTCTTTTCTTTTAATCCCACGTTTTTAGAAGAATCTACTCTGCTTGGATCCAGAGAGGCCCTTAGATGGAGAAGTTCTGGTGAGCAGCTACTGTTCCACTTTGTGCAAGGGGTAGTGTTGGCGGCAAGTTGTGTAATGCACAGGGGATTCTGCGATGCCTTGCACAAACAGAAGCCGACCTCTGGTTTCCCAGTCCTTTCTTTCTTGTGCAAGAATCTTGCGCTATGTCAGAAAGGGCCCTTCTGCCCGCAGAAGAGGCCCTTCTGCTGTTCACGGGCAGCTCTGGATCCAGCCCAACATCAACCCGCAGAGAGCCTCTGAAAACAAGTGATGTTAACTTCGCTGCAGACAAACAGCAACATGAGCCAGCCACGGAAATTTATAGCTTCAGTGTAAACTGTTTGGAATTATGTTTCAAGATCAATCTTATTACCAAAGGGAATTCTGAGTGTCTTGCAGGCAACGTAGCCACTAGTATCAAAGCCTAAGGGCGAAATATCCACAAGACATCGCTGAAGGCTTTTGCAATTCAGAGATTATCGTATCCAATGTTGGCCGCAGTGAATATTTGGCATATAAGCCAACCACATTGCCTGGATTGTTTTACAGCCATCATAAAAAAAACACGCAAAAAAACACAAGGGCAATGGAAGGGAGCAGCACTTTCAGAAGCTGCTCACATATTTCTACCCACTTTTGTCAAATGGTCACAAGCTAATCGGAACAGTCCCTTTACGTTGCGTTTTAAATATATACCTACTTTGCTGTCTTTCCCTCTTTGCAGAGCAGAGAAAACAGTTGGACATATAAGTGAAGCAAAGGAAAATCTGTGAGGACAGGGCCCATCTTGGGCTAGCTGAACCAAACTGGAGTTGGCACACTGCAGAATGGAAAAAGGTAAACTAAAGAAACCAGGAAAGCGAGATCTAACCATGTGCCCCCATGTAATGAGAACTCTACTTATCACTTGTTACAGTAGTGGGGGGAGAGAAAGTGCAGAATGGACTTCGAAACAGGAGCAAACTAAAAGCAAGAAAGAAAAGAACATAAGCATTTGAAAATGGGCAGAAATTTCCTATTTATGGGAGAACACAGATGTGGCTCAGCAGGAGAGCACATGTTTTGAACGAAGACTTCCCCAGGATTAATCCCCATCATCTTCCAGTTTGAAGGATGCCCATTGCCAGGGTGGAAGAAGGGCTTCTGCTCAAGAGAACTGTTGCCAGTTGGAGTAGACAGCATGGCGGGTAGATGGAGCAATGGTGTTGACTCCGCAAATGACAGTTTCAGGTACTCACTGACATCGGAAAAGGCAGGGCAGTGGAAGGGAATTTTTAGAAGCTGTACTGTATTTTTAGAGGCTCTTTAAAAATGCTGTTCTGTTTTGCCATTCCTTTATAAGCCACCTCAAATATTCTTGAATTATAAAAAGGAAAGCTGTTAAAAAAAAAAATCCAAAGAAAGAAAGAAGAAGAAGAAAGAAAGAAGGAAGAAGGAAGGCGAAAGAAAGAAAGAAAGAAAGAAAGAGGAAGGAAGGAAGGAAAGAGAAACAAGACTATTTATTACCCAACCTTGTCCAACAGATTGAGCACAGAGCAGGTATTTGTGGCTTTGTCATTGAGAAGGGACGAGCAGGAGCTAATCGTACCAAGACCACAAAGATCTGGTCAGGGCTGGCTCTGAATGATTGCAACAGAAAGAGGTCTAAACCGCCTGAACATGTAGGGAGAGAAGGCTGCCCCCATTTCTGAACGGTGTCTGCCCTCCCTGCATGTCCTCCCCAGCCCCTGGTTCCAGGAGAGTGTTCATCTTCATTACAGAGAGACCAAGGGCAAATTAGCAAATCACAAAGATGCCCTACAGTAGTTACGATTCCACTGGGATTTGAAGATCATCGCTCTAAGCAGGAGACACTAGGAAATGTTTTAAATGAAAGCTTCTGCCTGACCTACCACGACTTGCGGCAGTCTGCAGCTGAATTCTAATGGTCCACTTTACTTGAAGCAGGGAAGAAGATTCTACTACGGATTGTTCTGACCTTCAAGCTATGACATTTATAAAAAGCATTCTCTCAAACCCATGCTCATGATTAACATGGCTCCATCACAAGCCACAGGTCCAGACAACAGAGTAAGGTTGCCATATGGAAGAGATCGGCACTCCAGAACTAAGGGGGAGGGAATGCAGTGCTAGTCAAACAAACAAAGCCAAGTGCTACTACTGGGAAGACGAAGGAGAACAGGCATTCCCCACTCTGTCCAAAAGAATGGGTGACTGCTGCTTTCAAGGGGCAGAACCAGAGACCGTCCTTCTAAAGAAAAGAAAACGCACATGAACTAAGCTATACTTCAAGCCAGGGTTAGCCAACGTGTTGCCATCTGAATGCTGTTGAACTACAGCTGCCACCAAACTACAGCTGCCACCAACTCCAGTCATCATGGCTAACAGTCAAGGATGATGGGAGTTGCAGTCCAAGAATGTCTGGTGCCACGTTGTCTAAGCCAAAGGTTCTCAAGCTGCGATGGTGCAAAAGCTCCATTATCTACAGTAAGGTTGTGGAGCAGTCAGAAATATCTGCACTTGGTCTTGCACTCAATTTATTTTTTCTGATGACAGAAATCAAAACCATTTTGAACAAGGGCCTGTGATATTCATGCACTGGTGCAGTCTACTAATTTCCCCTTAAATGTTTAAAAGGAGCCCTTCTTAGCAGCCTGGCCCAAAGCCCACGATTTTCATAATACAGTGATGATATTGATGTTGATGCTAAAGAAAGAATAAGATCGTGGGTTTTTTGCCTTCTTCCATTGCATTATAAGGCACCTTGACAGTTATTCAAATATGAGTTACGTATATATTTTGATTTGTAGAATAAACAAACAAAAATGTTATTATGTGGTCTGCCAAGACCTCCAGCATTTTTTAAGTTGTCTGGAGAAAACAAATTATTCTCCTTCCATTTGTAAGCCTGGAATTCACCGGTCAGCTATCCCACGGCAGGTCACAACACATGCCCACCAACTCAGTTTCACTAGTAATCTTTGTATAGTCAAAGCTCCACTAAATACAGGTAATGCTCAAACACCAACCTATTGATTACTAACAGCTACAGTATGCATTTACAACACACTGGAACACAAATCATGTTTTATTCAAACATAGGCTCACCCTTGACTCGTGCATTGACTCGCTTGCACAAAACTTACACAGAGGTTAGACTATGCCTGGTCTTTACTGAGTATCTGTTCCAATTTGGTTGTGGGGGGCGGGGGGTTATACGGTCATGAACTCGGATCTTGATTTCATCCTGATTTGCTTGTACTGTTCATCATTCATTCATCCAACACTTTTCAGAGGATTTTCCTAATTGCAAAACACCCATTAAAAAAACCAAAAAAAGTGGGTTTGCCGCACCAGGGCAACAGAGCCTTTGAATCCACTGAAATTGCACAAGCCTGAAGTTCTGGTATGCACCTGAAATCCTACTGCAAAACACTGAGAGTCCAAAGGCTACCTATTTGAGGGGAAGAACTCTTATAACTACTTCTGAGAAACCAGAGTGCTATTTTGGGGAGGGAGAGCAGGAGGAGGACATGGTTTGTTTGGCATATTCTGAATACCCCCCTCTTTGGCTAGCAGCCATCCATCTTTGATACACTCTATTGAGCTGTCAAGAAATGGATATAGAAAGTAATTACTGCCCAGGGGAAGCTTCCTCTTCTTGTCAAAATACATATAGCGTATTTGAAGTAGTCAGCTATGCACTGTACACACATAAGAACGAACTGGCAAATGCACAACAGGGGAGCAACTTTTGGGGAGGGGGGCGCATGCCGGCGGTGGGCAGGGCCAGAGTCAAAAGCAAGCAGAGCAACAAGTGGGACCCTTAACTCTGTACAGTCAAAGCTATACACCCATCTCTCAATCAGCCATCCATGCAAGCAAGAGGCATTATCACAGTTCAAGAATGCATTCCTGTCATGCAAAAGCACTCAAGGAGGGTGAAAAGCAGGGACAGGGTGTGGCCTGGGAAATGTCTTGAAGGCCAGACAGAAAGGCCTGGAGGGCTGCATTTGGGCCTTGGACTTGAGGTTCCTCATCCCAGATACAGGGGTACCTTGGGTTACAGACGCTTCAGGTTACAGACGCTTCAGGTTACAGACTCCGCTAACCCAGAAATAGTACCTCGGGTTAAGAACTTTGCTTCAGGATGAGAACAGAAATTGCACGGCGGCAGAACGGCGGCAGCGGGAGGCCCCATTAGCTAAAGTGGTGCTTCAGGTTAAGAATAGTTTCAGGTTAAGAACGGACCTCCAGAACGGATTAAGTTCTTAACCTGAGGTACCACTGTATACACCACAGACTCCTAACTATACCGTTAACAGACAATGCTTTGGTTCCTGAGGAGTTCAGCATCTTTGGCATCTTGTTCAAGAAGCATTACAAAATACCGCTGAGGCCTACCTATCCTTCAATGCAACTGGCATAAATGAATAAATAATAATACATTTAATAAGGCCAGTTACTGCATTTGAAAGCTAACCAGAAGGCAGCTCGGCTGGGCTGAGGCAGCCCCAGTAGGCAACAGGAATGCTGAAAGCAGAGCTGAACTAAGGGCGGCCGAGCCCCAGAAATAATTGATTTACAGATCGGCAAAGGGCCAAAAGGATCGTCAAGCGGCACACACTTCAGCATCCAATCCCGTTTCTGTATTCCACCACAGGAAAACAAAATGATATGATTTATGTTGGCCTGCACCGTGGGGCAGGGTTGGCAAGCAAAATGAAAACAAAATTCACATAAATTTGAAGCTTGCGGCAGCAAAGTCTTAGCAACACCCTCCATTTGGTTCAGCGGCAGGTTAACCCAGTGAGCGGGGAATGACATTAATTATACCATTTTAGAGTTAGAATGAATCTTAGGGGCCACCTAATGCAACCCCACCTGCTCAGTGCACGGTGCCACCACAGCATCCCTGATAGATGGTCATCCAGCCTCTGCTGACCCAAGGTTTTTGTGCTCTAGCAGGGGATTCTTACATCCCTTTCAGGGCTACACAAACGCCTGGTGGATATGACAGTCCCACCACAACTCTGCATGATTAAGTGTGCCACAAAAGCATGTAGAACAAACAGGGTACATTGATAAAAGGTTTAAGCATGTGCTTAGTTTGCTGGATCCAAAAAGCTAAGCAGCTGTACCGTTCGTAATATACATCCAAACAATGGGCAATTTCCTTCATTGCTATGATTTCATAGATCGGGGTGGGGTGGGGGAACGCTTTAAGCCTCCTTCTAGAAAGGCTACTTCAAATCCAGGTTGAGGTCACCCTCTTGGGTTAATTAGAGCTCTGCTAGGTACTGCAGAGCTCACTAGCACTCTGTCTCTGCTTTCTCCCAGGACCGCATTCTATATTCATTATGTGACTAATTCAGAAAGCCCCGCGAAGATCTACAGAACCATATGAAATGACACCTGAAGTGTGCTTGACTTCAGATCCACTCGGATTATTGGCAGTTCCCACTTGACACCTGGGATGTGCCATTTTACATTTCCAGGGAGCGACATCCTTGACTTCATCATTATCACCACATCTGTTTCTGCCTCTCGGTCCTTTCTCATTCCAGTTCTCCCTAGATGCCTGACCAGGTGAACAAAGCGAGCAGATTGCAGCCATTAGTTTGTAATAACTGTGAGATGGCACCGCGCTTCCTTCCTTATCCATGCCTACTCCTTTTAGTCATCTATGCAGCTTGCCTGGCAATCCCGTCTCCCTTCTCCACAACCGCAGTGTAGCGTGGGTAGGGAACCTCAAGCTCAGAGGGCAAATGTGGCCCTCCAGGCCTCCCTACCTGGCCCTCAGATCTCTCCCCAGGCCACACCTCCCACTGGCTCTGTTTCTAACCCCATAACGTCTTTGCCTGGCTGGACTATGTCCTGATAATGCCTCCGGCGTGCCTGGATGAAGGACAGAATGTGGTCTGTGAGGGCGTGTAGAAACTAGACTACTGAATAAAGGTAAAATGTACATTCATTGCCCAGAGTAAACCCATTAAAATTAAGACTGCCATGTCCACCAGTTTCAATGGGGCTGCTATGAGTACAACTCAAGACTGCTACAACCCTAAATTTGTTCCTTAATAAAACAACGACAACAAGAACACAATTTCTTCATTAAAAGGGGGGTGGGGGAACAGAATAGGCTTTGCTCTGACACATACCCATGCTACAAATATTTAGTGCTATCCATTATATGCACCCCATTGGCCCTTGCTTTTTCCTCCCCCTTTGCTGCCTTAGCTGTGAAGTTTTTATATACTTACTTCAAGTCTGCTGCTAGTAAATTAAATCCATTGTAAAGGTGTCCTTCTAAGGCCACTTTCTTCAAGTAAGAATAACTGTCCAGATCTGAAGTCAAAAAATTTGTCACGAGGGCACCTGCAAAGTGGGAGAAAAGGGGGGGGGGTTAGATACTGGTAGAATGCTTTCCAATGAGGAAAACGGACATTTCCCCCCTCACTGGGCTAGCTCAACCAAGTGGCAGAAATGAATAAGATTTCTGACTCACTGCAGTCAAGGACATAGCATGGAAACAGATTAACGTAAGTTTGATCAATTGTGTACCAGGCTCACCGTTAATAAGCGACCTTTATATGATCAATTTTTTTTAAAGGCTTTTCAAATGTTTTATGCCCCCCTCTGAGACAAATTTCACAAATAATACCAACCCCATCAAAGCATCCTTTTATTTCCCGCAAGTCAGTAATGCTACACAATTAAGATCATTGCAAATCTGCTGTAGCAGACCCACCACTTAATACCACCAATTAATAATGCGGTGGATCCTCTCCCGCTAACTGCCCTCAATTAAATATAGTGCACCCACCTCACAGTACACCAATTACATGAATTTCTACAATTTACCACAGATTATCTGGCGGGGGATTTGTGTGAGGGAAAACTTAATGATTTAGAGTCTCAGGCAGGAGCTGATCAAACAAACAAGAAACATTTCATTAAATAAAAAGAAGTTTATGAAACAAAGCGGGTCAGGAAATGCGTTCTTTCAGGTTGAAGTTAACTTATTTAATTATGTCTCAGGCTTAAACATAATACTATTGGCACAACTCTTCTTCAGTTACTAAAAATCAGGTGTTACACTTCAGATGGTAAATGTTCAGGTTTCTAGAATAGAGGGTAAAATGCTCAACTCAGTTTCTGTTACCTAGATATTACAATTAAATACTTTCAGCACCATACAGATTCCTTCACAGCTTAATCCTTTGGTTCATGAGGTCTTCTAAATGGTATTACAGACCCAGGGGATCCCCTCACCCCTTGTTACTGGTTTGGGAGTCTTCAGTACCTGGAAGAACTCTTCCCTCCTGACTCTACTGAGACCCAGGTAGCCTGTATTCCCACAAGATCTACCTCTCCCTGCTCAGACTCAGCCCTTCCGGGACACTCCGGCCTGTATACCTTCCCCAGACCCTCAACCCGGTCTCCCTATCCAAGCTGCGAGGCTCCATCCTCTCGCTATGGTTAGTCCTCCTCAGTGTGAATGCTTAACTTCCCTCAGAACCAGTTCTCCTGAACTCACTCCCTAACTCCCAACTCCAACCAAACCCTATTTCTTAACCTGAACCTTTGCCCCTCCTCAAAACCAAGCCTAACCTCTCATCTTAAATCCAGCCTTGTCTACCCCTCTCCCTCAGAAACTCCTTTTATATTCCACCCCCCAAATGCTGTTCCTCCCCACTCTGTGGCTAGCTGACTCCGTAGCCAAACAGAGAGAGGCTCCAGCCTACCCTGGAGGGGAGACTACATCACCAGACTGTGGTCTGGCTCTATTGTCCATCAGACAGTATTTCAAGCAATGCTGGGAACGCAGAGCTAAACCCAGCTCCCCAGGATGTGGGCAGGCATAATATATGCAGAAACGCTGAGAAACGCAATTAAGATATGCTCTATTCTCGGTACACATCACATTTTTAATGTGATCTTGCAAAAATTGCAATGGAGAACTGGTGGCTAGAGAAAAGACTTTCTCCCTTTCTCTTAAGAGTAGAACTGGGGGGCGTCTCATGGAGCTGGGTATTGGAAGATTCAGGACAACCAGGAGTAAGTACCCCTTTACACAGAGCATTGCTAAATGATTAAATTCTCTCCCACAAAATGTAGCGATGGCCACCAACTTGGTTGACTTTAAAAGATGGTTAGACAGATTCATGGAGGGCAAGCCTATCAGTTGTCCTGCTATCAGAAGTCCTGCTTTGTGGGCTTCCATTGGGGGCTGGTCACTGTGAGAACAGGTTGATGGATGAGATGGGCCTTTGGCCTTACCCAGCAGCCACTTCTGATGTTAGAAGTTAGAAGCCTTGACATTCTCTAAGTCCTACCGCCATGGTTACGTATGGCAGGAACATTGGAAGCCGGCTAATACCGATCAGTCTATGCACCGAATTCAACTAAATAGTTGCACTAGTGGGAGCCAGTGCAACCAGACCCATTAATGCAATAGGGTTCCCTTCCCTCTTCCTCCTGAGCCCCCCTCCATCAGTTTGGGTGTGTGTGTGTGTCAGAAGCATCCCAGAGCAGTGCTTGGAGGGAGGAGAGCGAAGATTGTTCCATCTAGGAAGCAGAAAGGTTTGCCCTGATGGAACCGTCACAGTCATGAGACATTGAATTCCATCCTGTATGTCCAACTAAATCAGGGCAGCCCAACTTTTCATACCAAGTGGGCCGCAACTTTGACACAGAATCTGTGGACATTACACTGCCTTGTCGCATGGCGGAGTGAGGCCAAAATTTGGTCCAGACCTTGTGCTGCCTTCCCAAAGCTGGCAAAGGGAGGCGAGAGGCTCTAGCCGGCTCCTGGAGCCTTGCCTCCACTTTCCCAAAGCTGGGAAACCGCTAACTAGCCTTGGTAAAGGAGACAGAAGGACTCTAGGACCCTGTCAAAGCCTCACACCTATTTCACAAAGCCCAGCACCTCGCTTACCCAGCTTTGGGAAGGCAGAGCAAGGGCTTGGAGGGCCGTCAAATGTTGCCAAGGGCTGCAAAAGAAGGTCTTGAGGGTTGCATGCAGTGCTTGGGGCATGCTTTGGACCACCCTAACCCAAATCCTACTATTCCCTATTTCTAACTGGCAGTGGTTCTCTAGGAGCTCAGGAAAATGCTTTCCCTATTACCTGGTTTGTAACTGGAAATGCCAGATTCAGAACAGATTCAGTACCACTGAGTTACAGATCCTCCTGCAAAGAAGCAGTTTCTGCCTAGTTTCAAGCCTTTTGAACAGGAAACAAAAGTGATACCACTATACTACCTAAACTGAAGCTTCAATCCTGCTTAAGCTTTAGGTATCCAAACATAGGGATAACCCAGCTTTCCAGAGGCCACTGAATTATTCCAAAACAATGGGTTCCCAAGACAGTTAAATGCTATTAATTGTTCTACCAAAATCCCTGCTGGCTGGAACACTAGCATTATCATCAATAGAAGCAACCTAGCAATTACAAGCCCATCACTTTAATATGTAACATATCTAAGCATTTTCTGGCTACAGTTGGAAGCATAGGCCTATAGAAATAAAATTATTTTCAAAGTAGCAGGCAGGTTTTTAGAGCAGAATTTTTAAAGCAGTTGTGTGTTGTTGTTGTTGTTGTTGTGGCTTCTTGTTGTTTTTAAGAGTAACAGCACCACTTTCAACTAACTTGATGTAACCCTGGGAGCTGATGCATGCCATTTCCAAACATGAAATATGTGTATCCTAGTATTAGTAGTAGTAGTATATTGCCTTTCATCTATAGATTTCAGTGTGGTTCGCAACATAAAAATGCAAGCAGAAATTGGAATGTGACTTTGTAAACACTGCAAAGACTGACCAAAGGAAGATAAGAATTAACTCTCCCAGCACACCAGGTCCGAGACAATAATGATTATGAAGGACTACACAAGTGAAATGGATTTTATATTTTTAAGAAATAACCGAGGCACTGTTGGTAAGGAGGCAATGATGGTCGGCTGTAAGAATGGACAACAACAAGTGAAGGATGAAATGGATATTAACGAAGAGATGATGTGGCTACAGGAGGAAAAGATGGACGTATGTTTGTAACAGGAGCGGAGAACCTGATTTTTTTAAAAAAAGAAATTGTATTAAATTAAAGTAATTCGGTTTGATTTGTAAAAAACATTGGAAAACTAATAAAAATAATTGGAGGGGGGGGGAGAACAACCATAAAATGCAAGCTAAAAATGCATAAGAAAAGCAACTTTTCACTGCAAGCTAGCCCATAATGCTTGTGGCAGCAATACTCCATGAGTGCATCCCTATAATCAGTGATGGGAGTACCCCAAACACACTAGAAGATGGAGGGAAAGAAGAACTGAGTTTGAAGTGAGCATATGAACCAGTGGTACAGAGCACATGGTCTGCATGCATCAGCTCCTAGGTGTAATTTCTGTCATCTCCAGTTAAGCCACCCCTGGCAAGGGAGACCTGGGAAAGATCTCCGCCCCAGACTCTGGAGAATTGCTACTGACATTGACAGTGAGTAGCAGTGGCGTAGCGTGGGTTGTCAGCACCCGGGGCAAGGCAAGTAATTTGCGCCCCCTAACCCGTGGATTTGCGCCCCCTAACCCTAACCCCCAGATGTTGCGCCCGGTGCGGCCGGCCCCCCCTGCACCCCCCACGCTACGCCACTGGTGAGTAGGGCCAGCTAGACCAACAATCTGTCTCCATACAAAGAGATCTTCTGGATCTATACTGGAGGGGCAGGGTGTTGAAAGAGAAGATTCTGGTTTAGTAAGGGAGAGGGAACACAGGAAGTTGCCTTACACAGAATCCATTCAGCTCAATAGTGTTGACTCTGACTGGCAGCAACTCTCCAGGATTTCATTGGGGGCTCTCTCCCAGTCTAATCGGGAGATGCTGGGACCTTCTGTGTGCAAAGCAGGTGTTCTACCACTGAGTCATGGCTGTTCTAGGTTTGGAAACACCGCAACACAATATATGACTGTAGTAAGGGAAGTGCTGCTGCAGTTTGTGTGATTCACTTTCGACTGCAGGATTTACAGCTGAAGAATCTGCATATTAAGGGAACTTCCAGGAATGTTCATGTAACCCAGTCCCCTCTCGTTTCCATATACATACCTCTTCCTTTTGCATTCTTGTCTATCTTTGGCTGCATGTAGTTCGTCAGGGCTGCCAATTTACCTTTCTTGCTGATTCCAAGCCACGTCCCGCCTTCTTTTCCTTCCTCCATATCCAAACCTGCTAAAAACATTTTTTTTGTTTAGACAAACCTACCCAAATACTTAGAATGGTTAATGTGTGTTTTAATCTGTTTTCAGTTTGTCACTGATTTTAATTTTTTGAATGCTTCAACTTACTGTTTTTCATTGCTTTTATTGAACATTTTATCATTTCATCTTTTTGCGGTTTGCTTGTTTGTTTTTCATTCAAGCAGTGTGCAAATTTTATGAAATTTTAAAAATACACAGTAACAAAAGTAATAAAGTAAGCAGCATTTTTAAAAAATCTAAAAGGTGTCTTTGGTCTCTGTTCAAGAGCTTCATACTTTCATATCCTTCAACATTTCAGATGTGAAAACAGGAGGGACATGCCCAGTTCCAGGGTTGAGAGTGTTCCTTAGAAGAACACTGCCTGATTTGGCTCTCAGTGGGTTTTAAAGTGTCCCAGGAGGTAGGTTAGGGCGGAAAAGTAGTGACTGGCCCAAGGTTACCTAGTGAAGAGTAATGGATGAGCAGAGATCTGAACCGGAGTTTTTCCCAGCCTTAGTCTGATACTCTAAGCCAGCCTTTCTCAACCGTGGATTCCTATATAGTGTTGGACTACAACTCCCTAGCTTCACTGCCCACTGGATCTGCTACCTACGGATGATGGGAGTTTTAGTCCAACAACATCTGGGTTAAGAAAGGCTGCTCTAATCCAAGGGTGAGGAACCCCAGGCCTGGGGGCCAAATGCATCCTTCAAGGCCTCTCTGTCAGGCCTTTGGGACCCTTCTTAGGTCACACCTCCTCCCCCCAAGCCATACTCCTCACTGCCTCTGCTTTCAGCCCTCCTTGAGTTCTGCCTTTTCGCAAACATCTCCCATTATCCTGGACCATTGGTTATGCTGACTGGGTGCGATGGGTGTTCATGGAATCAAATAACTGTGGGAAGGCTGGGCATAGTGGGCCAAAAGGTGTTAAAAAAGGATAGAACTTTCTTTATGTATGCAACAACAGCAGCAAGAATACTCATCGCAAAGTATTGGAAGACACAAGAACTTCCCACGCTGGAGGAATGGCAGATGAAACTTATGGACTATATGGAATTGGCGGAAATGACTGGTAGAATCCGTGACCAGGGAGAAGAGTCGATGGAGGAAGACTGGAAGAAATTCAAAGACTATCTTCAGAAACACTGCAAAATTAAGGAATGTTAGAGTGATGTTGGACTGAAAACAAGTGGTTTCCAGCTGTACAGGTTAAAGTTAAGGATAGATTAAGATTAAAGATCAAGATTAAAGATGTTTAAAGAAATGGAAATTTGATAATAAAAGGGAAAAATTTAAAGCTATATGACATTAAGATCAAGGATTAGGTTTAAAAAGTTGTAGTTATATTTTTAACGTTTTATTAAATTAAAGATTGGGATTAAAAAGTGGAAAAGAAACTGCTGGACAAATAATGTGGATTGGAATACAAAAGAGGGAGGTATGAGGAAGTCCAGAAAATAAGTAATTTAAAATTGGAAATGGAAAAGAGAGTTTGTTTGTAATTGTTATGTTTTGTGTTTTTATTGTTAAGTTTTGTATTGTTTTTTGTGTGTGTTGTTTTTCTTTTTTGTTTGTTTAAAACTTTAATAAAAAATTATTTAAAAAAAACAAACAAAAAAACAAATAACTGTGGGAAGGGACACCAAGAGTTCTCTAGTCCAACCCCCTGCAATGCAGGAATCTCAACTAAAGCGTCAACGACAGGCGGCCACCCAGCCTCTGATTAAAAACCTCCAATAAAAGAGAGCCCACCACTTCTGGAAGGAGTTGGTTCCACTGTTGAACAGCTCTTATTGTCAGAAACTTCTTCCTGATGTTTAGTTGGAATCTCCTTTCTTGTAATTTGAATCCACTGGTTTGGGTCCTACCCTCTAGATATTTGAGTATAGCTATAGAAGGATGATCGCCGAAGAACTGATGCTTTTGAATTATGGTGCTGGAGGAGACTCTTGAGAGTCCCATGGACTGCAGGAAGATCAAACCTATCCATTCTGAAGGAAATCAGCCCTGAGTGCTCACTGGAAGGACAGATCCTGAAGCTGAGGCTCCAATACTTTGGCCACCTCATGAGAAGAGAAGACTCCCTGGAAAAGACCCTGATGTTGGGAAAGATGGAGGGCACAAGGAGAAGGGGACAACAGAGGACGAGATGGTTGGACAGTGTTCTCGAAGCTACCAGCATGAGTTTGACCAAACTGCGGGAGGCAGTGGAAGACAGGAGTGCCTGGCGTGCTCTGGTCCATGGGGTCACAAAGAGTAGGGCACAACTAAACAACAACAACAAATCCTGTCTCCTGGAGAAGAGAGGGGGAAGTTGCGGATTGATTATGCCTGTGGGAGAGAGTGAAGAGATTTAAAACACCGCCGCTCTGACCCTGGAAACGGGCTGCTAGTAGGACTGACGTCTTTTGGAATGTTCATTGACAGTGTTTAGAACGTTCATTGACAGTTAGTTAAACAAGAGAAATACATTGTTTCTACTGTCTCTGGCTGCTTTAAAAAGGAGTAAAAGTAACTGAAAATTGAAACTAATTTGAAACTAATTTTGGATTGTTGAAAAGAGGATACTATTGACTATTACAAATAGAAACTGTTTCCCCCTAGTGGAAGCCTTTGAAACCGGTTGTTTTACAAGAGCTGGGCTAGGGAATTTCCAGCTGCAAGTTAAAAACCGTGAGACTCTGGGACTGACCTTGAATCTTTTAAGTGTTATGGTAAATGGAAGAGGAAAAACAGACTAGTCAACTGCTGACAAAACATTAAGGTCTGGGAGGACTTGGCAACAATCCAGAAGAGGTCCATCATCAGCCCCCCCTGCTCCTTCTGTTGCTGCCTTTGTACCAGCATATTTAAAACCAAGAAGAATGTTGACAGAAGAGGATTTAGCGGCTGCATTATATAAGATAAATGACTCATTGGATCAGCTTAACAGGAAAATGGACACGATAAATGCGAAAATGGATGATTCAATCACTAACATCAACCTAAATACAGAAAGTATAAACAATACCAATACAGAAACCACCCAGAAATTGATACAGGAACCTACTTTGATACGGCAAACTGCGGAGGAAGCCAGGGAAAAAGCTGTTGTTGCTGAATGTAAAGTAACACAACTGGAGAGAAAGAGAAAGAGAGCCCCAGCCCTACAGAGGCAATTTGATGAACATAAGTTGATGCTTGCTATGACTGAACTTAAAGAAAAACAGACGAATTTGAGGATTAGAGTTCACCTTTGGTGGACATGCCCAAGGATTAAGACACTTTGGGAGATGATTTATAACGAAATGAAAAAGGTATTTAAATATACCCTTTTGAAGAAGCCAGAGGCCTTTCTCCTGGGCATGGTCGGCCAATTGGTGTTAAAGAAGGATAAAACTTTTTCCACGTATGCAACAATAGCAGCAAGAATACTCATTGTGAAGTACTGGAAGACACAAGATTTATCTATTTGGGAAGAATGGCAGATGAAGTTGATGGACTATATGGAATTGGCGGAAACGACTGGCAGAAATCCGAGACCAGGGAGAAGAGTCGGTGGAAGAAGACTGGAAAAAGTTTAAGACTATTTATAGAAATACTGTAAAAATAATGAATGTAAGAAAAATGTTGGAATGAAGTTATATGGCTCTAGTAGAAATGCTATAAGGAATTAAGTATAAATAGATTAATAGAGTATTAAAGGGAAAAATATGGTCAGAATATGTTAAGATAATTATAGGATAGAAAGAGAGGAAGATGGAAAGGAATTGCTGGAACAATTAACAGAAGTGGAATACAAAAAGGGAGGTGTGAGGAGGTCGTGGAAATAAGGGAATGAAAGATAAGATATTGAAATTGTTTTGTGTGTTAAATGGTTTGTGTCTTATTTTGTTATGCTTTTTTGTTTTGTCTATTTTGTTGTGTTTAAACGGTTGAAAATTAATAAATATTATTTAAAAAAAAAAGAAGGGAAAAAAAAAGAACAACAAATCCTGTCTCCTCTCAGTCTCTTCTTTTCCTGGCTAAACATACCACAACTCCTTCAACCATTCCTCATAAGGTTTGGTTTCCAGGCCCTTGATCACCTTAGCTGCCCTCCGCTGCACACATTCCAGATAGTCAATATCCATTTTAAATTGTGGCCCCCAGAAACAGCAACATCTGGACACCCAATGGTTTCCCATCCCAGTGGTAGAGGAAGGTCAGAATGATCTTCCCCTCTGCCCTCTGCCAACCTGCTGCATTTCCATGCTGGTTGTGGAGGAAAGTGGGTTCCCCCATAGAATGATCCGTTCTTCCCTCCTTCCTCTTCCAGCTCTGATCATTCATCCGCATGGAGTTCCCTGTTGCCTATGGGCTACCAGGCAAGTATCGTATTTTTTGTTCTATAGGACGCAACTTTTCCCCTCCAAAAATTAAGGGGAAATGTGTGTGCGTCCTATGGAGCGAATGCAGGCTCCTTGGCTTCAGCGATAGTAACGCGAAGCCACCGAAGCGCAGATGGAGCGTTCCCTCCACGCTCCGGAGGCTTCGCATTGCTTCCGCTGAAGACTGGAGAGCGAGAGGGGTCGGTGCACACTGACCCCTCTCGCTCTCCAGGTTTCAGGGATAGCCACCTGAAGCCTTTGGAGCACAGCACAAGTTCCCGCTGCACTCCGCAGGCTTCAGGTTCCTTTCGCTGAAGCCAGGAGAGTCTTGCTCCAGCGAAAGGAACCTGAAGCCTCCGGAGCGCAGTGGGAACTCAGGCTTCAGAGATAGCTGCCTGAGGCCTCCGGAGGCTTCGGGTTCCTTTTGCTGAAACCGGGAGAGCAAGACTCTCCCGGCTTCAGCAGAGAGGGAGAGCTGCGCAGCGCCCCTTCAGCCAAGTGGGAGGAGAAATGGAAGGGGCTCTGTTTCTCCTGCCGCTTCACTGAAGGGGCGCTGAGCAGAGAGGGGGAGATTTTTTTTTCTTGTTCTCCCCCTCTAAAACAAGGTGCGTCCTATGGTTGGGTGCGTCCTATAGAGCGAAAAATACAGTAAATACAAGGCTGCATAAAGGCAGAAATGATGCAAAACCATTTTACTGCACTTACTTTCCACACCGGCCCCCCACCGGCCCAGTATGTCTGGTTTTATTTGAGACAAAAAAGGCAGGTGTTATTAATTCAAAGGGTGTTATTCACACAAGAAATGAAACCTAGACCACTAACACCCTTGAGAATATTTCAAGGCACTATTGCCTCAAAAATGAAGAAAAAAGAAAAAGAAAAATAGGCAGGGAAAAGCTTAAACAGGATCAACAACAACACATCAAAAAGTGGGTTCAGCATCTCCCCACTTTGCTACAGCCTGGTGCCTGGTTAAAATTCAGATTTCAGCATCAAAGTGTACCACTCCACACACACCCATCCTTTGCATTTGTATAAAAATGGGAGTGGGGAAGTTTGCAGCATACCCTGCAAGAATTTGGAATGAGTGAGAGACTTTCAGAAAGTAAAAGGAACTGCAGTGCAGAGAGAGTGATTTATCCTTACAATTCTTCCTGCCAATGACAACAACATCAAGCATAAAAGAAAAATCTTTGCACCGTCAAAAGATTTTAAAGCTATGCTTTGCCTGCCTGTGTCTCATTTTTATTTATGTGCCTAGCGAGGCTTATACTTCAGTTTGGCTAGGCAGAGAAAATATGTTTTTGGTTTTCTTTGAAAGAGAGGCAGAGCATTAAGTGAACAAAAAGGTTGGTTAACTTTTTAAAAAGTCACCAGGTAGAAGGTTGGTAGAGTCGCTTTCGGTAAATTGCAAACTGACAAAAGGCAAAGAACAACACACTTTCTCTTTAACCCCAAGCTATTAAACTATTTTTGAAGACACTTGTCTCCTGGCCAAAACTGCAGGCTTGAAAAATGGGATATCGGACCACATTTATAGGAGAGCAAAATGCATTTCTGTTACGATTTAACTATGGCTCAAATCACTCGATTTCAATGAAAATGGCAGATGAAAATGATGGACTACATGGAATTGGCGGAAATGACTGGCAGAATCCGAGACCAGGGAGAAGAGTCGGTGGAAGAAGACTGGAAGAAATTTAAAGACTATTTACAGAAATATTGCAAAATTAATGAATGTTAGAATGATGTTGGATTGAAGTTAAGTGGTTTCTAGCTGTAATGGTAAAAGAATATGGAAAAATTGGATTTTCAATAGGTCAAAACTTAATGTTATACTATATTAAGATTAAAGATTAGGATAAAACAAGGAGGGAAAGGAATTGCTGAACTAATAAATTGAACTGGAATGCAAAAAAGGGAGGCATGAGGAGGTCCGGGAAACAAGTAAATGAAAGATAAGAGATGAAAAGATGGAATTGTTTTTAATTGTTTTGTTTGCATTTTGTATTTTTCTTTTCTCAATTTTTCTTTTTCTTATCAATGTAATCTTTTTTTGAAACTTTAATAAATATCATTAAAAAAAAACAAAAAACAAATCACTCGATTTCAGGTGTCAAATTAAAACACTGTTGTGAAAGTTGTAAAAACAAAGACAAACCACCACAACCACAACCGCCAGCAATAAAAGCAACATTTCCGAAGACCTCGCCTGTAATAAGAATGCAGGGGTCTTTGAGAGGCATCTGAAATATCACATCACAGCCCAGCTTACAGATGATAGGTGCCCATTCCAAAACTCACTTCACATAAATTTATAGTCAAAAGCAAAGAGAGAGAAAAATTAGCATCAGCATGGTTTAGTGATTAAAGTTTTGGACTAGAACCTGGGAGACCTGGGTTCAAATCCCCCAGCTCAGCCTTGAAACTCACTGAGTGATCTTGGGACAGTCACCATCTCTTAGCTTTGCTTAGCCTATCTCACAGGGTTGCTGTGAGGATGAAAGGGGAGAGGGGAGACCATGTACATAAATGCAACATATGAATAATTACTCAAGGAGAATGTTACATACCGCTGAGGATCTCACTGCTGCCGTCCCAGAAGTCGGCTGATTTTGACGGTCTGTGATAAAATTCATCTCTGTTAGCTGCTAGGATAAGCCTGGAGGACGAGAACAGGAAAGCATGGTTGCCATGGATAATGTGAATAATGTTAGACCAGGGGTCTGCAACCCGTGGCTCCGGAGCTGCATGTGGCTCTTTTACACCTTTGCCGTGGCTCCAGGGCGGATACTAGCGAGGGGAGGAGGCACATTGTGCGCCCCGACACTCCCCACTGTGGCAGGCGCTGTACTGGCTGTGACGTCGCATGGGGGCGGTGCGTGCGTTAGTCACGCACCGTCCCGACGTCACCTTCCCGCCCGCTGTCAGATCGGAGGGCAGCGGCGCACATGCTTTAAATGTCACAATGGTTTTGCGGCTCCCAGTGTTTTTTTCTTCGGAAACGGGTCCAAGTGGCTCTTTTTGTCTTAAAGGTTGCAGACCCCTGTGTTAGACATAGGAGCATTGTTGGCCCACCTAGAGGATCCTTCACCAATACAGTGGTACCTTGGTTCTCAAATGCCTTGGTACTCAAACAACCTGGACCCCAAACACTGCAAACCCAGAAGCAAGTGTTCCAGTTTGCGAACTTTTTTCGGAAGCTGAACATGGTTCGTTTTGAGTGTTACACTTCCATTTTGAGTGTTATGCTGAGGTCTGTCTGTTTTTGCCATTTATTTTGCGTTTTTGTTTTTGCGGCTCTTTTTTGTTGTTTTTGTGACTGTGTGGAACCCAGTTCAGCTACTGATTGATTGATTGTGGGACTGAAGTACATTGTTTATTGCTTTCGTTTTATGGATCCATGGCCTCGTTAGTAAAATTAGTAAAATTCATGTTAAACTGCTGTTTTAGGAGTTGTTTTTAAAAGTCTGGAACGGATTAATCCATTTTGCATTACCTTCTGTGGGAAAACATGCCTTGGTTTTGGAACGTCTTGGTTTTGGAACGGACTTCTGGAACTGATTAAGTTAGAGAACCAAGGTACCAATGTATGCAAAATAAACAACATTAAAACCCCACTGCATTTCCATCTAAAGACATTGCACATGGCAATGGTCCAACAGCTTCTTATAAGAGGGAAACACTGCTGACCCATAAAGTCATGGAGGAAGGACAAGACAACATGGACTGCCTCACATGCAATGTTAACCATGGCTTCATGCTATGCAGACAAGCCTTAGTAAGACCCAGCAAAGCAAACCGTAGGTTATGAAGCTGGCTTGCTCAATCAAACATGTTGTATGCCAGGATGCCTGGTTTGCACTAATGTTAAGCCCAGTTTCTTTGAAATGGCAAAGGAACTTGGTAGAAATTCTCCTCCTCCTGGGGAAGGGAGAGCACATACCTGATGCTTAGCTTGGGCTCAGTAAGGCTCATCCACGATACACTCAACTATGGCCTAGTGCTACATGTGAACTAGTCCTGTCCTCCTTGCTGGGCTCTTTAAGGCTCACACAGTTTGCTCCATTGACAACTGGCTGACATGGATTGCAGGTAGTCTTTGCAAACAAAAGCCAAGCTATACTTGAACCCATGCAGCCTAAATGAAAGAGCTCTTACTGCTGCAAACCAACATTATCCAAAATCTTAAGAGTCATCAATCATGGACCACAGATATTTTGATGATGGAAACAGAGGCAACACTTGAGGAAGACGGGGTGGTGGGTGGGGAGAAGTTGCCCCTTGGCTTGTGTGTCAAGTCTCCAGGTGCAATACAAGTGGGTGGGTGCAGGGGGACGGAGCCAATTTTGCTTTGTGATTTACTGGTTCGATTGTCAGATTTTACCACTTTTGAATTTTACAGGAAGAGCAATATACAGTGGTACCTCGGGTTACAGACACTTCAGGTTACAGACTCCGCTAACCCAGAAATAGTACCTCGGGTTAAGAACTTTGCTTCAGGATGAGAACAGAAATTGTGCTCTGGTGGCACAGCAGCAGCAGGAGGCCCCATTAGCTAAAGTGGTGCTTCAGGTTAAGAACAGTTTCAGGTTAAAACAGACCTCCGGAACGAATTAAGTTCTTAACCCAAGGTAAAAGGTAAAGGGGCCCCTGACCATTAGGTCCAATCGTGGCCGACTCTGGGGTTGCAGCACTCATCTCGCTTTATTGGGAGCCAGCGTACCGCTTCCAGGTCATGTGGCCAGCATGACTAAGCCGCTTCTGGTGAACCAGAGCAGTGCACGGAAACGTCATTTACCTTCCCGCCAGAGCAGTACCTATTTATCTACTTGCACTTTGACGGGCTTTCGAACTGCTAGGTTGGCAGGAGAAGGGACTGAGCAATGAGAGCTCACTCCGTCGCGGGGATTCGAACCACCAACCTTCTGATCGGCAAGTCCTAGCCTCTGTGGTTTAACCCACAGCTCCACCTGCGTCCCTAACCCAAGGTACCACTGTATAAATAAGTGATTATTCTTTAGGAGCACCTTTATCATCCTCTGGCTAGCTGACTGGTTCTACACAATGAATGATTATTCCTGTTAACAAACGAAATGGCCTGTGTTCAGTGCGTAAGTACTAAAAGGCAGGTGTGCACACACAGAGACACAGACAGACAGACAGAGACAAGAGACAGAGTAAAGATAGCATTTATTTGAAAGACAGGCATTCCAACTAGCTGCTTCAGGTGGGAAGCAGCAAAGCCATCTATTCAGCTGGGATCTGTTGCTATTTGGCTCCTCTCCTCCCAGAACTGCCACCTCCCCATGCTATTCTACTAGCTCATTAACATGGAACACAGGTGCAAGCTCTCTCCACACATGTACCACACGTGAAAGATTGTGTGCACTGGTTGATTTGTACAAATGCTGAATGTTGCCTGTACACAACCAAACGAGTGTGCAGTTCATCTACCCACATACACAGATTGTACTCTTGCTGAATGTACCATATGAGCTCCCATTATGCAGTTTCCCTACGGAACAAGAACTGAAGCAAGAGAGGTATCGACAAGGGCAGTCTTCTCCAACTTGGTGACCTCCAGATGTTCTTGAACTCCATCAGTCCTGACCTGCATGACCACCTGGTGGTCCACGGATGATGGGAGCTCAGGCCCAACAGCATCTGGAGCACCATGGGTTCCCCATCCTTGCATTAGGGGGTTGGAAGATGTGACTTATAAGCAGGCACAACTCCGCTCCTAAGCACTTGGTGAATAAAAGGAGGTCTTTTAATAGGAAGAGAGACTGGGAGAGGTTGTGTGGCAATTCAATATGCATCTGAACCCATAAGACATCTAGAGTCAGGCAGCAGGGTCATTTCTCTTGAAGACATACAGAAACACAATTTTTTGAATTCAGAAACCAAGGAAGAGGATAACATAAGAGCAGTCGATATGGGCAGCAATCCTCCAAGGAGAACAGAATCCATATATTTCAGCTCTTTGAGCTCCCAGTTTCACTCAACTACTAAAGCAAAGAAGGATGCTTTGGGTATTTGCTTTTGGAGTTCATTCTAATGCCCACTGGAAGAGCAGTCAGCTTCTCACCGTTATTGATGGAGCAGATCTAAAAAGTTCAGGAAGCCACAAGCCACTCCTTTGAATAAAGGCACAAAACATAATAAAAAGTCCCTATAATCTCATTTAAAGAGTTTTCAGAAGTCTCTCTCTCTCTCTCTCTGTTTGTGTGTGTTTGTGTAGTCTACCACCAAAATCTCACAGCCCATCTACAGTGATTTTGCCTTGTATAAATATATACAGATAAGCCTCAAGCATAATGGAAATATGTATCATGTTGCTCAATATTAGCAGTTAATCAGAACCAACCATCAAGGTCTTCTAAATATATTATGCACAAACAGATACAGCTTTGGCTTGTAGTTAGGGACCTGTTCTTAGCTATCAACATAATTCAGTGTGCCAGGAACGGCAGCAGCCTGATGACATAAATAGTTTTTGTAATGTGCCATGATGAGCATGTAGCTCAGGGATTTACTTCCTGTGTATCATCTCCCAATCTAGCCACAGCCATGCAAAGGCACCCATAGCCCAGTCTTAGGAACACCCATGACCATAACTAGCAACACCACCTTCTGGTCTTTCTTCCCCAAATGGTCATCAGTCCTTGCTTGGAGCTGATGGTCAGGCCTATCAGAACTACAGAAGCTCCTACCAAGATGGAGGACTGGCCCTATCATTGGGCAAATTGGAACAGCCACCACATTCAACAGATGTGTGTGTTGGGTGGTGGTGGTGGCTGTACCAACAGCTCTCTCCCTCCTCTCCAAGGTCATTCTTTTTAAGTCTCCCCAACACAGACAGATCAAGCACCACAAGTACTTACTTACAGGTAGATGCAGCCAAAAAAGCGGGGAAGAGCGTGTAAACCCAGAGGATGCACTATACCTTACAGGAAATAGTTATCTCTGCCCCACCTCAGTTATTTGGGTTTGGGGAGTTTGTATCTAAAAGGTAAAAGGTAAAGGACCCCTGGACAGTTAAGTCCAGTCAAAGGCGACTATGGGGTTGTGGCACTCATCCCACTTTCCAAGGCCGAGGGAGCCAGCATCTGTCCACAGACAGCCTTCCGGGTCATGTGGCCAGCAGGACTAAACCGCTTCTGGCGCAACAGAACACCACGATGGAAACCAGAGTGCATGGAAACGCTGTTTACCTTCCCGCTGCAGTGGTACCTATTTATCTACTTGCACTGGCGTGCTTTCGAACTGCTGGGTTGTCAGGAGCTGGGACAGAGCAATGGGAGCTCACACTGTCACACAGATTCGAACTGCCGAACCGCTTCTGATCGGCAAGCCCAAGAGGCTCAGTGGTTTAGACTACAGCACCACCCATGTCAGAGTCTGCTCCTTGGACAAGGCAGCATGGATTTTGCAGTGCCAAAAACCAGTGGTGTAATGCAAGCGTTGGGAACTGCATCTGACAACAAGAAGAAAAAAGTTCCTCACACATCTTGCAAAGGTAACATAGTCTCTCATCCTCCCTAGGAAATTTACTTTAATTAGTGCCACCCATGTCCCAGTTTGTATCTAAGGTCCTTTGGGAAGAGAAGGCAGACTGCAAGGTAATGAGGATTCTGTTTGCTCCATCTACTGATATGAAATTAAAAGCAGGGATAGGGAGCCTGCAGTCTTCATGTTGGATTAGTTTTCATCTTTCCCTCACTACTGACCATGCTGGCTGAGTCTGATGGAAGTTGGGAGTCCAACAGCCTCTGGTGGGTCTCAAGTTTCCCACTCCACCCCTTTTAAAGCCAATTCTGTGCATGTTCAGGTGGTACTATGCACCTTTTGCTGCTCTCCCTTAGGTAGCAAAGCATCTTGAGTCAGCCCTGTAAAGGTGGGAGGACTGCTTGGCGGAAAACCAGAGCACCATTCATGTAATTGGAGAAGTGGATAGCAGTTATTGCCCACTCCCAGTTTTACGACCAAGTGGTAACATTCATTTTTATTTTTCATTTAAATATGCAATATTTTATCCTGCGTAGGAAGGTTTCAGGATTGCAATTTTTCTGAAAGACACAGTAGGTTGTATCCAGAATACATTATCTGAAATGAATGGGACAAGTTAGGAATGACTGGGGCTTTATCTGTGCCATGCATTTAAAACTCATTTAAAAATTGTTGCTTCCCTCCAAGTGCCTTGGGAACTTGCGCTTGTTAAGGGTCCTGTGAGTTGTTGGGAGACCCCCTATTCCCCTCACAGAGTGGTTCATCAGACAATCCCTCTTCCCAGGGAACTATGGGAATTCTAGTTCCACAAGGGGAATAGGGGTGTCCTAACAACTCTCAGCATCTAAAGGGGATAAAATGGTATAGCGGTGCTTTAAATATATGGTGCGGATGTGCCCCAAGGGACTTCAATGGGGACTAACTTAAGTCTTTCTCCAACACAATGTTCCAAAGCAACACACTGGCTGGGTGCTAAATGAGAGGAAAGATCCTTCTTTCATCCACTTGAGCAATGAAGCATACATTAAAAAGGTATTCAGATTTAATGCAAGAAGTTAGTCAAGAAACACCAACATTTAAGGGTGACCTCTGAAGCAGTCTGCTTTCTTAAGCCAATTAGTTATAATATATTTGGTCATTATGAAGTAATTTTGATGATCTAGAAGGGACTATAAAAGCTGACATTAATTCATAGGAAGAGAGGGCTTTGGCTACAATGGCTACACACTTCTAATCAATGATCTAAACTAGTTTTACGTTCAGTGGAGTATCTTTAATCTCAATTACTGCTTGGTTTCATAATGCACAAATCACAGACTCAAGGGCTACTGCAGTTTCACATCCCCCAAGCATTACATCCAAAGGGAAATGTTTTTGGAGGGTTCTGACTGATATGAGTTTGTCTTACACTATGGAGAAAGGAAGAAACTTGCCCACAGGCACTGCTCACGAGCGGTCATTATAGAATTAGCAAGATTTGTCCACCTATGCTTTGGTGGAATGGAAAACTGGAGAAAACTGCTTACGCAAGTAAAGCAAAATTCCAAGTACAGGCAACATGCACAAGATGTTTGCTGGTGCTTCAGACTGGCACCGAGATTTGCCAGGTTCATTAGAACACTTCAATATACAGTTGTACCTTGGAAGCTGAATGCCTCGCCAGTCGAACGTTTTGGCTCCCAAACGCCACAAACCCGGAAGTAGGTGTCCAACGTGACTTTCACAGCTTCCGATTGGCTGAAGGACCTTCCTACAGCCAATCGGAAGTTGCGCCTTGGTTTTTGAATGTCTTGGAAGTCGAATGGACTTCCGGAATGGATTCTGTTTGACTTCTGAGATACTACTGTACAAGGCCACACCTACCTTTGCATACTGGTGGGGGGACACCCTGCACCTCTTTGGAATCACCTGAAATTCCACTTGTTTATTATATGTAATGGCCCAGTTCAGGCATCAGGGCCAAGCCATGGTTTAGTTGCTATGAATAAGCTTTAAGCTTGCATGTTCCTTCTCTTCCTTCCCTCCTTTCATCCAGTTCACTCGCTTATTTACTGGACTGAGCAAACCACAGTTTGTGGCAATGGCCAAATCGGACAAACTTTGGTTTGGGCAACCCTGAATTCGGACCCCATTTCAAACTGTGGCTTCCAATACTGGTTCAAAAGCATACAGGACATAAGTGAGCAAATTAAAGTAGGCAAGGGGAGGGAATCCATGAGCCTGAAGCTCAAAGACCACAGTCAAAACAGGGCTGCTAAATCTGCACTGGGTCTGTGTTTAATTCCTGAATGTCTGCTAGCCACAATGCAACTTAGAAACTAAACTTCTTAAATTGGGTGTGTGAATGCAAGGTTCTAAATTCATACTTTATTAGAATACCTTACTTCTTTCTTTCAAAGTCTCCATATTGGAGAACAGCAGCAGAAGTGCTCTTCTCCAAATAAATTATACAAGACCCTAAAAATAGCTACATAACCTCAACTGTGTTAAGATTTATGTAACTTCTTAATGTGGGGGCAGAGAGAGATGGAAGCATGAGAAATCATTCCATTGAAGCAATTTCCTGTGATATAATTCAGTTCCATAAAAAGATTATGAGATTATGGCTCTGAAAGCTAAAACCTGTATTTACAAAAAGTAGCAATTTGTATCTCAAAAATGAGATTTATAAATCTTTATATGTATGTGAGAGTGAGTGAGAGAGAGAGAGATGTGTGTTTAAATGGAAAACATTTATACACAATACGGAAGAAGTATATTGGAAAAACCTGATTTTGGAGGAATCTCTGCCTAAACCCTAGCTACAAGACATAGCCAGCTGTCCACTACCACAAACTCCAGCTATCTGCATGGTTTCTCACTGCCCTGATTTTTCCCTTTTGGGTGGGGACTTCCTAATATTGCATTAGTATGAGATGCTGGCATGGTCATCAAAGAAACACAGGAAGTCAGACCACTGGTCTATGTAGCTCAGCATCACCTAAGGTGACTGGCAGTAGCACCTCAGAGTTTCCAACAGGGGTCTTTTCCAGCCCTACTTGGTTTGCCAGAGACTGAACCAGAGACCTTTGGCATGCAAAGGTTATGTCCTACCACTGAGCCATATATTTGGCCCTATGCCCAAATAAGATTCTGGCTCCAAAGGTTCAATCTCACAGCAGGTTAGTACTTGCATCTGATTTCTATCACACGCAGCCTCTATAGATCCTGACCGTAGTATATGGTCTTGCAAACCAGTGTGTTCTTATATGTGTGTCAATACATTTTATCCCATAGGCTTGTTTTACAACTGAGCGGTAAGTGGAAGAAAAATGGTACTCTGCGCTCAATGTCTATTTTTACAGGTGGTACACACTTTTTTTGTGCAAGTTTTAGATCTAGTGAATATGATGATTAACCCAAGTAGAATAAAAAAACAAATAAATAAAGAGATGTTCACGTTACATGTCATTTTGCAAACTGTATTGTTCTGCCCCTTTGGTTTGTTCTCCCCCTGTGATTTATCATGCTGATGTAGCCTTGACCAAGTTTCTTTCTATTCTGCAAATTCAGGATTTGCTTGTACATTTGTCATTTTTCTTGCTGTCTCTGTTATTTAGTATTTATTATTCTCGTATGGTTCCCAAGTATTTCATCCTTCATTAATCTTACAAGTGTCGTTTACAATGCCAGTATCTTTTTCTTCTTCTTTCCTATGTGCATGACAAATTGATGAAGGATGGTGCTTAATACTTTTATTTATTTATTTTAACAACAACAACAAAAATGCATCTTAACATTAAAATACTAAGGCAGTGGGCAAAAAGGGGGTGATGGAAATAATGTGGTTACTGCTGGGAGGTGGCGAGAATGGGGAGGAGACTGTGGCTCAATGAGGCAGGGCATCTAGCTCCTCCTCCTTTGTGGGAAAGGAAGCCAACACAGGCTAATTTAATTTCACATATATGCTCATGGGGTCTGAACTGGCAGTGACGGACTAGGAATGAGACCTTGGGTTTGTAGCAGATGTCGACCCAGTGTGTTGCAGCAGTGGATAAGGCAAAGTCCATGCTAGGGAGGATTATTAGGAAAGGAACCAAAAACAAAACTGCCGGTATCACAATGCTGTTATACAGATCTATGGTGCCAAAGCATCAAGGATAGTGTTGACAGTCCTTGTCACGCTCACATCAAAAGAGAGTCAGGAAAGCGTTAAGAAAGGGGCAATGCTCAAGGGGATGGAGCAATTCCCCTATGAGGAAAGGTTGCAGTGTTTGGGACTTTTTCCGTTTAGGGAAAAAATTCAGGTAAGAGGGGATATGGAAATAGAGGGCTTTTAAAGAAGGTTAGGATGCGGGTGGCACTGTGGGTTAAACCACAGAGCCTAGGACTTGCCTATCAGAAGGATGGCGGTTCAAATCCCCATGACGGGGTGAGCTCCCGTTGCTCAGTCCCTGCTCCTGCCAACCTAGCAGTTCGAAAGCACCTCAAAGTGCAAGTAGATAAATAGGTACCGCTCCGGCGGGAAGGTAAACGGCGTTTCTGTGCGCTACTCTGGTTCGCCAGAAGCAGCTTAGTCATGCTGGCCACATGACACAGAAGCTGTCTGCGGACAAACGCCGGCTCCCTCGGTCTACAGAGCAAGATGAGCGCGCAACCCCAGAGTCGGTCACGACTGGACCTAATGGTCAGGGGTCCTTTAAAGGAGGTTAGACAAATTAATGGAAGGAAGGGATCTACTGAAGGTTACTAGCCATGGGGGCTATGCTCTGCCTCCACCTTCGGAGGCAATAATGCTTCTGAATACCAGTTGCTGAAAAAACACAGGAAGGGTTCTTGGGTCCTGCTTACGGGTTTCCCATAGGAATCTGGTTGGCCACTGTGAGAAAAGGATGCTTGACCAAGATGAGCCATTGGCCCAAACCAGCAGCTTTCCTTATGCAGGGAGGCAGCATAGGCCAGCTCCCCCTCTTGCATAAGACTTATGGGGTACAGTACAGCAGGCCTGACGCTGCGGGGGGAAATGAGGATTGGATGGTGACAAACAATCCTGTGACAGGAGCCCTAAATGCATTGGGCTTTGCAACCGCTACATGTGACATTTGGCATGTGAAGGCTCAGGAGTCATCAGGCAGAGGTGAGTGGGTGCAATCCTGCTGACCCATGAGGCACTGAGCATATGCACATTAAATTTGTGAAGAGGACTCTAGCTCTACCTCCTAACTAGGTGTTAATGGAGAAATCCGAGGGCTCCCTTGGACAAAAAACAAGGACACCAGCCAGGAATATCAGAGCAAAACAGCAGCCAGTAACTTGGTCTTTATTGAAGACTGTCACGACAGGACTCCCACCTGCCACAAGGTGAAACAAGATGGAAGCCCCGTACAAAAGAGAACCCAAACTTTTATTAGCTGCTAATCCCCATGTTACACCCCCCAAACTACATCACTAATACATCACGGTTACATCATGAAAGGAGAGGTCTGGTGGCAGTAATCTGAGCATCCTGGACCCTGCCCCATTCCTCCCCTTGCCCTCCAAAACACCCATCAAGTGGAACAGAAGAGATATCTACATTTCCCTGTTTCACAGCCAAGTTAATCACACTCTTTTGTCTTCACCTGGGTTTGTTATTTCTGGAATGGCTACCTCTGGCACTCAGGTATCAGGATGCCAGGGATTATTGCTCAGGCAGAGCTCAGATCAGAGTAGCTGAGCTCACATGTCTATATGAATTTATGAAGTTTTCCCAGTGAGCCAGTACATAGATACATTTATCAGTGAATTGTTACATTTGGTATTGGGCAGCAGAGGCCCTTTGAATACAGTCATAGCTCGGGTTACAGACGCTTCGGGTTGCGCGATTTTGGGTTGCGTACCGCGACGAACCCAGAAGTACCGGAACGGGTTACTTTTGGGTTTGGGCACTTGTGCATGTGCAGAAGTGCCGAATCGCGACCCGCGCGTGCGCAGACGTGGCGCTGTGGGTTGCGGACATGCTTCCCACACGAATCACGTTTGCAACCTGAGCGTCCACTGTAAATAGGAAGAAACTGTGATGAAGTGTTTTGTGGAGACAAGTCACAAAAGTGATTGTGCTGATTTTGGTAGTGGGATGCATGTGCATGATATCTAATGGAGGGGTAACCCCCCCCCCCACCTTATACATTGGTACCTCGGGTTAAGTACTTAATTCGTTCCAGAGGTCTGTTCTTAACCTGAAACTGTTCTTAACCTGAAGCACCACTTTAGCTAATGGGGCCTCCTGCTGCTGCCGCGCCGCCGGAGCCCGATTTCTGTTCTTATCCTGAAGCAAAGTTCTTAACCTGAAGCACTATTTCTGGGTTAGCGGAGTGTGTAACCTGAAGCATATGTAACCTGAAGTGTATGTAACCCGAGGTACCACTGTACATAAATTCCAGCAATATAGGAAATATGAAAACAGGTGCAAACGACAATGCAATTTCTACCTTTTCCTAGGCGCCAGAAAAAAAAGGGAGAGGGAGAGGCGGATGGAGGGGGTGTTTTCTTTACGGCATTGGTTTTTCATTTAGGAGACAAATAGGAGGTTAGATTAAGGTCACAAACAGCACAGCAAAGCCAGCACAGCGAGCAATCCCATGAATAGTGTTACATATCCCAGCAGCTATGGCAGCAAAACATTTAGATAAGAGACTAATATAACCAGAGTTGAAAATTACCTGTATGCATTTTTGGAAACAGGTCGCGGGTCAAACTTAAAGAACAGAATGCACATGAGTAATTGAGGGGGAGAAGTTGTGCTTCTTCCGGAGAGGGTCAGTGAAGGGTCATACTGCAGCAGCCTGCAAATGAAACATATGCAATGAAGGACCAATCTGACTTCGAAATTTACAAAGAGACACTGAAAAGACGCTGCCTAGGTTTTAAATGGGAATTTAAAGTTCGGAGGAGGAAAGCTTGCAGACGGTTACTATTTTGGGGTGGGATGCAATCCCATACAGGCAAATTGCGGTCACACAATTGTAGTTGACTGGGAGGTCTGGTGCAACAAACCTGTTTCCCCCCAAAATTGGGCTTTTTAAAATACCGGTAAGTGAGGGCAGGGCAAAATGCACCCAGAGGTAGGGCTTGCTTTGGTGCAACACCATCTAACCTCCTCGCAAACCTATCAGAACAAATGCTCAATAGGCGTCCGCAATGTACTGATACACCTAAAAGCAACTAGACGCAAAGGCTTGGTTTAGACCAGATTTCTCTAACCTGGTGCCTTCTGGTTCTTTCAAAAAACAGTCCCCATCATTCCTGGCCATTGGCCATGCTGGCCGGGGCTGATGGGAGTCGCAAGCCCAAAACACGGGGACGGCACCAGAATTGGGAAGGCTGGTTTAGTTAATCATCCAAGTCGTATTTTGGAACCTTGCGTTCATGCACTCTTTTGTCCACTGGCATGTTCCAAATCCCTCCCCCTTTTCTAATTTTGTTCAAGCTATGGTTTACTTCCAAACCGAAACGGAAAACTCAGATCAAGCCACGGTTTCCAATTCTGCCCTAGAGAAAAAGGATAGCTTGCCCGATTCAAGCGTCTTGACAAACTGCATCTCTTGAAACTACGAAGAATGGGAGCAAATCACCTTGTGCAAAGAGGAATGGGAGCCTGAGGTTCGTTCTGGCTCCTCCGAACCATGGAGGACCAGGAAGCTGTACCAGTTGGGAATGATGGGAGTTGTAGTCTAAAACCCCAGACTGTGGTATGCTCTCCCCAGAGAGGCTTGCCTGGCACCATCACTACATGTTTTTACACGCCAGGGTAAAAACAACCTCTTTACCCAGGCCTATGGCTATTAAATAATCTATGACCTGTGAAAGTGTGGGGGATTATTATTATTATTATTATTATTTTACTATTAGGCTGTCTGCTATTATGTTTTTTATTATGTTTCTTTCACTGATGTTCCGTAATGTGTTTTCTTAATGTTGTACAATGCCCGGGGATCTTCTGATAAAGAGTGGTATATAAATTGAATAAATAAACAAAACATCTGGAGGACATCAGGTTGATGAAACATAGGGTTTGTGTACAGATTTTTACATTAGTATAACTTTTAAATGTCACTTGTATTAAGATGAAGAAGGTTTAAAATTGGATCATGAAGAATACGATAAGGTTTTATGGACATGCATGAACAAGTATTAAACAATCAAACCAAGAGGGGGAGGGGAGGGAAGTCAAGCAAAATTTACTTATGCTTTTCCCCTGTTTTTTATTTTACTTCAATTTTTTATTTTTTATTATTTTATGCTATTTTTGGAAAATTAATAAATTGTTATCAAAAAAACAAAAGAAAAAAGGGAAGCACATGGAATCAAAGGAGGAAGTTACAAGAGTGACACTCTTTCTCACTTCCTCTTTCAGCTCTATGTGCTTGTCAAGGCTCAGATTCGATCTGACTTTTACCCAGATCCCTTGGTGTGTGTGTGGGAGGCGGAGTATGTGTGCATGTGTGTGTTTCTGCACTCTTTCTCTCACTTTCTTGAGGGGAGGGGGCAGTTTGATGAAGGGGAGGAGGGAAGTGAGGTGGTGGTGTCCACAACGCTTGCTCAAAAATCCAGATGTGTCCATGGGTATAAAAAGGTTGCCGACCCCTGCAATAAGGTGACGGGGAAGATCATCTCCCCAAGACCATGAAGAACTGCTGCTGCAAGGGCAAAGCAGACAAAATATGGGGCTTAATGGACAAATCGTCTGACCTGGTTTAAGGCAGCTTCCTATTTGCTTCGTGTGCATTTCCTAACACAAAATCCCTACATTTGCAGCCTGCTTAAAGATTTCAGTCACATTTGGATGGCTCGAAAAACATTCTTTTACCTTTTCAAATATTTTCTAGAAAGTCCCACTTTGGGGACCGTGTCTGGTAATGAAACCGCAATGTAGCCTTACTCCCCCCCCCCACTGAAAACGGTGATTACAATGGCAGCAGCTGAACTCCCAAATGTTTCACTGCTACAGACAGCCTGCATGTATTAAGGGTTTTCCAGAATGTGGAGATGGCGGTGCAGCAGAAAGGCAGATCAATACCTTAACTCTATAACGGCGCTGAATAATTAACTTAACCTTGCCCCAGTGAGTGATGACCAAGGGGTTTTTATTGAAAACAAATTAAATTATTTTTTATGAGCCCAGGAACATTGTTCAAGATAAAGTGATCTTTTCTCATTTCCACGCTACGCTCCGCTTCTAATTCAAGCCCTACATTTCACAGTACCTCGCCAAACCCTCCCACAATATCCCACATTCTTAATTCCAACAGAAGGAAGCCATTTTCTGCAGCATTTCACACTGGGTTTCCCCCCCTTCCTTTTTTGCTCTTTACCACTAAAAACAGAATTGCATGTGCAGTGTTCATATGAAATCTTAAAACTAATTCAAGCCTGCCAAACCAGCAGCTTGCTGCTGTCAAGCCACAGATCAGCTCAATACTGATAGAAGTCCACTACCCACTGTCAAGGTTCCATAATGTTCAGTTGCCAAAAATTTGATTTTGTTCAACAATATTTACATGCCACTTCATCAAGAAAAACTTCTAAGGAGGTTTACATAAAACAAAACATTCGTTTGAAAAATGACAATACGGTCGTACCTTGGATCCCGAACGCCTTGCGAGTCGAACATTTTGGATCCCGGACACTGCAAACCCGGAAGTGAGTGTTCCGGTTTGTGAATGTTCTTTGGAACCCGAACATCCGATGCAGCTTCTGATTGACTGCAGGAGCTCCTGCAGCCAATCGGAAGCCGCACCTTGGTTTCCGAACGTTTTGGAAGTCGAACGGATTTCTGGAACAGATTCCATTTGACTTCCGAGTTACCACTGTACAGTGGTACCTCAGGTTACATACACTTCAGGTTACAGACTCCGCTAACCCAGAAATAGTGCTTCAGGTTAAGAACTTTGCTTCAGGATGAGAACAGAAATCATGCTCCGGCGGCGCGGCAGCAGCAGGAGGCTCCATTAGCTAAAGTGGTGCTTCAGGTTAAGAACAGTTTCAGGTTAAGTATGGACCTCCGGAATTAATTAAGTACTTAACCCGAGGTACCACTGTAAAACCAAACACTGAAAACAAAACATAAAAAATATATGAAGTCAGCTGCCCTCCGCCATATTTCTAATTTAGTCATTATTGGGCCACCAAAATGATCAAGGGGATTGGAGCAGCTCCTCTATGAGGAAAGGCTGCAACATTTGGGACTTTTAAGTTTACAGAAAAGATGAGCAAGAGGTGCTATGATGGAAGTTATAAAATTATGCACGGCGTGGGGGAAGAGAAAATATTTCTCCCTCTCTCATGAGACTGGTACTCAAGAAAAACATGGGACAATGGGGCTGAATGTTGGAAGATTCAGGACAGATAAAAGAAAGCAATTCTTCAGGCAGCAGATACTTAAAGCATGAAACTCAAGAACAGTGATGGCATCCAACTAGGATAGCTTTAGAGGAGGATTAGACAAATTAATGAAGCATAAGGCTATCAAAAAACGAAGATCATGGCCACTGGTCCCATCACCTTCTGGCAAATAGAAGGGGAAGAAATGGGGGCAGTGAGAGATTTTACTTTCTTGGGCTCCATGATCACTGCAGATGGTGACAGCAGCCACGAAATTAAAAGACGCCTGCTTCTGGGGAGAAAACCTAGACAGTATCTTAAAAAGCAGAGACATCATCTTGCCAACAAAGGTCCGTATAGTTAAAGCTATGGCTTTCCCAGTAGTGATATATGGAAGTGAGAGCTGGACCATAAAGAAGGCTGATCGCTGAAGAATTGATGCTTTTGAATTATGGTGCTGGAGGAGACTCTTGAGAGTCCCATGGACTGCAAGATCAAACCTCTCCAATCTTAAGGAAATCAGCCCTGAGTGCTCACTGGAAGGACAGATCCTGAAGCTGAGGCTCCAATACTTGGGCCACCTCATGAGAAGACTCCCTGGAAAAGACCCTGGTGTTGGGAAAGAGGGCACAAGGAGAAGGGGACGACAGAGGACGAGATGGCTGGATAGTGTTCTCGAAGCTACCAGCATGAGTTTGACCAAACTGCGGGAGGCAGTGGAAGACAGGAGTGCCTGGCGTGCTCTGGTCCATGGGGTCACATGGACACGACGAAATGACTAAACAACAAAAGGCTATCAATGGCTACCAGCTATGATGACTATGCTCTGTCTCCACAGTCTGAGGCAGTAATGAATACCAGTTGCTGGAAAAACCATAAGAAGGGAGGGAGCTCTTGTGTTCGGGGTCCTGCTTGCAGGTTTCCCACAGGCATCTGACTGGCTGCTGTGAGCACAGGATGCTGGGCTTCATGAGACTTTGGCCAGATTCAGCAAGCTCTTCTCGTGTTCTTAAGGGTTCTTCAAGTTGCCAGACCCCCTTCCCACTGCTTGTCTATCAGCTCCATCTGGTACGCAGGCTGAGACCCTACCTACCTGCAGACTGTCTCGCCAAAGTGGTGCACGCTCTAGTTACGCTTGGACTACTGCAATGTGCTCTATGTGGGTCTACCTTTGAAGGTGACTCGGAAACTGCAATTAATCCAGAATGCGGCAACTAGACTGGTGACTGGGAGTGGCCGCCGAGACCACATAACACCGGTCTGAAAGACCTACATTGGCTCCCAGAACGTTTCCGGGCACTATTCAAAGTGTTGGTGCTGACCTTTAAAGCCCTAAACGGCCTCGGCCCAGTATACCTGAAGAAGCATCTCCACCTCCATTGTTCTGCCCAGACACTCAGGTCAAACTCCAAGGGCTTTCTGACGGTTCCCTCGCTGCGAGAAGTTAAGTTACAGGGAACCAGGCAGAGGGCCTTCTCAGTAGTGGAGCCCGCTCTGTGGAACGCCCTCTCGTCAGATGTCAGGGAAATAAACAACTATCTGACTTTTAGAAGACGATCTGAAGACAGCACTGTTTAGGGAAGTTTTTAATGTTTGAAGTTTTATTATGTTTTTAATGCTCTGTTGACAGCCGCCCAGAGTGGCTGGGAAACCCAGCCAGATTGGTGGGGTATAAATAATAAACTCTTCTTCTTCTTCTTCTTCTTCTTCTTCTTCTTCTTCTTCTTCCTCTTCTCTGCAGCACAACCTACCCAGGACTCGTTCTATTCTATTCTTCTGTTTAATCATCTGGTATATTGCTTCGCTTCGCATTGCAACTTGTAAACAAATAATGAAATATTTTCTGCCATTGAAAATCATAAAACCTGAAGTCATTTGCTACAAAGAGAGGATGTGAGAAATCATTTATTATTATTATTATTATTTTAAATACAGGCTGGAAGTCTTGAAGCACTTTGCAAGAAAGTTCTCCTTTTTTGCCACTTTTAACAGCAAAAGGCACTTCTGGGCCTTGCTTCTGCCAAAATGTAGCAGATAACAAGCATCTGCAAACTACTGCCCTCTGCTGTCAAGTGCCACGATTTCCTTTATCAAACGGCCTTTGAGAATACGCTGGGGAGCCATGAAGCAGAAATGCTCAACTGCTGGGTAAGGTGGTGTCAGTGTGAAAACTAAAGAGGACTTTGTTCTCTTGCTAATTGACATGTTCCAACGGAAGACAACAGTCAATGAAGCAGCTTGTTCTTTCCTACTGGAAACAAAAGAATCCTCATCAGAGGCGGATTTAGGGGAGAGCAACCAGTGTGAAACCTCTGGGGTGCCGAAAATATGATTTACAACGCAGCGTGAGAGGTGGAGGGGCACCGAATTTTGGCATCACACAGGGCTCTGCTGAAATTTGAGGCCCCAATATCAGCCACTGTCCCCATTTACATGGGAGGCTTGCTGGTCTCAAGGCAGAAACTGAGCCAAATCATTGGTCCATTTAGTTCAGTATTTCTACACTTATTTGCAGCGGTTTTCCAGGATTTCGGGTAGGGAGCCTTTTCCAGCCCTACCTGGAAATACTGGGAATTTAACCCAAGTATTTCTACATGAAAAGCAGGTGCTGTACCACTGAGCTATGGCCACATCAGACCCACAACTCAATGGCAGAAATGCTGGACCTGAAGCATTTACCCCCCCTCCCCCCAAAAAAGCACTTACACTTGATCTTAGCCAATAGCTATTATTTCACAAAAAGTATCAGCTGACTCTTTAATACAGTGGAGACTTGTACTAAAGTTGAACAGAAGCTCCTCGGGCAGTTAATAAAATCAGCATAAATATCACATCATAGTAATTGGATATAGCAAATTTAAAAAACAACTAAGGACAGACAGGTCAGGAACTGCTCAGCTACTGGTAAGTCTGAAATCTGTACATTAGCATTCTAATCGGCTGAAAGCCATCTTGGGGCAAGGGGGAAGGTATTTTTTTTGCAAGTCTAAAAGCTGAGACTCTTTGGGCAAGTGCCACGTGTGAGAAGGTCCTGGATCTCAGATTCACCTGCTGTGCCTTAGATGGAACAAGTTTTCCTTGAAAGATCTTAAGAGACAAGAGAAGAGGCATTTTTAAGTGAACACCAGAATCCTGAGGGTGTTAGTTAGTGTTATGCAAGTGACAGAGGCTGTGTACCCACGACCACTTAATCCGGCTTCATTATGCTCCCACCTCTGGTTTTAAGCTGAGGACACAATCCATAGGAATCCTGTAGCTTCTTGAGAAATACTCCAGTCTGGTGCACTTTCCCTCAAATCAGCTTCCGTCTGATTTGAAAGAGCTGCAGTTAAGATGTGGCGTGTACACTGGACAGGCATTGGACATGCTCAGATGACAGCTTCGGTGAAATGGAGTTCGGCATGTGGAAACAAATCAGGTGATGGGCATTGTGTGAAGACATCTCTCTGGCCCCTCTCTGGTCCATGCAGCGATGGTAAGACTGCAATGTGCAACACAGCAGAGGGAAATTACCGTATTTTTTGCTTTATAAGACTCACTTTTTCCCTCCTAAAAAGTAAGGGGAAATGTATGTGCGTCTTATGGAGCGAATGCAGGCTGCGCGGCTATCCCAGAAGCCAGAACACCAAGAGGGATTACTGCTTTCACTGCACAGCGATCCCTCTTGCTGTTCTGGCTTCTGAGATTCAGAATATTTTTTTTCTTGTTTTCCTCCTCCAAAAACTAGGTGCATCTTGTGATCTGGTGCGTCTTATAGAGCAAAAAATACGGTGCCTTGCCATGTTTCGAGCCCCTAAATTGTAAATACCACACAAACAATACACACAGCACAGTATTAAATATCTGATGATTTGCTGTGCTGAAAATGTGTTCATTGCATACCCCCAGCCGATGAATGACACAAGGCATGAAGCATTAAGAAAATATCTTAACAGAATGGCATTCTGCAATGTGAATACACATGGGTCTTGTTTTAGTGTTCCAAAATTAAGAACCATGGTTTCATCACTCTCACCCCTTGGAAGCCAGCCAAGGAAGCATCCATGACAAGTCATTCCCCGGCTTCTCTCCAAACTCCTATAAACATGCATTTCGAAAAGGCATCAAAACAAAATTTACAATTCCAAAGCAAGTTACAGCCCTCTCTGGTTGAAGCATGGCATGCTGAGAGGTTAACATTTACCAGATTTCCAGAGAGATTAGCAATGTTGCAGCAAAAACAGCCAAAGAGTCTTGTGGCACCTTAAAGACAAATTTACTGTGGCACAGGTTTTTGCAAACTCAATTCCACTTAAAGAGACAATAGTTTCTTAATCATTCTACATATGTTAATTAGTTTACCAATGCTAGGCTATCTGTGATATCTATGACTGTTTCTTCAAAATGGTTCCTTGCCCCACTATAAATATTAGTAATCATCTCAGCAATTATCACCCATCTGCTACTGTAAAGGTATTTAACACACATTTAAACTCTAATAATGACTGATTTCAGTATCTCCTGGCAATTCAACTCTCACCTTACAATTTTCTGCTGTATATATACCTGCCAACTAAGATTTCACCACATGCTTCTGACAAAGGGGGCTCGAGTCCACAAAAACTTACGCCACAACAAATTTGTTAGCCTACTTCCGTAAGACATCTTGATAAAAATTAGCAGGAAATTCCAGAGGCCTGTATGGAACGCTCCCTCCCAACCCCAACCCCCAGCCCCAATCTCCCACCAAAGGAAGTGGATGTAACAAGTTTAAGGACAGATGTCAGATAACTATAAGCAGCAACAGCATTTCGTTGGGAACCCTGCCAGCAAATTAATTGGATTACTCAATCAAAAGAAACTGTTGACAGTTAATGGCTTGCAAAGACTCATGAGGGTTGCTTTACGGGAGATTTTCGTCTCCGTTTGCCGATTAAAATGCACTACTGAGTGGTGAAGTTTACTTCGGCAAGTAGAAGTTAATTTGGTTCCAGTATTAAAGCCAAAACAGCTGTTTGCATCAAGCTGGTGCCTGCCGCAAGGCTCCGAGAAAAGCTGCTTGGCACAAACCGACCATCTCAAGAGCTCAAAACTAGAGCGAGACTCTTACTCCCTACAAAGTTTGTACTGCTGGGATACCGGAGATTGCTTTTCAGCTTTTTGGTGTTGATGCTTTCATAACCACTGGTGGTGGATCATGCAAAAGATTCTCCTGGTGGGTGTTCTTAGACCTGGACCAACACCCTCCCCCACAACCAACGGCCCACTGGAGATCCTTTGGTGTTGGGGATTCTAGATAAGCGCTGGCCAGGGTAAAAGCCAACCCTGTCAGCTAGCACTGCTTCCATCCCTACTATCCCCCAACCTGAGCTAGGGGGAACTCAGATTGTTCTCTGGGTGTCCTTGGAATTCACAAAGACAAGAGCCAAATAAACCACTCACTGTCTTTTGAGCCCCAAGTCTACGCTTTATTTGGCAGCACAGAACCAAGCAGCCAGGTATCAGATTCGGAGCCACACTTACTTAAGAAGCCACACCAGGATAAATGCAATGCTTTAAGGAGGTTATAAATACAAGCATTTATAATAGAAGACAGTTAAGAAAAGACTTAAACAGCATAGAGATAGCTTTGGGAATTTGAGTACGAAATAGAAAATAACAAAGCAAGCTTGCCTCACCCTAATACAAACCATTAGAGTCGTGGACCCAGGGGCAGAGGCATCCTGTTTCACCACTCGAGGTGAAATAGGAAGTGCCACGCTGTCCTGCTGTTGCTTCTGCCACCACCGATCTGCTTCTGCCGCCACTGTGTGCCCTGCCATATCCACTGCTGGCAGAGAAGCTGTGCCACCCTTGGCGCCAATTTCAGGAAAGATTGTGCTGATTTGGAGGGAAACCTCTTAAACTCTGCAAAATCTGGTGCCAGCTTCTCTGCCAGAGGTGGCAGGGCATCCACAGGTGTGCCACCTGGGGCAGTGGCCTTGCCCTGCCTAATGGCTGGATCAGCTCTGCAAGGACCCCACCAAACCGGCAAGCTGCATCCAGGCATACACAGGTGTTGCAATTCACAATCCTCATGCAACTGGGATCTGGCTGTGCTCATGACCTCCAAGCCTGATCACCTGTTCAAACCCTCCTACAGTAGTCTGCATTCTTCTCACCGCTTTTTAAGTTTACCTTTTTGCCCCCCCCCAATCTTTTCCCCTTTCATTTAGTTAAATATTTGCACTGATTCAGTACTGTCCTGCCATATACAGACGGTGACCCCCCAGCAGCACGAAGGCTGCAACTGTGTGGTCCCGTTCACACACTATTCCATATCCTGACTACACACACACACACACACACACACACAGTATATTCAAATAAGTCAGCAAAGCATCCAGCAGAAAATAGATCGCATGGTGTTTGGGCACTGGGGCGTATAATGATGGTTTGGCACAGAGAATGATGAATGAGGCACAACCAGCAGCCAACCAGCACAGAAGAAAGCAGAGGAAAGGGGATGAAGTGGAGAGGTGGGTGGGAAATTGCTCTACCCAAAGGTGTGATTTGTAACTTTATCAGGGTGATGCACTTGGAAAGAACAGGCAGATTTCAAGAGCGGTGTTGCACAAAGTGGAGGAAGAACCCAGAAGGGAAGATCTGGTTTGGGGTGGGGAATAGAATATAGGAAGTTATCTTATACCAAGTCAGACCATTTGGTCCATCTAACTCTGCATTGCCTACACATTTCCTGCCATACCTGGAGATGCTGGGGGTTGAAACCAGGCGCTCTGAGCACAAAGTGGATGCTCTAGCACTGAGCTACCTCTAATATGAAGCTATCTTGCATCAAGCAACACCAACTTGCTTAGTAGTGCTGCTACGAGATGATCCTTCTGACTGCAGGTGCCAGGGATTGAACCTGGGGCCTTCTACACACAAAGCAAATGATCAACCACTCACGGAGCTACAGCTTTTCCACCTCCACCCGCACAAGGCAACACAATGCGGCAGGATCACTGCAGGCTGATTACAAGAGCAGATGGTGAAAGGGTCACTGTGAGCACAACCAAGCTCATTTGCACTCCCACTACTGCTCTGTATCTTAATCTTAAATTTCTTCCACTCATGAAGTTGGTAGCTATAGGAAATCAAATGCAAAAATGCCTTGGTGCCTGAATGAAAACAACAACAACTCAAGTATATGGTGGATCTATAGGAGGAGGATGCAGCCCATAATTTTAGCTGCAATTTTCAGCCAATCCACATCAAAGAGAAGGGGGGAAAAACATATTTCTGTTGCCTTTCACTACAGGACTTTTGATCTGGCAGTACTCTAGCCGTTGAAAACTCTTCCCGAAGGAATAGATGGCTTAAATATTTCAGATACGCAGATAGCAGTCCAACTGAGTTTTAATAGCTAGCGGGGACAGATTTCACCACTTTTTTTTTTATGTATCCAAAATCATTCCAGCCACATCTCTCCTTTTTTCACTTACCAATTGGGGATTCAGAAACCACAGGTCATTCGTACAGCCCTCAAGCAGCAACCCAGCCTGTTTGACTCCAAAGAGTGAAGAGAGACAGTTGCAGGGAGACAGTCAGACTCCTAGAAAGAGGAACCGGATGTCTTGTTCCCAAACAAATCACAATTTTTGTTGACAAAAGAAAAAGCTGGCTCGAAGGATGGGGTGGGGAGAGAAAGGAAACTAGGTCAAAAGTACAAGCAGCTTTTTTACTTGTTTTGACGAATGCAGCTATTTTTTCACTCTTTATCTAAAGCAATGGAAGAAAGCATCAAAATACCAGTCTCTCTCTCTCTCCCCCCCCCTCTCTGAAGGACCATAAACATAATGGCAGTTCATATGCTTCTTTATATGCAGAAGGATCCAACTTCAATCCCTGGTATTTTCAGGTAGGACTAGGAGGGTACCTCTGCCTGAGGCCCTGGAATGCTGCTGCAATTCAGGACAGGTGATACCAGGCTTAGATAGACCAATTGTCTGGTTTGGTATAAGACAGCTTCCTATGTTCTTCTAACATCAAACAGATTGGTGCCTGAGCAAAGGAAGTACAGGAGAATCTCAGGTCTATTGATAAACTGCACCACTCAGCATAAGGAGGCCCTCTGCCTGGTTCCCTGTAGCTTCACTTCTCGCAGAGAGGGAACTGCTGGAAGGCCCTCGGTGCTGGATGTGTGTACGGGCTGAACGATGGGCGTGGAGACACTCCTTCAGGTATACAGGGCTGAGGCCGTTGAGGGCTTCAAAGGTCGATGCCAACACTCCGAATTGTGCTTGGAAACGTACCAGGAGCCAATGTAGGTCTTTCAGGACCGGCGTGATAATGGTCCCTGCGGCTGCTCCCAGTCACCAGTCTAGCTGCCGCATTCTGGATTAGTAGTAATTTCCGAGTCAACTTCATATGGGATGATGATAGTCGTAGTTCAAGATCACCTGGAGATCACCACGTTGATTACCCCTGCTCTAGAGCTTTGCACAAGAAAATGTGAAAATCCAGAGGCAGTGCTCTGCTTGCAAGAGGGTGAGCATCCGAAGAGCACTATGCAAACTATCGTGCTACTGCAAACAGCCCTTGCAGCTATGTTCCTTCTGTTCATGGTCCTTTGGACCCAATCCATGATTGCAGTTATAAACTTGCAGCTTTCGAATTCTGGAGCTGCAGAGATGGCAATGGTGTACACAGTAACCATATTGCTCTCCAATATGTTTGCTCCCCAAGGAGCAAACACGTTCTCCAGGGCGCAGAATTTTATGAAGGGCAAAAGCCAGGCCAGAAGCTTCACAATGGCTGGCACTTATATTCCACTGCGGTGCGTAAGGGTACCAGGCGGAATGATCGTAATAGGAAGCACTTGCCTTACAGCACTAAAATAATGGATTGAATTCTTCACAGGACAAATTGCAACTTATCAAGCCCAAGTCATTACACATTCCACTGCTTGTCTTCTTTAAGAATTCATGCTGCTTTATGCAAACATACATTTTTCATAAAGCGACCATCACAACTCGCACAAAGGAAGAAAACTGTAGTCTGTTCTCAACACCAAGAATCTGTGGTGAGTATCTTTCGTTAGTTAATAGTCTCAGCACAGGTCTTTAATGTGCTTTGAACAGAGAGAGCAGCAGCAGCCAAAGACTTAATGCTTAACCAATTAGGTTATTTGAAGGCTTCGTCATCATTGCAGGCAGGTCAAAAATACACACACCAAGAAACAGAGCAGCATTCTGAGTAAAAACAGGCAGGCAAGAGTGAAAGCTGGCAGTCTATATAGTCGTACCTCGGAAGTTGAACGGAATCCATTCTGGAAGTCCGTTCGACTTCCAAAATATTCGGAAACCAAGGCGCAGCTTCCAACTGGCTGCAGGAAGCTCCTGGAGCCAATCGGAAGCCATGGAACCCACGTACGACGTTCCAAATCCAAAGAACGTTCACAAACCGGAATACTCACTTCCGGGTTTGCAGCATTTGGGAGCCAAAATGTTTGACTCACAAGGTGTTCGACTTCTGAGGTATGGCTGCATATTTAAAAGTGAATTTTAAAACTCTTTTTTTTATAGTTTACATGTGCCATGTATAGGGATGGGCGTATCTGTCAAATCTGGGTTCTCTCAGTTTCTAGTTGTTCCTCTCTTAAATTCAGTTTCCACATTAGCTTGTGAAGCATTTCCCCCCCACCCCCAGTCCTCACAAAAATTCACCAGCATTTTAATCCGAATTTACCTTGATATACACAGCAATTTTGCCTAATATACATTTTTTTTCACAGCAATTTCCCCGAATATAATGCATTTCTGTAGATGACTTTCACTAATACATGCCTCTTCATGCATACTTTACCTTAATATATGCATTTTTACACACATTTCCTGGCTGGATGACTTCATTGCAAAATTTGGAGAAGTGCAAATTTCTAAAGATGCCAATGCGTATTGCTTTGGAAAGTGTGAAATAGGTATTTTCACCATTAAATGTGAGCTGAATATAATTTCTCCCCCCTCCCTAGTTATGTGTGTGCCATATTCAGCACACGAGTGAGAAGGATGCAAACACATGGTCCTACTGTCACAGCATATATCCAAAATGCACAGGCCTAGACAGGCCGTCAACAAACTAGCCTTCAAGCAATTAGCTAAAGCCTTTCTGTGCATCTCGAACTGCAGCAGAGAAACAAGCAATATCGACGCAGACTGACAACCTGTTACCAGGGTCAGGGGCCTGCAGTCCTGCAGGTGTCACTGGACTCCCATCACGTCAGGCAAGCATAGCCAACGGTCAGGGATCATTGGAGATTTAGTTCACAAACCCCTGGAGGGCCCTGGATTCCCCACCACTGCTCTATTAGTTTACCGGAGTGTCTAGATCCTGATCATTACTGCCTTTTACCCCCTTATAATTTGATATGGAACGGCGTCTTTTCACTCACCTCTGCAAGCCGCTGCAATTTGCTGAATATTACTACAAACCTCTAAAGTCATTATTAATGAAGCTCCCTCTACAGCAGTAGCTACAGAGAGACCAGAGTAGAATGAGATATAAATCATAAAGTGATGGGCACATTAAAGCTGACATTTCCAATATTTTGCCTGTCTCACATCGCTGCTTCTCGTTATCACCCTTTGTTCCATATTTTATTTATTCTATGTGATTAACTTTATATGGATCTGTTAAAAACATGACAGCTTAACATTGTTATAATAATTGAAATCTATTTCAGAGCCTTGATTTGCCAGTTTGTTGTTCAACAACAACAAATACTCACTTAGCGGCCTTTGAATAAAGAAGTGCATTGGTGAGCTTATGTAAAAGCAAAGAACAAGTTTGCATTTGATTTTTAAGATGCAACGAGAAAATAAAGGGGATGGGGAGGGATGCACACAACTGCGTCTTTACTAACACAATCAAAGGAAGGCAATGAAATATTTTTTAAATATTTTGCTCCCCATACTTACTAAAATGAATACTTGAAACGAAGAAAACTACTTCAACTCTTTTGAGTATACCAGAGGGACATGGACCAAGGAGAGTTCATGTGATTAAAAGAACCATCCCAGATAGCTCAGTTGTGCAAAATCAATATTGAAGAATCATTTATTGTTATATGATGAATACAGTGGTACCTCGGGTTAAGTACGTAATTCGTTCCGGAGGTCCGTTCTTAACCTGAAACTGTTCTTAACCTGAAGCACCACTTTAGCTAATGGGGCCTCCTGTGCCCCTGCGCTGCCAGAGCATGATTTCTGTTCTCATCCTGAAGCAAAATTCTTAACCCTAGGTACTATTTCTGGCTTAGTGGAGTCTGTAACCTGAAGCGTATGTAACCTGAAGCGTATGTAACCCGAGGTACCACTGTATGGTCAACTGAATGAGTTCCTACTTTAACAAGCACAGCTTGGATTTTCAGGTACCTTTTGGCTTTTACCTGAAATCTGCTTTCCCCATTCCTGGTAGTTTCTACTGCACAATTACAAAGATCAAATTTGTGTATACCTTTCCATGAACTGGTTTGTTGCAGTTCCTTATGTACATCCCAATAGAGAAATACGCTTTCTCCTTGAAAGAAATTATTTTCAATCATATTGAGGGCTGCAAAATTTGTTCTGGAAAGTAAGGAATTCTGATCTCAGATTTAAGAGACACTGAGATGTTTTGATTTTGATAATGCACTTCATATGAAAAGCACAAGGCTGCAATCCTAACCCCCACTTACCTGGGAGTAAGCTATACTGAATGCAGTAGGACTTACTTCTTAGTTGGCTTGCTCTGCCAGCAGTACACCTCAGTATATCTATTTCTTGATTATTTGTGATCCCACCTCTTTTTTTAGCCTGTAGGGTGGGTACTGTTGTGAATTGTTAAAACATGTTCCTATTTAAATAGTGCCATACTTATAGATTGTGGTGGCTTTTTATTATTATGCAATAACATACATATGTATGCATTCTTGCACATAGTTCTGTAGTTTTACACCAGGCATGGGAAATGTGCGACCCTTCAGATGCTGCTGCACTACAAAACCCATCACCCCTGACCATATCATCTAGGGTTGTTGGAAGCTGAGAGTCCAACAACTTCAGTAGGGCCAAATATGCTATGCAAGACCATGCTTTTGAGCAATTTCCAGCATGCTATGGGAGAAACTATCCGCAGTAAATTACCTGCCTTGGTCCTCATCATTTCTAAAGTTATGTTTATTCAATGCATTTGTCTTGTGTTTTATTGTTTTTCTAATTTTAATCATCTATTTTGTGCTTGTTTTTAACTTGAGTGTACTTCCCTTGTCAATGCAGAATGTCTGTACAGTGGTATCTCAGGTTAAGTACTTAATTCGTTCTGGAGGTCTGTTCTTAACCTGAAACTGTTCTTAACCTGAAGCACCACTTTAGCTAATGGGGCCTCCTGCTGCTGCGCCGCCGGAGCACAATTTCTGTTCTCACCCTGAAGCAAAGTTTTTAACCTGAAGCACTATTTCTGGGTTAGAGGAGTCTGTAACCTGAAGCGTATGTAACCTGAGGTACCAATGAATTCAATAAGGACTTTTTCTTTTTACATTTTATGTTTCCTAGTAATGGTAACTAATGACTAATAAATGACTAGATACTGATATTTCTTGACTTTATTTGATGTACATTCCTAAGAATTTGGGTTGGGGTCCAGGACAACTTTGTAAGCACATCAAGGGGTCAATGAACTTAGAGGTTTGGGAAACTCTGCTTTAAATAGTTATTTCTGAACCTTATGTACACAACTGTGGCATGGAGCGCACACACTGGAACACACAGGAATGCCTTTCACAAGCTATGATAAAGGGAGCTTGGGAAGAAAAGGCTATGGCAACAGTGAAATCTGTGGGACTGAGGGATCAAGAGCCAAGACTGAGCCATTTCCCTGTCTGTAAAGGTGGGTGGGTTGGGAGAGAAAGCGATGAATATATGGGCATGAAAAAAGAACGTGTGCCAAAGACGGCAGAGAGACATACATTGAGGGAGATGTAATAGGGACAGGGGCTGAGGGTCTTGGCAACACTTTTCATCCCCTTTGCCAGTCCCAAAAATTGGCTTCTAGTGTCGTTCACAGCAATTAAAATGAAATATAAGGAACAATATAAAACACTGCTGGGGGGGTGGTTCTTGGCTATGTCCACACATGATGGAAGGGTGCCTGGACAAAGCCTCTGCTCCTTCTGACAGCCTTAGCGTCCGTGACAAACGCTACAGATGATCCAAAGAATACCACAAATTCTCACCATACCAATTGGTTCTGTGCAAACATTATAGGCAAGAAATTAAGATACAGCAAATCCAGCGCTGGGGAATCTAAGGGTCTCCAGCTGTTGCTGAACTACAACTCCCATCATCCATGACAACCAATCGTGCTGGTTAGGGCTGATGGGAGCTGGGAGCCTAACAATCTATGGAAGTGGAATACAACCTCACCCTTGCATTAAGCAAAGCAATATCTAACTGCAAAACACGGTATGTATACAGCTATTAGGCGTGGTCAGGATACGGCACTTGTACACAATATGGAAGTGCTTGTGAACTCAATGCCACCACCATCATCCTGGTGCTTCCCTTGCTGCCCTCTGCCTTGCTACATCCTCACTCCAACACATGGCAACAGTCCACCTAGTGCGCCGTGACCGAGGTATGGACCTTCATAATGTTGGTGTACAACCCTCAACCAAATCGTACAATACCCTATTGCAGGGGTCTGCAACCTTTAAGACAAAAAGAGCCACTTGGACCCGTTTCCGAAGAAAAAAAAACTGGGAACCGCAAAACTCGTCATTATAAAAATAACTTTTTTGTCACTTTTTAAAATTATTTCTTTGTTTGACCCCTCAGAATTACTCCTCCTCATAGAAATAAACGTTAAATTAACAAGTTACCTTTTTGTGTGTGTGTGTTCTTCACTCCCCTTCAAAACAGTGACCAGCGTACATGCCCCCTTTCAATGCAGTGACCAGCGTACATGCACCTTACAATGTAGCGGGCGGGCGGGCGGGAAGGTGACGTCAGGACAGTGCGTGACTAACGCACGCACCGCCCCCATGCGATGTCACAGCCAGTACAGCGCCCGCCACAGTGGGGAGTGTCGGGGCGCACAATGCGCCTCCTCCCCTCGCTAGTATCCGCCCCGGAGCCGCTGCAAAGGTGTAAAAGAGCCACATGCGGCTCTGGAGCCGCGGGTTGCAGACCCCTGCCCTATTGGTTAATTATTAATTTTTTAGAAGAGAAAGTGAAAAGGGGAGAGCCCACAGCTTATTGGTAGAAGGCATGCTCTGCGCGCAGAAATCCCAGGTTCACTTGGCATGTCCAGCTAAAAGCAGGGTTTCCTCAAACTTGGGACTCCAGCTGTTTTTGGCCTACAACTCCCATCATCCCTAGCTAGCAGGACCAGTGGTCAGGGATGATGGGGACTGTAGTCTAAAAACAGCTGGAGACACAGGTTTGGGAAACCCTGAGCTAAAAGCATAGCATATGATGGAAATGACCTCTGCTCAAGACCCTGGAGAGCTACTGGCAGTCAGAGCAGACAATACTGAGCTTAGGTCCACCTTCCCGGCCTGGTATCTTCCAGATGTCTAGGTCTACTGCTCCCATCAACCCTGGTCAGCACGACTAATAATCAGGGATGATAGGATGGGTAGTTCAAACATCAGGCGGGCACCAGGTTGGGGAAGGCCATGCTTGAAGCAGAATTGGTCTAACTTGGTATAAGGCAGCTTCCTGAGCTCTTATGCTTCTTATTACGCTGCAGGAAACACTTGGGAATGAGTCTTTGATCTACTCCAGCATACAGTGGTACCTCGGGTTAAGTACTTAATTCGTTCTGGAGGTCCGTTCTTAACCTGAAACTGTTCTTAACCTGAAGCACCACTTTAGCTAATGGGGCCTCCTGCTGCTGCCGTGCCGCCAGAGCACGATTTCTGTTCTCATCCTGAAGCAAAGTTCTTAACCTGTGGTACTCTTTCTGGGTTAGCGGAGTCTGTAACCTGAAGCGTATGTAACCCGAGGTACCACTGTATTCTCAAGACAGCAGTCCTCAAACTTGCGATAAGATAGAAGTATTTGTAGAAGGGATCACAACTCAGCAGTGAGCACATGCTTCCCATACATTCGATGCCAGGATCAATCCCCGGTATTTCCAGTTGCAAGAACCCAAAGCAAGGACTCTACCGCTGAGCTGTGGTCCTTTCTTGGAAACAGGGGTCAAGTAGCTGCTGATTGGAAAGACCCCCTACCTGAGACCCTGGTGAGGCCGTAGAAAATACAGAGGCAGAAGGGCAAGTAGTCTGCTATAAGGGGGTTTCCTGTATTGCTAAGGAGACTAGGAATTAAGACCTTTTGTCTTTGAAAATAGTGGATCTCAAAGTGACACGCTAGAATTGAAGATGGGCCCTATGTTTAATCAGGTTGAAGTCTACAGGTTTTAAGTATTCTAATGCTACCAGAATTCAACTACAAATTAATTACAGTGGTACCTCGGGTTACGAACTTAAGGTCCGTTCTTAACTTGAAACCGTTCTTAACCTGAGACAAGCTTTCACTAATGGGGCCTTCTGCTGCTGCCGCACCACCGGCGCGTGATTTCCGTTCTCATCCTGGGGCAAAGTTCTTAACCTGGGGTACTACTTCCAGGTTAGCAGAATTTGTAACCCAAAGTGTTTGTAACCTGAGGTGTTTGTAACCTGAGGTACCACTGTACTATTGACAACTAGTCCTGCTTACATTTTAGTATATGGCATAACATTTCATTTCTCACTGATTCATTAAAATGGTCAGCTTTTAAAGTGATTCTGAAAACACAAAAAATGGATATTTCAACAACAAAACTCAGTGTTGTTGTTTTTTGCACAATACTCCTGGTTGAGGAATGACCACATATGCTTTCTGTGTGGTATAAATATTGCACAATGGTTGGGGGAGATGCTTAAGAGCAGCTTTATTATGCAATGCCAGAAACAGATGGCCAGAAGAAGAGTTATGCTTGAGAATAGTGGAGGGGGTGGGGAATCATAGCAGCAGTCATGAGTATTTAACGCTTTTCACAGTTACCAGGTAAAACATTGATCAATTCTCTCAGCTGTTACCCAACAGCATTAATTTCTTGTTTCCCCCTCTTGCTTTTGTACTAAATAAGAAAGCCATTTATTAAGCCCTAAAGATGTGTAGCAATTCATTTACAACTCCAAATCCAGTCACACCTGTAAAGTACTGCTGCTTGTATAGTTCTACAGCTTGGGAAACAAATTAAACTTTGGCACGTACTTAAATTTTAACGTGCATTTGATTCACAACACTTGCTTGTTTTTATGGGCACACAACACGTGCGCTTCCACTTGGCTTAAGCTTACCGCAAAATTCCTATCGTCTAAGTATACAAAACATGGATTGAATAAATATAGGAGCCAGAGGAACTGGAATAATCTAATTTTGAATACTATCTGAGAAACACCTTGTCACAGTTCCGAGTCCAATTCACTGAAATAAACAGGGATTATGCCTTAGCCTAGTGCTGTTCTTTGACAACTCCCCTATATTTCAACTGAGATTAAAGATACTTCTGATGGGTTGTGCTATTTATGAAGGCTGTTGTGGTACAATGCATTACACTGGGAACGACTATATTTAAACTACGTCAACAAAATAAGTAATATAACATTTACAACAATGTAAGAGGATTCACTTATTTTTACTAGAATCCTAATACCATATAAAGCATATACATTCACTTTTAAAGTGATTTTCAATATCCACCCTGTTTCACTCAATGCCCAGGTGAGTTTACTTATAACAGATGTATCATGTAGTTTAATGTGCCATTTTCTTCATGTAGTCATTTGAAAATTCCTCAGGTATTGTTAAATCTTGGTGTTACAATGATGTAAAACATAATTCATTCTTTTACTTCCGGTACAGTCCATTTTAATATTTAAAATATTGAATACTTTTAAAGGTAGAAACTTAACTTTCCAAAAGCACATATTTGCCTTCAGAATCCTCTAGCACTGCCATAAGATCACAACCAGTGAACAAAGTCCCTTCCCTCTTGTCTACATTTCAGAAGTTTCCAATCATTTTTATATTATAATTAGCTCTTGATACCACTGCAATATCATTTTTTAAAATTATGTTCCTTTAATCGTATTTGATATTGCAATAGGGTCGCAATAGCATTGATATCATTTTTAAACTATTTTCATGTAATACAGAAGCTGCTTTATTCATTTACTTAATTACTGTGACATGTGTCATTCCTACCAATTTTATTTATTACATTTATACCTCACCTCTTTCCCCACAACAACCCTGTGTGGTAAAAGATAAAGGACCTCTGGACGGTTAAGTCCAGTCAAAGGAGACTATGGGGTTGCAGCGCTCATCTTGCTTTCAGGCTGAGGGAGCCACCGTTTGTGTGCAGACAGTTTTCTGGGTTATGTGGACAGCATGACTAAACCGCTTCTAGAGCAATGGAACACCATGACGGAAACCAGTGCACACAGAAATGCCGCATACCTTCCCACCACAGCGCTGCTTTCAAACTGCTAGATTGGCAGGAGCTAGGAAAGAGCAACGGGAGCTCACCCTGTCTCAGGGATTCGAACCGCCGGTTCTGATCAGCAAGCCCAAGAGGCTCAGTGGTTTAGACCACAGCGACACCCGTATCCTGTGTGGTAGAGTAGCCTGAAAGACAGTGATTGACCCAAGGACCAAGTGGGGAACCCTGGTCTCCCAGGTCCCTACTCTGACACTTTTAACCACTACAGCACATTGGCTTTAAGGTGATTGTGATGGCACATGAAGTCCAATACAGCTTGGTACTCAGTTACTTGAAGGATAGTCTGTCCCTTTATCAGCTTAAAGGTAAAGGGACCCCTGACCATTAGGTCCAGTCGTGGCCGACTCTGGGGTTGCAGCGCTCATCTCACTTTATTGGCCGAGGGAGCCAGCGTACAGCTTCCAGGTCATGTGGCCAGCATGACTAAGCCGCTTCTGGCAAACCAGAGCAGCACACGGAAACGCCGTTTGCCTTCCCACCGGAGCGGTACCTATTTATCTACTTGCACTTTGACGTACTTTTGAACTGCTAGGTTGGCAGGAGCAGGGACTGAGCAACAGGAGCTCACCCCATGGCGGGGATTCGAACCACCGACCTTCTGATCGGCAAGTCCTAGGCTCTGTGGTTTAATCCACAGCACCACCCACATCCCATACTTTATCAGCTTACCTGTCTGAAAACCATCAGTGGGTACCCTTCTTTGTGCTTCGTGGCCTGGTGAGATTTGTTATGCTGAGACATGGGAGAGTGATTTCTCTGAGCTGGCACCCCATTTATGGAATGCCTTCCTCTCTCTGATCTACCGGGAGCTGACTTTTTGCTTTCCAGTGCCAGCTAAAATCATGGTTGTTCATTCAGGTGTTGACAATGTGTTACTCCCTGGACTGGGTGCTAAAATGTAGTTGGCTGTGTTCTGTAGACCAGTGGTTCCCAATTGGTGCTCCGCGGACCCCTGGAGGTCCATGGCACCATTCATGTAACAAAAAACTACCATAGAGGTATCAAAATTTTCAAAAGTAGAGGGTCCATGGCTTGGCTTTTAAAAAAAGGGGGTCTGCAGTACTTAGTTAATTGGGAACCACGGGCTACAGACTGCCAAGAGGCTGATTTGCTTTATCTGTCCTCATTTTATTGTATAGTTCTATATATTATTGTGGTTGTGGAGGTTTTTTAATTGCTGATTGCATCCCCCACCCACCCACCCTGGGATGGCTTGCAATGAAAGGCGTGTCACATATACTTTAAATAAATTAAAATATTATTGTCATTTAAGGGTCACAAACTCCACATGGCCAAGAATATACAAAGAGGCTGCAGCAAGAGTTAAACACTAGCCTCACAGTAAAGACTCTCCACTGGATGACACCAGCAGCTATCTGAATACACTTTACCAAGAATACCAGAAGGCTGGATGCTGCTGGTATATCTAGTCAGTTTTCACAACCAGCCAGCATGCAGAGCAGACCTCACCATAAAGTAGTGTGAAAATAGTTAGATGATAGATTCCAGATTTCCATGCCTCCGGTCTCCATTTCCGTATGTCACAAAAAGGCTCGATGGGTCATTATTTTGCTTCAGAAGCAAAGTATCTCTTAAGGCCAGCTCTGACAGCATGTACAGTTGTATTGTCAGACAATGATCATCACAAATACATCAGCAGAAAACCGCTACCTCTAAAGCTGTCGCACGCAGCACCCAAGGCTGACTGAAGACATTTATTCTTTAACTCTCACTGTAGTCAAAGGTTACTTACAACCGGCAGATGGAAACTGACTTCAAAAGAGCTTTGAAGAATCAAGGTCAGAGAGAGCTAATGCCCTGAGGATTTATAGCTGTCACGAAAAGGCATTGGCACATACAACTAATTATACATATTGGATGGTGGCTATTAGCTATGGCACCCATGTTCATGTAGCCTAATATATAAAAAATATGTAGATACTTATTTATAAATGGCTAACAAAAAGTGGTATGCAACACACTTAACAAAAAATGAAGGTCAAAATACAATCAATAGAGCAAAACAAGTAATAATCAAATATGTGCGGAGCAGCAAAAATGAGATACCAGGCCATATTGCTATTTCCCAAAGCCTTATTTAAAAAGAAATGTTTTTATATCCAATCTTTTAACCAAAGTAGGCACGCTGCTTCATAATATAGGCTCAAATCTGGGAGGGCAAACCTCCTCTTTCCTTTTATCAATTAGTATTTTCATTTTAATCCTTGGTCTTTTCCCCTGCCAGATGAATTTCATCAGGGTTCTCTGCCATTCTTTACATTGTTTTAGACCTTTAATAACTGGAAGAGTTTGAAATAAAAACAACATCCTCGGCAAAACGTTCATTTTAACCACTGCTATCTTCCCTAAAAAGGAAAATTTCATCCTCCCCATATTTCCAGATCTTTCTTTATTTTTTCCATGTAACTTCATAATTATCTTTATATAGGTTTATGTTTTTGCCGTAATCCACACTCCCAAATATTTCACTTTTTTCACCACCATGATTTCCACTTTTTGTTCTAGATCTTTCGTTTCTTCCTTAGTTAGATTTTTAACCAGCATTTTAGTTTTATTCTTGTTTACCTTAAAACCTGCCACCTCTCCAAATTCCTCAATTTGAAATGTTTTTAACGTGTGTCAGAAACCAAAGATAAACTCATGTTGAATGTCCACAGGGAGCGTGTTCCAGAGTGTAGGCACCATTATGGAAAATGCTCTCTTCTGAGTAGCTGTCAGGTGGAGCTCATGAATGTGCAATCATACCAGGAGGACCTCTCTGAATGACCATCATGACCAGGGAATGATAAGGGAACTCTGGGAGATAGAGTGAGGGGAAGTTCTGTTGTGCAGCCGGCTAGGACTGCTCATGCTAGTGGAACTGTTTAGTTTTATATTGTCCATTATTATTTTTGGAGAGGGTTTGTTTGAGATAGTGTAGAATACAGTGGTACCTCGGGTTAAGAACCTAATCCGTTCTGGAGATCCGTTCTTAACCTGAAACTGTTCTTAACCTGAAGCACCACTTTAGCTAATGGGGCCTCCCGATGCTGCCGTTCCGCCACCGTGCGATTTCTGTTTTCATCCTGAAGCAAAGTTCTTAACCCGAGGTACTATTTCTGGGTTAGCGGAGTCTGTAACCTGAAGCGTCTTTAACCTGAGGTACCATTGTACTGCCTTCCAGTGTTTAAAAACTGCTCACAATGGCTTGTACTCAGCTAAGTGCCACTCATAAGGAAACCTATTAGCTTTAATGGGTCAATTCTGAGTAGGACTAGCACAGACTACCCATTGACAATATTTTATTTGAAAAACAGTAAGAGAGGAACTACAACTAATATTGCAAACTAAGACTGTAACCCTATACAGTGGTACCTCGGTTTAAGAACTGCCCTGTTTACAAATGATTTGGTTTACGAACTCTGCAAAACCGGAAGTACTGTCCCGGTTTGCAAACTTTACCTCGGTCTAAGAACGGAATCCGAATGGTGGAAGGGCACCGGCAGTGGGAGGCCTCATTAGGGAAAGCATGCCTCGGTTTAAGAACAGTTTCGGTTTAAGAACGGACTTCTGGAACGGATCAAGTTCGTAAACCGATGCACCACTGTATGCACTTATGTGGAAGCAAGCAACCATGGGGTAAATGAGATTTAACTTATTCTGAGTAGACAAGCACAAGAATTAGACATGCACAGGAAGAACTGGATAGATCAGTTGGTTAGAGCATAATCCCCATATGAGACAGCTGCATATTCCTGGACTGCAGGAGTTGGGTCCCATCCAACTCTACAATTATATGATGCTATGATTGCCCTGTAAAACAGTGGGGTCTGCTGCTAAAAACCTAACAAGGTTTAGAAGAGAAATTTCTTAACTTGTGAAAAGGGAGGAGGGGGTACAGGCAGATATGCCAAGGAAGAAGCTGCAAGGTTTTCGAATGAAGACTCTCTCACATATCCCAACCCACTTTTGCCTGAATAACTGTTAGTAGAGCATCTTCATCAGATCTTAGGGGACTGGCACTATGATACAAGAGCTAGTGGTCCTTTAGATAGGCTGGACTTAAGCAATTTAGGGCTTTAAACGTGACCACAAACATCTGGAACTGTGCCTGGAAACTAAATGGTTACGAACACTCCTGCAAGCATTGGAATCCACAGGAATGTTTTGGGGGAGGTGCTGAGATGAGGTAACAGGTCACTTTCTTACAAAAAAGGAGTAGTATCTGTACATTTGGTCTCATATCCCAGGTTTTACAAATGGTAGAAATGCAATGTTCTTTTAATGAAAGCTGGGAATTATGGTTGGGGGAGGGCTTGCCCCTACTGTGGACTCCCATGGCTGCAAGTATGCTTCCACCATGAACCTAGCTGCCACATTCTGGACCAACTACAGTTTCCAGAGACTTCTCAGAGGCTGTATCCATAACAGAGCATGTTACAAATCCAATCAAGGTAGGAGTAGTCTAACCATTGCTAGGGGCATCCCGCTCAAGGATGCTAACTGGCTGTTATATCTATTAAGCTGGTACCTCTGTAAAATTCATCTGATTCTACCACTCACAAAACCAGATTACTCCATTACCAGAAGTGAGAATTGTTCAAGGATTTTCTATTACCATTATTTGCTTACAATGAAATAAAGCCGTTTTGCATTTAGTAAATTAACGTTTAAAAGCTTATTTCTGAATATAGTCAACACTGACCATTTTGCATTCACGGTAATACTTTCCTTGGGAGTACTGTTGAGTATTGTACTTAACAGCTTTCAATTGCCTTCTGCAGGGTGAAATGGCCAGGTGCTAACAACATTATACATAGTTCTACACAGATTTAGCAAAAAGAAAACATTTTAGAATACCTGAACAGAAGTCCCCAAGGAAAAACACAAGCCTGTTCTTAAGAGTGCAGAATCTCCATTGGTTTTGTTTGCAGTACTAAAACACAGCACCTTCAATTAATTATTTCCTAAAGGGCTGCTGATTTTGGCAAGAGCAGCAGGAAAGACAGCACTCTATCAATCACTGGCTTTGGAACAGACATGGTATCATAAGCTATTCCACTACAATATTCTGAAATAGGGGAGAATGCGGGCAGCACAGATTTGCTCAAGGAAGATGTGTGGAACCTGTGACCCTCCAAATTACAGCTACTATCATCCCTGATCATTGGCCATGCTGGCTGGGGTTGATGGGAGTTGAATCTACCAACATCAGGAGGGCTACAGTTCTCCACCTCTGGCCTAAGGCATTTTAAAAATATGTAATAGTGTGTCAGAGCAATAAACTGAGCACTGTTTTCTTGCACAGACTTTTGAGGGAGATGCCACACTAGAAACCTGGGTTCTAATACACTTGAATACCAAACTCTCATATGTACTTTTCAAAACCAAGATACTTTTAGCATGTTATTTTAATGACTGTAATATTATAATACTGTAGGTTTATGTCACAATTAATAATTTTTTCTACAAATAAACCTGATACTCTGGCCTTCTGAAAGAAGGGCCAAACATTTAATAGGGACCAAAGCAGCACAGTGGTAGAACACATACCTCACAGGTAGACTGCCACAGATTCATTTCCTGAAACCTACAATTAAAAGGATCAGACCTAAAGTGACTGAGATCCTGGAAAGCCACTGCCAATTGGAGGTGGTACGGAGCTAGATGGCCCAATGGCCTGATCAGGTACAAGGTAATTTCCTATGTTCCTATCCCATTTTCTAAAGCAATGATACTCTGCAATATGAAAGCCTCCTGTCATATAGGACAGTGGCAACAGTATCAATGGACTTTAGTATACCTGTGTTTACACAAACCATTGAAAAGTACGCTGAGTGATCCTGTAATAGTTTTCTATATGTGTTTGCACATACAGGAGCATGCACATTCACAAATGAATAGAGTGTAGTTTGATGCCTCATTTAACACCTTAGCAAATACCAAAATAAAGTAAGAGAAGACTCAGCTGGTTTTGCAGCAGCCAGAGATAACAGTCCTTGGAGGTGTTATCAGCTGATTAAAGGTAAAGGGACCCCTGACCATTAAGTTCTGTTGCAGACGACTCTGGGGTTGTGGCACTCATCTCGCTTTATTGGCTGAGAGAGCCGGAGTTTGTCCACAGCTTCCGGTTCATGTGGCACAGAAACACCATTTCCCTTCCCACCGGAGTGGTACCTATTTATCTACTTGGACGTTGACGTGCTTTTGAACTGCTAGGTTGGCAGGAGCAGGGACCAAGCAATGGGAGCTCACCCTGGTGCGGGGATTCAAACTGCCGACCTTCTGATCGGCAAGTCCTAGGCTCTGTGGTCTAACCCACAGCGCCACCTGTGTCCCATATCAGCTGATTAGGCACTCCCAATTAAGGAGATGATGTCTGAAAGAGCAGCATTTCAGTGTCACTGCTGCAAAGTGTTCTAAGAGTAAGAAAAAAATTATTTTGGACCACAGACGTGCAGAAATATTTTGAGGGGTGTGTATTAGCAACACAATGGGTAACAAAGGGGCATTCATCTATCCACCCTATGTTTGGTGGAAAGGGCAAGGGCAAATCATAATATAGAGATTTCTCCTTTAAAAAAAATTGTCCTGGGGAAAATGAATTTTTTAAAAGGCAAAATAAAAAGGTATAACATGCAAACAAATCAGTCCTTTGCTGACAGGTAGTCCTGAGTACAGAGCTTCCATCCACAGAGTTCCCACACATCATGAAAAGCTCATTCATTACAGAACTGTAAAGCGCTGGGGATTGTTTGGGGTTTTGGTGTGTAACACAATTTCATTTTCAGAACTTAAGTTTCTGAACCTCACAGTTGCAGAAAAATAAACACACAATGCTACAATGCAACCCTGAAAAGTCATCTCGCCGAATGTAAAAGAATAAAAAAGATTGCCGTTCCTTTCTTGCTTTTCTACACCAACCCTCCTCCTGTGCATTTAACGTGCAGCTCAACATGGAAATAGTAGAGGTTAATCTTATACCAAGGTATACGGTAAGCCCCATTACACTCAAAGGTGAGTAGACAGGATTGTCTAGGAGAGTACAGTGATACCTTGGGTTAAGTACTTAATTCGTTCCGGAGGGCCGTACTTAACCTGAAACTGTTCTTAACCACTTTAGCTAATGGGGCCTCCTGCTGCCGCCGCGCCACTGGAATACAATTTCTGTTCTCATCCTGAAGCAAAGTTCTTAACCTGAGGTACTATTTCTGGGTTACCGGGGTCTGTAAACTGAAGCGTATGTAACTGAAGCGTATGTAACCCGAGGTACCACTGTATATGGATTGTGATTAAGCTTTTCCCATTACTTTACCTCAAAGCAAGGAACAACTTCTTTGCCAACTTAATTTTCTCATGCCAGGCTTCTGCCTAAAGATGCAGGCCCAGTAAAGAATTAAAGAAAGGTTTGCAGCTGCAGTTGTGGTGGGGGTGGAGTGGAAATCCTAATCTCCTCTTCTGCTCTTATTTGGTACGCAGAATCAGCAGGTGGACAGTTTCAAAGACTTGAAGACAAACACTATTACCTGATTGCTACTGACCAAATAGCTGCTAAAGGTGCTGCTAAATTCAAAAGTTGATTACACTCCTGACAGACTTAAAAGAAAATGTGTGGAGCTATTATTGTTCAAAGGTACTTGCACAAGCCCATGTTGAAATCCACGTTGGAATCCACTCAGTTGTGCAAATTTAAGCATAGACTTTCCTTAGGGCCAACTGTATGTTATGATGGAGATCCATGGTTACATTTTTAAAGAATAAATTGAAAGGAACCATAGAGGGGTCACAATTTGTCCACAATGGCAGCACTATTGTGGTGCTGTTTTGCTGATCAAAATTACTCCCCCAGCTGCTATTTGCCCTGTGAGGATCTTGATCTGAAATAAAGCGACAACTCCCTCCCTCTTGCATTTTTCATTTTTAAAATAAATAAATAAACCACAAAATACAAGGACATTTCTTCTACATCAGGCATCCCAAACTCAGCCCTCCAGCTGTTTTGGGACTACAATTCCCATCATCCCTGACCACTGTTCCTGTTAGCTAGGGATGATGGGAGTTGTAGCCCCAAAACCACAGGAGGGCCGAGTTTGGGGGTGCCTGTTCTACATAATGGCCCACACTAATAAAGAAAGCCTAAGGTGTACTGCTTCAAGCTGAAGTCAAGGACTAAAAAAATATTTATGTAACGTCACTATCACATCTTTCCCTACGGAATTCAAGGCAGCACACATGAAGCTCCCAGCAGACGTCAAAAGGGTTATCATTAGCGAGGATTGCTAAACTTGTATCACTTGGTTACAACTGAAGTTCCCCCCTTCCTCCCAGGAAATCAAAGTTACATATGTGGTGTGTGGCCCTTCAGTTTTATCCTCACTACAACCCTGAGAGGTGGTTTGGGCAAAAAGACAGTGATTGGGCCAAAATTAGTGTGAACCGTACTACACAACGATTGACCCTGGATCTTCCAAGTCATGTGACTTACTATCCCCAAAGTAGAAAAACAGCATGACGTTTTCCCATACCTCAAGCAGCACTCCTGGGAATATACACCTGTGTTTCCAATGGTTGTTTTCAGAACTGAAGTTTATATTTTTTTTCTTCTTCCTTCCCCAACCCATATTTCTTGTTTGCCATGTCTTTTCAATTGTAACGGTAAGAAATATCTTACTACAGGTTTTCATAAGCTGCTCTGAGCACCTTTTTGGCTAATCAGCAGGGACAAAAGTGCTTCAAATCAATAAAACAATTTACGACTCTTTTTTTTTCAGTACAGAGAAAATACAAATTGAAGCAAGTCAATACACACAAGGGGGCGGGGGGCGGGGGAGAACGCATGAGAGAGAAAGTCCACAACTCTTTCCCCAAAAAAGTTACTTTTCAACAGGCAGGGGGATCTGTTACATTTGTTTGATGCTGAACAAGACTCCCTCAGATGAGCCCCCATCTGCAATCTGTGAAGTCCAACATCTCATTGAGAACTAAGGATTGTTGTACACTATTCAACAAAGTGTAACATCCTTGCTATTTTGCTTTACTGTGTAAGTTGCATTGAGGCACTTGAATGTAAAAATGAAACAAAAATAATAATTCTCAGAAAGGTGGTCTCATTGGCATAAATGGACCTAACAACCAGATAAGCTCAGTTGGTAGAGCATGAAATACTTGATCTCAGGGTTGTGGGTATGAGCCCCACGTTGGGCTAAAGTTTCCTGCATTGTAGGAGGTTGGACTAAATGACCCTAGCAGTCCCATCCAGCTCTACAATCCTACAATTCCAATTTAGTTGTAACCATTTATTTCATTTTGCTCCGTAAGTCGCTCTGAGGCACTTGAGTGCAAGAGGGCACCTAATAAATAATGATGATATTCAAGAATTGGTCCCAATGGAATGGAGCAAGCTTGTTTTCTCCTGCAGGACTTGAACCAAGTTACAAGAATGGAGATTCTGACTAAACATACAGGAAAACTTTCTAATGCTAAGAGCTTTTTGACAGTGGAACGGACTCCCTCGGGAGGTGGTGGACTCTCCTTCCTTGGCGGTTTTAAAGCAGAGGTTGGATGGCCATCTGTCATTGGATGCTTTAGCCCCATGGTTCCCAGCAGGGGGAGCAATTTGATTTTTAAGGGGGGCAATTCGAGAATGAGTTATTAACAGTTAATGACCTTTTAGGCTTCCTCCACGGAGTTCACTTTCCGAATAATAAGAATTATATGTCATGTGGGAGGAGGGCGCACCAGGATTTTAGAGATGCTTAGGGGGGCAAAGGGACGCGGGTGGCGCTGTGGGTTAAACCACAGAGCCTAGGGCTTGCCGATCAGAAGATCGGCGGTTTGAATCCCCGCGACGGGGTGAGCTCCCGTTGCTTGGTCCCTGCTCCTGCCAACCTAGCAGTTCAAAAGCACATCAAAGTGCAAGTAAATAGGTACCGCTCTGGCGGGAAGGTAAGCGGCTTGGTCATGCTGGCCACATGACCCGGAAGCTGTACACCGGCTCGCTCGGCCAATAAAGCAAGATGAGCACAGCAACCTGAGTCATTCAAGACGGGTCAGGGATCCCTTTACCTTTAGGTGGGCAAAAAAAAGGTTGGGAACCGCTGATCTACAGCAAAAGGAAAGAGCCTCACAGCTTAGATAGGGAAACTGGACTGAGGGTGTGCAGAAGGTACACAGACAGGAGTTAACTGGAGCATGAGCTTAGCCAAGGGGGGGGGGGAGGCAGTCACTCCCTGCCCCCCGAGCCAAGGTTGGGAGCCACTGCTTTAGCTGAATATATCCTGCATTTCGAGGGGTTGGACTTGCTGAGCGTCTCCACCCCCATCGTTCTACCCAGACGCTGAGGTCCAGCGCCGAGGACCTTCTGGCGGTTCCCTCACTGCGAGAAGCCAAGTTACAGGGAACTGGGCAGAGGGCCTTCTCGGTAGTGGCACCCGCCCTATGGAACGCCCTCCCACCAGATATCAAAGAGAACAACAACTACCTGACTTTTAGAAGACATTTGAAGGCAGCCCTGTTTAGGGTAGCTTTTAATGTTTGATGCATTACTCTATTTTGTTGGGAGCCGCCCAGAGTGGCTGGGGAAGCCCAGCCAGAAGGGCGGGGTATAAATAATAAATTATTATTATTATTATTATGAATGAATGTACCCAAGTTTGTCAAGGGACGTGGGTGGCGCTGTGGGTTAAACCACAGGACTTGGGCCTAGGTCTTGCTGATCAGGAGGTCAGCGGTTCTAACCCCCCTCGACGGGGTGAGCTCCTGTTGTTCGGTCCCTGCTCCTGCCAACCTAGCAATTCGAAAGCACGTCAAAGTGCAAGTAGATAAATAGGTACCGCTCTAGCAGAAAGGTAAACGGTGTTTCCATGTGCTGCTCTGGTTCGCCAGAAGCTGGCCACATGATTTTATTATAATAAATTTATTATTATTATTATTAGCCTGACTCCCTCCTTTGGCAATCCTCACAGAACTTCTAGCCCAAATGGTTGTCATTAATTTGATTGGAATTAATTTTAGAATGAAATGATTTTAGAATGTTTTACCATTTTACCGTTGTTAGCCGCTCTGAGCCCGGCTTCAGCTGGGGAGGGCGGGATATAAATAAAATTTATTATTATGATGATGATGACCCGGAAGCTGTACGCTGGCTCCCTCGGCCAATAAAGTGAGATGAGCGCCGCAACCCCAGAGTCATCCATGACTGGACCTAATGGTCAGAGGTCCCTTTACCTTTATTATTATTATTATGATGAATGAATGGACCCAAGTTTGTCACGCCCATTCATTCCAACGGGTCTGCTCCGAGTGCGGCCAACACTCCGAGGCAGCCCTAAATCAAGAGCCCTCCATCCCTCCGCGGGGAAGGGAAGCCGCGCCCCATCCAAACGTCAACAGCCGCTTCCCAGCATTGGAATCGGGAATTGAACAGAGGCAAGAGCCGCGGAAGAGCCGCTTCTTTCCTCGCCCACAGCCGGGTCCTTGTGCCGGGGGCCCGCCCTCAGCCGCCCGGTTCCCCTCCCGGCGGCAAACCGCCCTCAGCCGCCTCTCCTCTCCCACTTACCCCCTCAGAAGGCTAAGCGCGCAAGAACCGCCGAGCTCCCTTCGACCCGCTTCCGGGAACACAGCCCACCCCGCAACAACGGCCGCGCTCATTCGCCTCTCGGGTCTGGCCACGCCCGGCGCCCGCTCATTGGCCAGGTTTGAACGCACCTCGCGCCGGCCCCTCCCTCGCCTCCGCCTCCTCCTTCCTTTTTTGCTCCTCGCTGATTGGCTGGCTTCGCCAAGAGCAGCTGGAAGCCTCTCAGGCTTCCAGAAGAGGCGGGGCTTTTTCCTTTGGGCAACCTGCTTTAGGTAGGGAATGTTTTCCCTGGCTGTTCCCTCCTCCTGCTCGGCCCTTTCTCTCCCTTTCAAATAAATTTTATTTATTTATTTATGCTTCTTTCTGTAAATATCTTTTTTTTGCGGGGGGGGGAGAAAATATATACAGTATATATAACGTTTTTGGTTTTACATGCACAGAAAATAGCGTCTTTGAAAAAAATATTATGCAAATATAAGAGGGAAATAAGTCATAAGTTTATTAGAAATAGATAAAAGCAGTACCGGTACTTTTTTCTGGTGGGACTCAGGGGTACGCATACCCCTAAATATTTTGTGAATCTTTGTACTTTTATCCATTTACTGTATTTATTTTTCCCAATTTGAACTATAAAATGATGATTTTCTTGAGTCAAAATGAGAGTACCCCTCAAAATTATTTTTTTTAGAAAAAAAAGCTCTTGCCGATCAGAAGGTCGGCGGTTCGAATCCCCACGACGGGGTGAGCTCCCGTTGTTCGGTCCCTGCTCCTGCCAACCTAGCAGTTCGAAAGCACGTCAAAGTGCAAGTAGATAAATAGGTACTGCTCCGGCGGGAAGGTAAACGGCGTTTCTGTGCGCTGCTCTGGTTCGCCAGAAGCGGCTTAGTCCTGCTGGCCACATGACCCGGAAGCTGTCTGCAGACAAACACAGGTTCCCTTGGACAGTAAAGCGAGATGAGCGCCGCAACCCCAGAGTTGTTCGCGATTGGACTTAATGGTCAGGGGTCCCTTTACCTTTACAATAGGATAGGTAGAGTGTTATACAGTGGGTTGAAGACAACGGAATACAGAAGAGAATAAGAGGGAGGAGAAGACACACAACATAGTTAGGTGTATATGATTGAAGGCACCAACATTCTGTTACATGCTGGATGCAGACTTAAGTTGTGTGCATATTTTATTTTTGCTTTTTATATCATACCTTTCCTCCCAAGGCTCAGGGTGGTGCACAAAGCTCTTCCCTTCTCTATATCATTCGCTTAACAACCTTGTGAAGTAGGTTAGGGCTGAGAGATGGTGACTTACCCAGTGAGCTTCATGGTTTGCACTTTGGCATAGTGGGCAGTTTAGGTTTCTCTCTTTTAAACCCAATACATTATAGTTTGAGGGGGGGGGAGGTGCTATTGTGACTCACTTATGTGAAATTGCATTTCAGTAAATTCATGCATGCTATTACCATTCACCAGTTGTGGATGCTGAGACAATGAAAATTAAGGCCCATAAACAATTTTCTGGGGGGGTAAGCCCCCCAGAAAATAGTGGAACTTACCTTCTGGGTATTACACACATATTTTTGAAGAATCATAAAGTCGTCGTCTCCCCTCCCCCCCCAAAAAAATCTAAATGCTTTACAGATATGAGACTAGGATTGACATATTTCAAAAAGTAAAAACCAGGACACCCTGAAAGTTGTTGAGGTTTTTTTTTCTGATTGACTTGCCTAAGATCCAGGACAAAGTGCCATCTTTCGGAAATTTCTCCCTGGATGTCAATTCCACCTTTGAAATCCCAATAATGTCTGGGGAAATCCAGATGTACGGCAGTCCTATTGAGGCCAGATCTCACAAAGAAAGCAGTGAGGCAAAGCTGGTCAAAGGTTGCAGACCATGGATAGCTCCAAGTGAACAACCTGTTCACATAAAGGTTGGGAGCATACTAAGGCCTTTTTCGGCTATACTGTATTCACACCGTGCTCTTAAAGCACTACTTTAAATGCTCATGGCTTCCTCCAATGAATTCTGGGAGCTGTAGTTTGTTAAATGTGCTGAGAGTCCTTAGGAGACCCTATTCCTCTCACAGAGCTACAGTTTCCTCATAAGAAGAACTGACCGTTAAACCACTCTGAGAATTGTAACTCTCTGAGGGTAATGAGATGGGGTGTCTCTCTCAGCACCCTTGACAAAGCACAGCTTACAAAATTATTTGGGGGAAGCCTGACTGTTTAAAGTGGTATCATAGTGCTTTAAATGATTTGTGCAAATGTGGTCTAACCCTTCATCTCCAGAATACCTCCCCAGACTCCACCAGCTTGTAGAGACCTTCAGAAAGGACCACTTCACTAGCTTAAATACAGGACTGATGAATGCAGTGGTTCCTCAAGCTCAGTATAAGGCACCCATGAGGGTCCAGACTCTGGTCCTGGCAGACTGAGAGGTTCTTGTTTGACAGCTTCAGTCACAAGCAGTTCAAAGCCTTGAACTTGATCAGCCTCCTTAAGTGCTGCCTCAGATTCTGTGTCTGGTTTGCTTCTGCATTCAGGGGTCATGCCACAACCTGTGGTTCTCCAGATGTTGTGGAACTATAAGGTAAAGGGTAAAGGGACCCCTGACCATTAGGTCCAGTCGTGACCGACTCTGGGGTTGCAGCGCTCATCTCGCTTTATTGGCTGAGGGAGCCGGCGTACAGCTTCCAGGTCATGTGGCCAGCATGACTAAGCTGCTTCTGGCGAACCAGAGCAGCGCACGGAAACACCATTTACCTTCCCGCCAGAGCGGTACCTACTTGCACTTTGATGTGCTTTTGAACTGCTAGGTTGGCAGGAGCTGGGACCGAGCAACGGGAGCTCACCCCGTCACGGGGATTCGAACCAACCTTCTGATCAGCAAGCCCTAGGCTCTGTGGTTTAACCCACAGCGCCACCCGCGTCCCTCTTGTGGAACTATAGCTCCCATTAAATAAAATTATCAAGTCTTTGAAGCTCTCCCAGAGGTATTGAATAGACTAAGTCTTCCATCATATTCTATGGAGAAAGAGGCAAGGCTCATCAGGAAATGCAGGACCACGGAGAGCTCCAAGTGAGCAACTTTCTCCACAGAGGTTTTCAGGCTCCACTCCACTCCTGTTTCATAACCTCTCTTTAGATGTGCTTCCTGCCCCACTGGATGCCTTCCTATAGCCCCCCTCCTGGAGTGTTCCCTGTGCCCACAGGACTGGTGATTTGTGGGGGGAAGCATCTTGTTCCTCGGAGGAAGGCGCTTGAGAGAGTCTGGGCTCTGGCTCTACAGGCCCTGGTGGTCTAAGGGTTTCCTCTGGGAGCTTCTGTCCAACCGTCTTTGATGCAAGGACCTCCCTATCGTGGATTTTTTAAATAAAGGGTTTTTTTTGGATTTTTGCAAATATTTCCTCTGATTCTGTGGATACCTCCCTCTTGTTCAAGTCAGTGCCATTTTGGGAACAAAACTGGGAAATGTTATAGTGTATCTAAAATCAGTATTATTATTTTTTAAAGAAAATAAACTATTCACCAGCTATGGGTTCCCCCTCCTTAATGGGCTGACAGTTTGGCTAGCAAGATTAAATTAGTCTATTAAGCTCATGCAAATATTATGCAGATTGAGTGGGAAAATCCAAACCTGCTGGAGTTCTCCTTTGCATAATACATTCTAATTGTGACTGCAGAACAATTTACCTGCTCTGGATTTTAAGGCTGTTTTGTTACTGTGGTTGGAAGAATTATATTGTTATGATGGCCTCTGTTGTACACATCACGCACCAATTGCAAAACAGTAGCCGGAATAAACACACAGGCAGCATTTCAGTGTGAAATTGGTTTCCAAGGTGCAACAGCTCTGATCAAGTCAAGCTGCAGTATCTATTAGTGCACACGGAGCTACAATTGATTATTTAATGTATGTGCAGTACTTTGAGGCAGAGAACACTCATCGTTTCTCAGGGATGACTCTGTAACTTACTATATTGAGACCAGCAGATAATTTTGATGTTAAGCAGAAGAGATTACATTGGGAAGCAGTGCCTCAGAAAATGCTTTTGAATGGTTGATTAGAGTATAGCGAAACATGTCATAAGCTATCACTCAAGAGCCCAGCAAAATGAGGTTGTTTACTGCAGGTGGATTTGGATTAAAGGTGGTGTAGAATTGTTCTGAGATGGCTTAAGGTAGTCTCTTGGAATATTCAGATTTGCATTACTGAGGCAGCCTTGGTGATAAATGCCAGTGAGTGGCGGGAGAAATTTGCTTTTTAAAAAAATAATAATTCATGTTTTGCACCTGTCATCACAATTTTTGTTATGGGGAGGCGACTGCGCCTTTAATCAGAAAAAGAAAATAGGGAAAAACAAGATGGTTTGCAACATAATCTGATTCATGCTTTTACTTGGAAAGTAAGCCTAGTTGTATTCAAGGAGATTACTCTCTGGTAAGAGAATACATAGGAGTGCAGCCATCTAACCTGTGCATGTTTCCTTGGGACCCTGAAATTTGCAGTGTTTACAGAAAATGTTTATGGTGGGAATCATATGTGGAGAGTGGAATCTTTCCAAAAACAGCCCAATGAGGACTGAGGATGCTTAGCAGCCACAAGATACTGACAGACTGGACTGGAGTATCCTGGAGAAGGCACACCAGGGTGGAACAATGGACTCTGCACTGCAACATTTTGTTGCAGGTCCTACTTGTAAGGACTGGATTATTGTGCTCCTAGCAGGAATTTAACATAATATACTGTTTGTAGGATGTGCACAAACACATACACACACAATTGTTATGTTGTGTTGTTGTTGTTATTTGGATTTGTTGGTAGTTTTATCTTGCCCAGGGCAAGCCAAAGTAATTTACAAACTACCAAATAAACAGACAAAACCCCCCACATAGATACATTAAAACAAAGTGGGAAAATAAATACATTAAAAACATCCCACTAATAGGCCACTAACAGTTACAACATCAAAGGTCTGGTTTTAGAGGAAAGTTTTTGCCGGGCACATTATGTATACAAGGCCTTCTTTCTAGTGATGTCAGGAGAAAATTCAAGCACTTGCCAAATTTATAATAACA